CCATTAAGTAGAGCAATTGTAGGGGTTTAAAATAGCTCAAAATTAAAAATAAACTATCAAGCAGCTCATATACAAAATTTTATCATTAATTCACATTAACTCTAGATAATCCTATTGTTAACGACAAATAAGGACATATCAAGTTGAAAACATTTAAGATAGGAAGCTCAATGGGTATATACGAAAAGAAGATCAAAAAAATCCACACACAAACACATATATTACTCTTATCCCCACACATGTAAAATTATCAATAAGATTGAACAATCTCTTGATTTACAAATAAAGCCCCAAGATCGTTTCAAAAGATTGAAAAAAAAAAAAAAAATAAAAATTCAATTGATAATATGCAAAATAACTACTTTGCTAAATGAATTTATTAAGGATCAATTATTACTGTGGAGTAGAAGAGACAAAATGAATAAGGGATGATACTTGGTTATGAGAAAGCCTGATAGTAGTACAAAGGGTTCCACATAGATACATTATAAATAAGGATGTTGGGGGATAATTTCAAAACTTTGAGGAAAGAAAAAAAAAAAAAAAAAAAAACTTTAAATTGCCGCAAAAACTGCAAAGAAATAATCAACACTCAAAAAAATATTGCGGAAAATGCAATACGAATTTAACAACTAATACAAGAAAAAGAAAGGAGGAGATATCATTGCATAAATTTCAATGGGGGATTTTTTCAATTACGTTATCTTTATATCCTTTATTCATCTAATGTTATTGTTCTATTATTTTTAGTTTTCTTGATTGTAACTTTCATCACTTTTGTCTTATTATATTTTCAAGTTTTGCATTACTTAATTCAATTCATGAATCTATTATTGTGTAGATATTTTTTAAAAAAGAAATGACCCAGGATAGTTGCTGCAATTTAGGAGATTATACAGTATGAATAATAATGTAAACGGAAAGGAAATCACTTGAGAAATTGCCAAGGGATGAAATTGTGTTTGATAGTATTCTAAAAATATCTATTGTTCCATTAGTGGATATCCTTCGATTTATTGGTAAGTAAAACTGAAATTTGTTAATATTGTGGATAATCAAAAGCTTGTAGAAATGTGTATAAATAAATATATAAAAAACTCTATAAATACTTGGGACTGTTACCATCTGTATTTCTAAATTTTTTATTCCTACTATAAATCAAACTTTACTGTCGCTATTATCCCAAATTGCTAATTCAAGATGATAATAATGAAATCACGAGTTGCAATCGTGACTTATATCTTCTTGATATCTTATGTGATGTCTAGTTTAATAGAATCACCACCGTATCTACCATTCGCTAACAAAATTAAGATTGATAAAAGAACCAATAACAACAATGATTGTAGAAAGGATAAAGATGGCCATCCAATTTCAGGTAATTGTCCTCAGTGCTTTGATAATCATCATAAGCCAAAATTGGATAAATGTTGTTTTGATGATAAGAATAAGGTTACTGCATGTTGTGATTGGACATGGTACGGAAAGCCAGTACCTTGTCCCCCACCAACTTCTTCCAGTGAAGTTCCACCATCATCAAGTGAAGAAGTTCCACCATCATCCAGTGAAGAGGTTCCACCTTCATCAAGTGAAGAGGTTCCACCTTCATCATCAGAGGAAGTTCCACCAAGCTCCAGTGAAGAGGTCCCACCAAGCTCCAGTGAAGAGGTCCCACCAAGTTCCAGTGAAGAGGTTCCACCTTCATCAAGTGAAGAAGTTCCACCAAGCTCCAGTGAAGAAGTTCCACCTTCATCCCGTGAAGAGGTTCCACCTTCATCATCAGAGGAAGTTCCACCAAGCTCCAGTGAAGAGGTCCCACCAAGTTCCAGTGAAGAGGTTCCACCATCATCCAGTGAAGAGGTTCCACCTTCATCATCAGAGGAAGTTCCACCAAGCTCCAGTGAAGAGGTCCCACCAAGTTCCAGTGAAGAAGTTCCACCTTCGTCAAGTGAAGAGGTCCCACCAAGCTCCAGTGAAGAGGTCCCACCAAGTTCCAGTGAAGAGGTTCCACCTTCATCAAGTGAAGAGGTCCCACCAAGCTCCAGTGAAGAGGTCCCACCAAGTTCCAGTGAAGAGGTTCCACCTTCATCAAGTGAAGAAGTTCCACCAAGCTCCAGTGAAGAAGTTCCACCTTCATCCAGTGAAGAGGTTCCACCTTCATCAAGTGAAGAGGTTCCACCTTCATCAAGTGAAGAGGTCCCACCTTCATCAAGTGAAGAGGTCCCACCTTCATCAAGTGAAGAGGTCCCACCAAGCTCCAGTGAAGAGGTCCCACCAAGTTCCAGTGAAGAAGGTCCCCACCAAGTTCCAGTGAAGAAGTTCCACCATCCTCCAGTGAAGAGGTTCCACCTTCATCATCAGAGGAAGTTCCACCATGCTCCCAGTGAAGAAGGTCCCACCATGTTCCAGTGAAGAAGGTTCCACCTTCATCATCAGAAGAAGTTCCACCAAGCTCCAGTGAAGAGGTCCCACCAAGTTCCAGTGAAGAAGTTCCACCTTCATCAAGTGAAGAGGTCCCACCTTCATCAAGTGAAAGAGGTTCCACCTTCATCAAGTGAAGAAGTTCCACCTTCATCATCAGAGGCAGTTCCACCAAGCTCCAGTGAAGAGGTCCCACCAAGTTCCAGTGAAGAAGTTCCACCTTCGTCAAGTGAAGAGGTCCCACCAAGTTCCAGTGAAGAGGTCCCACCAAGTTCCAGTGAAGAGGTTCCACCAAGCTCCAGTGAAGAGGTCCCACCAAGTTCCAGTGAAGAGGTTCCACCATCATCCAGTGAAGAAGTTCCACCTTCATCATCAGAGGAAGTTCCACCAAGCTCCAGTGAAGAGGTCCCACCAAGTTCCAGTGAAGAAGTTCCACCAAGCTCCAGTGAAGAGGTCCCACCAAGTTCCAGTGAAGAAGTTCCACCTTCATCAAGTGAAGAAGTTCCACCTTCATCTAGTGAAGAGGTTCCACCAAGTTCCAGTGAAGAGGTTCCACCTTCATCAAGTGAAGAAGTTCCACCATGCTCCAGTGAAGAAGTTCCACCTTCATCCAGTGAAGAGGTTCCACCTTCATCAAGTGAAGAGGTTCCACCTTCATCAAGTGAAGAAGTTCCACCAAGCTCCAGTGAAGAGGTCCCACCTAGTTCCAGTGAAGAAGTTCCACCATGCTCCAGTGAAGAGGTCCCACCAAGTTCCAGTGAAGAAGTTCCACCTTCATCAAGTGAAGAAGTTCCACCTTCATCTAGTGAAGAGGTCCCACCAAGTTCCAGTGAAGAGGTTCCACCTTCATCAAGTGAAGAAGTTTCACCATGCTCCAGTGAAGAAGTTCCACCAAGCTCCAGTGAAGAGGTCCCACCAAGCTCCAGTGAAGAAGTTCCACCTTCATCAAGTGAAGAGGTCCCACCAAGTTCCAGTGAAGAGGTTCCACCTTCATCATCAGAAGAAGTTCCACCAAGCTCCAGTGAAGAGGTCCCACCAAGCTCCAGTGAAGAGGTCCCACCAAGTTCCAGTGAAGAGGTTCCACCTTCATCAAGTGAAGAAGTTCCACCAAGCTCCAGTGAAGAAGTTCCACCATCATCATCAGAGGAAGTTCCACCATCATCATCAGAGGAAGTTCCACCATCATCATCAGAGGAAGTTCCACCTTTATCAAGTGAAGAAGTTCCACCTACATCAAGTGAGGAAACATCATCAGAAAAGGTCCCACCGACATCTACCGGCAAGGAAACTGAGACATCTGAAATTACAGAAACAGAAACAGAAACTGAGACTGTTACCTGTGTTGAATGTTCTAAAACCTCAACTGAAACCGAGACAAAAACATCAACAGAAACTTCGAAGCATACTGTTGAGTCTACTGAAGTTGAATACCACACTATCACTAAGGAGACTACTGTTTATGTTACTACTTGTCCAAATGAAGTTGTTACCACTGAAACTGCTATAGTCATTGTTGTAACCAACGAATTTACTACAAAGACAAAGACAGAGGTTATACAAACTACTGTTGTCAATGAACAAACTATTACCACTACTTGCCCAATTGAAGAGTTATACACCAAACATTACACAAAGACTGTTTACACTACTCAAACCATCGGAGAAACTGTTGTTGAGACCTGTGCTGTTATTGTTACTACCAATGAGCAACAAGTTGTTGTTACCAAGACGATCCCAGTTCCAGTCACCGAAGTTGCCAAATATACCACCACCATCGAAACTACGTTGACACAACCAAGAACCATTACATCCGAAGTCATCGTGTACTGTACTACCAACGAACAGGGTTACACAATTACCAAGACAATTACAGGCGAAGAAGCTACTACTTACGTTACTACAAATGAACAAGGGTACACAATTACTAAAACTGTTCCAGGTGAAGCAGTTACTACTTATGTGACTACAAATGAACAAGGGCATACCATCACTAAGACTGTTCCAGGTGAAGCAGTTACTACTTATGTGACTACAAATGAACAAGGGTACACAATTACTAAAACTGTTCCAGGTGAAGCAGTTACTACTTATGTGACTACAAATGAACAAGGGCATACCATCACTAAGACTGTCCCTGGTGGAGAAGTTGTTACCTATGTGACTACAAATGAACAAGGGTACACAATTACTAAAACTGTTCCAGGTGAAGCAGTTACTACTTATGTGACTACAAATGAACAAGGGCATACCATCACTAAGACTGTCCCTGGTGGAGAAGTTGTTACCTATGTGACTACAAATGAACAAGGGTACACAATTACTAAAACTGTTCCAGGTGAAGCAGTTACTACTTATGTGACTACAAATGAACAAGGCCATACCATTACCAAGACTGTTCCAACTGGTGAAATAGGAGCCGAAACTATTGAAGTCATTCAATATGTCACCACCTATCCAACTACTTTGCCACAGGGAGAAGTCATAACCACATCTGCTGGTATCCAGGTGTACACCAATGAACAACAACAAGTATACACTAAAACCATCCCAATTGAAAGTGCATACTATACCAGTGAAGTTACTGTTCAATACACCACCGTTTGCCCTACTACATTGTCCAATGGTCAAGAAACCACCGTTCCCGCAGTTGTTGTGGTATACACAGAGTCCAAGGGTCATCTTACTACGAAGACAGTTGTTCCAGAAAGTGCAAGCTATGTTTCTTATACTGAAATTATTTCTAGCAAATTGACTACACTTGTTTACACTTCTTGTGTAGGTGAGATTTGTCACCCAGAAACTACTGGTATTGAAACTATTATTACTGAACAAGTAACCAAGCCATATGAAACCCCAGTTGTTCTGATTGTAACTATTGCTGTTGAAACCAAGACTGCTACTACTACAAGTATTGGTAAACCAGGAACCACTACACAAACCACAGTTGCCGGAGAAAGCACTCCAGGAACAGTTGGCAAACCTCCTACTACGTTGGCAACGCCAACGATCGAGGGTCAACAACCGTCACCAACTCCGGCTCTTGTGTCACCAACTATTTTTGAAGCTGCTGCTCCAGCAAGACTTGGAGTTCATCTTGAAATCACCATTGGTTTGATTTGTGCTTTCATAATGATTTAAATCAATCTTCTATAGTCTTGTTTTCCTTCGTTTCCATAAATGTTTTGTTTTGAACATTGGCTATTATTTTGTTGTTTTTTTTTGTTTCTGTTTTGCTTACTTATTATTATTTCGTGATACCATTGAATAAGTTTGATTTTATGCTTTTTGTTTTTACTTTCGGTGAAAAGTGCTTGATTGTACTTTTCGTTATATTTTCAGTATTCTATTCTAATTTATCATTATGAGTTTGCTTTTTTGATTACATCAATTTCAAATTAACTCGATTTGTGATAGTTGGTCAGGATGCCCGTTTATTTTTTACTTTTCTTGTTGGGATTATTATTTTCTTATTTTCGGTTATATACTTGTTATCATAGATTATAGGTATATTATTTATTTAGTTGGATTAATTTTATATTCATTTTTCCAAAAGGTATAAAATTTGTAGACAATACTCAAACATTTTCTTAATAGTTGGGAGCAGTATAGTTTCACTCTTGTAAATTTTTGACGAATTTGCAGCATATCACATTTAGTCCTTTACTGGCATTGTTGACACCGCCAACCCATGCGACCAGTTTCGACGATACCAGAAGTGAAATCAGCAAAAAAAAAAAAAAAAAAAGAGAACAAGTAAAACCGAATCCACTCAGTTGCCAAACTGCAATATTGTCTTGCTAAATTTTACTACATCTTCATTTGTCTGTCATGTCTATTCATCAACTTCAGATATTAATAGTCATTTTATATCTCATAATTGTTGGATCTATCTATGCAGTTAAGCTCATCAAACCACTTAACGAGTTGCTACATTATGGAAAAACCTCCACAGTAAATGGTCTGGAATCGAGTTCTATATTCAATCAAATGATTGACTTCATATCGAATAATTTAGTAGTCCCCAAGTCATGGTTTACCCATTTCTATGTAACGTTGTTCACATTATCATCACTAACGTTTTTCAGTACCTTTCAACAATCAGAAATAGATACTTCAGATCCAGTCAAGTTTAAGAATTTAATGTTGATTCATAGGCTATTGTGGGTTCAAGGATTAAGAAGACTTACAGAATGCCTAATAGTTACCAAGTTTTCTGAAAATTCCAAAATGAATATTTCTCACTACTTTGTTGGGTTAAGCCACTATATATTGATTTCACTGGCGACGTATTTAGGGTTATTGAGATATGGGTCTCACAAAGTTGTTCGTTATACTACTTTTGACGACCTCTTGATTGTTTCATTTGGCGTATTATCATTATTACAGTTTTCCGCACATTATCATTTGGCTTCTTTGGTGAAATACACGGTGCCTAACTTTAACAATGTTGCTTCCCCACATTACTTGTATGAAATACTAATCTATACAGTTTTTCTTATCTTTTCAGTCAAGGATAGTATAGATACAACAAGTTGGACATTTGCTGCAGGATGGTTGTTTGTTACTAGTAATTTGACAATATCATCAATTGAAACTTTCCGCTATTACCAAGACAAATTCAAAGAAGATTTTAAATTGAAGTGGGCAATAATGCCAGGAATATTGTAACATTGCAGGAAACAAGACAAATTATAATAGTAGGGTGTAAGATTTCATCACCCGAATAATGTACGTATGTTGATGATTTTGCCATATAAGTATTATTTTCTCTGACATCAGATACTTGCATGCAGTGAGCTTTTCTACGAGTTGCATTTAGATCGATCATGATCAAATCGTCTTTATTTTGTTTGATTTTGTTTCACTCTTTTCGTATCGCTTTACCGGAGATCCTTTCTTTTTTTCCCAACACAGTTCTCACTTTTGTTTATTTATTGTGTTTTTTATTCTTTTTTTTTTTTTTTTTGTTTTTTCTTCCACTTTTGATTTCTTTTTCCACTAAGGCTTAGTAAACTAGGCTATGTCAAATAACTACAACTCATAATGTTATTCCAATCTTCAAATACAGAAAGTATAGAGTGCCCTATATCAACACGACTAGAAGCATGTTCGGTATCAATGGTGAAAGGGTGTCCTGGTATTCCCCGAAGCATACCAAGAATAGATACTGTCTTAAATATCAGATCAATTAACGACTCACCATTTATTGTACGTTCTGTTAAAGTGCAACTAATTACGAAACAAAAGGTTCTAGTTCCTACAAAGTTTGGAAGCAGTGAATCTTTAAAGGAGTTTATTGTTTATCAGGATCCTTTGGCTTATCTACCACCAATGGATCAATTTTATCAGATATTGCATGGTTTAGATATTCCGATTCTTATACCTATCCCCAGAGACATCACACCTTCGGCCTACTCGCCAACATTTGGAGCAACAACTCAGCATAACTTAGTGGTGATGGTTTCATTAGGTAAGGATGCTGCTTCTGAAGTTACGTTTACAGACAGTTTTCCGGTGGATATTAAGATGTATGATACTTTACCGATTTACAGACAGTATAATGAACCAATAATGGAAATATACAATTCATCAGATAACCAAGTATTGGTAGAAGCAACAGTGCCTGTAACATCTGTTGGGCCCAAAGATGAATTGAGTGTTGTTTGTGTTGTGAAGACTAACTCAGCCAACAACAAGGTGAAGAAGAATATTACGCTTAAACAATTAACATTTCAAGTTAAAGAAGTAATTGAATGTTTTGATGGAGGTCTACCTCCAAAAAGAGAATTCAAATTACATACTGAATCCAAGTACTACACTAAGGAATTGAATAGTCAAGGGTTGAAACAAACTTTTAAAATCAATTTTCCGTACGAGAATGATTACTTACAAATGTTCTCTCCACCACCAGAAGTAGAAATTGAAAGCGAAGTGGCAGAAGATTTTGCTACAACAATCATAGAATCAACTAATATATCAAAACTAAAAACTATAGATAAACTACCCGAAGGGGTGCCTGTAACAAATATTCAAGGATTCACATTACTGGGGGCTTTTTATTCAATTTGGTTTGAAATTGTAATTAAAGTGAAGTTATCTCATGCCAAAGACATTAATATTCATATTCCTATCATTGTTTCCCCATTTGATAAAGAAGCCAGTAAGTATTTACTTGACTGGATTATGCTAGAATGCGAAATAGCCAAGGCCCAGTTTGGAAAAGAGTTTAATCGAACATATTCATCGACAACAAAATATGCAAATATGATAAAACTTCTAGACAAGTATAGACAACCGCCAACTATTTATGATCAACAAAAACACAAGATACGTACATCTAACTCACACCAATATTTGGATTTGTATATAGATTAAGTACTTCTTTAACTCGTTTTAAATTTCGTTTTGTTTCAATCTCAGGAAGTGGGAAAGTATCTAGTGGATTTTCTTGTAGTAACTGGCATTGAATGTAAAATGATCTTGGTGTGACACCAGTGTAATTTTTAAACATACGATAAAAGTGCCATTTTGAAACTCCGATATCCTTGATAATGGCATCAATATCCAATTTGTCTCCATTGATTGCTCTATCATGTATCATCGAACAGGATGCATTTATAAACTCTCTACTTTTATTCCAACCGCTGACTTGTTCTGGTTTACATCTTTTGCAACTCCTATATCCTTGAGCCTTTGCTTCTCTCATATTATTAAAAAATACCACATTCTTTCTCATTGCTACTCGGCAATTACATGTAGGACGACATACTATTCTGGTCGTAATAGCACCATATACAAAGTGTCCTTCTGCTTGAGGATTTCTGTCTAATATTGCTTGATATTTAGAATCATCATCCGGGAACGTGATCATATCGTTGTTGTATAGATTATTTGGAAACATGTTTGCTTAAAGGAAAGTGAGATAAACTTTAGAAAAAGAAAGAGAAAGTGAGAAAGAGAAAGAGAAAGAAAAACCAAGTTCTTGAATCAGTTTTATAATCTTTTTTTTTATTATTTTTTTTTTTTTTTCCTGCTAAAGGTTTCTCACACACTCATGCTTTTTCGAAACTTTTTTTTTCCTCATTGGGCATTTTATCCTTGGCTCTTGGCTTCGTGGCTTGCCGCGAGACACCAGGGAAATAGGGCGAACATGTGGTATCGTGTGTAAACCATTTAGTGCTGTAAATTTCTAACTTTACACTTCCTGCACTAAAAACGTGACCAGGGTATTTTTTTTTTGTTCTTTCGCTCTCCCTTGAACATTTTTGTTTAGTTTGTTGGCTTTGCATGATTTCAACTATGATACCATTAAGATTAATCAAATAACGAAACCCAACATTAGCATTAACATTCTCAGATATACTCGTGAACGGTAAACAATGGATAATTCCCCACCTGAATATGCACCAACATCAACATCCACATTTACTGTATCTAATGATGCCACTATATACAACCAAGAGGTTACCAGAACATCGTTGATCAAATCACCACTACACAAATCACTATATGATTCCTTAGCAGAAATCTATTCCATATTGCCAACATTGGAAATGATTGAAGTATCATTCTTGAAAGATTATATAACTGATAAAGAAAAGTATATTTCCACCACATATAGGCTAATTCATCAATATCAAATGGTAATCAAAATGTTTGGTGAGGATGAGGCCAAATTGAGTTTATTAATTAACGAAGTTCTACCAGGTTTACAACGAGACATGTCCAATTTCTTGGATCTTTTACAAGCTAAGTTTAATATTAACTTTCCCCATGCAGTAATCCGTTTGAAGAATGGTTTGCCAGCTACAATTGAACAAATAAATGGGTTACAGCCAAATAATGTCAATTCGAGGTTGGTGGCAGAGATAACAGGAAATTTCATCACTTGTATGGATGCAGTTAAATTGAATTATAAATCAAAGGATCAGCTACATCCTTTATTGAGTGAATTGGTTTTGAGCTTAAATGAATTAAATGAAGGGTTGGAATTTAATGGGAAATCCAAACTTATAAACTGGTTAATTAAAATAAATAACTTAACAGGCGAACTTTCACAAGAAGAGGCTGATTCATTTTTAAATGATCTAGATGTAGCATATAAAGGATTCTATACAACGCTAGAATAGTACAACAAGATGCACAAAACCACTATACAATAGATTCGATTTGCTCTGCGTATCCCAATACATTCTTGATAACTGATTGGTTATTGACATTATTTGTTTCGTTTTCATTCTTTGTAAAGTAGATAACTCCATTCTCAAATTTCCAGTTATCAACTTCATAAGTTTCCTTCAAAGTTTTCTCGAAATTAGCATCAGATAATTCTTGTGGTAAGTACAATAAATTCTTACAATTTGAAATTGGAATTGAACTATAGGTCTTCTCCAAGGATTTTGCAATTTCATATCTTAAAGCATTAATCAAAGTTTCAACAAAATGGGTGTATTCCACACATGGTAAATTCTTTTCTTCTTTCAATAATTTCCAAATCTTGATATAATTACCTTCCATCAAGTTACTTTCCAAATTAATTGGGAATTGTAAAAAACTATCATTTTCAACATCATATTGATTTGAATTGTAGATAATCTCTAATTCAACATGAAATTTAGAAATTAACCCCTGACTCAATAAATACAACAAATATAAAGAAATAATCTTGGTAGTATCAGTATTAACATGAGTCTTATTCAAGTTGTGTATTTTATCATTGGAATAAAATGGTCTTAATTGAGCAAAATAATTCTCAAATCCAGAATAATTGTTTGTTAATAATGATGATAATGCACCAATTTCCAAGATTCTTTGAGCAATTTTTAAATCATTGATTTGATCTTTGGTGACAGTATTTGAAGGTAATGGAACTAACAAGTTATGTTTAATTAATTCAATTTTTATAGGTGCAAGTAATTGTTGAGAACTTTCATAATCTCCTTTATCAAAAAGTGCATATATTTCAGCAGTTAACTTTTGCAATGACATGTTTTAGATGTGGGTTTGAATATTAATTGACGGTTGAATATTATTCCTGTCTTTCTTTACTCTTTCTGTTTTTTATTTTTTTTTTTCGAATCGATTGCCACCACCAAAAATGGTTTCAAAGAATTACCAAAAAAGAGTCGTGTGCGTAGTCAGTTTTAACGTGGTCACGTGTCATTTCATTGAAAGTGATCTTGTATACTAGAGAAATAGATATTCTAATATTTAGATATATTAAATTCTAATTGGATAAACCACATTAATACTATCCTTTTTTCTATGTACCAACACTGTTATCCACTATTGATTAATCTAACCATTATTCTTGTAATCCTGAATATCGAAAATTTGGTCCTTTTTACCATCAAATTCATCCATACATTCAATTATAGTTTTAAGATTATTCATTAAATTACTACTTGCCACTCGAAGTACTCTATCACTAACACCTGAGAATTTTACTTGTAAAACATTTTCTTGTGTAGAAAAATCAATAGTTAATTCATCAGCTTTAAGTATTGGATCCGGTTCCAAAGATGTACGAGCTATTTTAGCTTGATTTGATGTTTCAAACGGTATATCTAATGTAAGATTATATGGATGTGACATTGAAATTGGATATTAGTAGTGATTGTCGTTAAATGATTGATTATCTCTTCTTAATTTTTTTTTTTTTTTATTTTTATTTTTTTTTTTTTCAATGTTTATCTGACATGAATGAATCTCGGTTTTTCTTCTTTGGCTGAAAAATCAAAACTTATTCTTTTTGCAATAAATAATAATACATTCTTTCTTTGTCAACTACAAATACAGCCTATTTAAACTAAAATAAAGTAGGATGATGTTACCTAACCCTACTAAAACTAATGCTATGGACGCTAAATTTCTTTAAATTGTCCGATCCATTACTATTTAGCGATGTTACGCTACTGTTAATTCCAGCATGTCTGTTACTTGGGTAGTCTGCGGCTGATTGAAGCGTTCCAGACGACTTTGTTTCTCGTAATACACCAATTTCAGGATTGATTGTTGTAGATTCACCAGTAGCATCACCACCACTGCTTCCAGAACTTGCCAAACTGCCAATTGAAGATGAACTGTTCAAACTATTGCTATGAGTATTGTTTGGCCTTGATTCTTGTTGCTTTTTCCTGGGGCTTTCTGCCTGATTCAAAGATGATCTACTAGAATTAAAAGCAACTCTAGCAGCAATAGAAGAAGCTGAGGACGATTTACGTGGTCTTTGATCCGGAGTTCTTGACACGGGTGATTGCTGTTGTGGTGTTTCAACAGATACCATGGGCCATAATGCATTCTCTGAATTAATTGGAGGTAGCTGTGCTGACTTTGATAACGAGAAACTCTTCTTTCGTGGTCCCATTTTATAGCTGGGCGAACCATTAAATGTAGAAGACGTTGTAGAAATCATTGATTGTGGAGAAACAGGTTCTTCATCAGTGGTGGAGTTGTATGAAGTATTAGATCCATTTCTAATGGAAGGTGAAATCGTAACACCTTTTAGACTGCTATGCAAAGTTTGTGGGGTTGTTGGTGTAGTGGCTAAACCGGCATTGCTTGTTCTTGGAGTTGCAGCCAGTTGCGATGTGTTCAATGTTGCTGATGGTGGTTTGTAGATATACGTAGTGCTTGACCTGTTTCGGAGTATTGGTGGTGGACGAGTTTTATTATCTGAGGGCAATGATTGTGAATGTTGTCTGCCTTGAATTTTTTTATCGTCCTGATTTTGCAGTGACATCAGGATAATTGGACTAGCTAAAATCTTGTTGTTTCCATTAGAATTGTTTAATGTAGAAGTTTCGCTTGGAGGGGCAAAGATTGGTATTGACATCTTGAAATCCGACAACATGGCTTCATGGTTTTGAGATAACAAATCTTTCTTCATTTCTTCGTATTGACTAATTAAATCAAAACTAGTTGAATATTCACTAGCAACCCAATCGTGTTTGTTCTTAATTTTTTCTAATTCCTGTATTTTGGATTCAGCTTCTGCTTTGGTAGATGATTGGATGACAATATATTTTATCAATTCATATAAACATCCTGTACTTCCATACTGAAAGCAAAGATGTAAGCAGGTATCGCCATTCTTATCTTGGATATCCCATTTAGCACCAAACTCCAATAATAAAGTAGTGCCTTCTTTGAAATTATACTGACAACTATAATGCAAGGGTGTTTGGCGTAATTCTCCCGCCAATGAGTTCAACCATAACTTCCCAGGGAACTCTTGTAATAAATAATGCAATGTCTGTGAATGTTTCTTCCTCATACATAAATGCAACACGGTTGTATCATCAAATGCTAATAGATCCAATTTTGTGAATCGATTTTGTAAATCATTCCCCATAGTTTTGTTCATGTATGATATTAGATGGAAACATATCAAATAATGACCATAGAATGATGCATAATGTAGGTTACTCCAACCCTGGTTCTGGGGATCAATATTCAACCACAAGTCAGGGAATCGTGATAGTATTCGTTTGACAATAGGTAGGTTGCCTTCAATAACGGCGTTTCTCATTCGCTGCAGTGGTTCTAACATAATGACATAGCTATTGATCAATGGAGATGTGGTTGTAAAGTATCAGTTGCAAGTAATCTGGTGAGTGAAGTTTGTGGAGGGGGTGGTAACTAAAATAAAAAAAAAATAACCCAATAAAATAAAATAATGATAATTAAGATAATGCAATTTATATGATGAACAACAAAGGGAAGTAACACCAGATGCAAATTAAAGAAAGATGGTTAGGGGAGAACAGTGTTTGAGTGTGTGTGTGTGGAAGAAACGGGATTTAATGGGTTCGAGTTTTTTTTTTTTTTTTTTCTTAAGTGATTATTTCTTTTTATCTTATTTTATTATTTTTTTTTCTAGTTCACTTTTGTTAGCCATTAATATTTATTTGTAAGGGGGCCTGTTATACAGAATGTATTTTTGCTTTATTTTAATTTCTTTGTTCTTCTTCCTTTCTCACGCGGGTGGGCCCAATGCCAGGCATGATTCTTCCATGGAAGTTTCATTTCATTTCATTTCGTCCATTGTCCAGTTATTCGACAACAAAAAAAAAAGGTGGCGCGCAAAATGTACAAAGACTTGAGTAATGAAATTTGGCCATGTTCACACGAATAACATACACATCTTGTGTTTTGTGAGACGTGTCATGGTTGTTGCTGGGGTGGGTTTCAGAAACTAGGATTGTTCTGGATTAACTAGCGTTATTGGTTAAAGTTGATCAACCACTCTTTTGTTTGTATACGAACCCATAACCGTTTTTTTTTTTTTTCTATTATTTTCGTCTTCTTCTTGACAAAGACTAATTAAAGTTTTTATCTACACCGTTTTGTTTATCTGTTTATAGTTATAATTGACCCACGATTTTCTTCATAAATTCCTTTTATATAGTCTCCTGATACATGAAATTATTATTCCCTTTTTGGAGATTATGTTTCCAATACCAGACATCGAACTGCAGCTCCATGGATGGATCATTCATCGAAAATTTCTTTTTTTTTTTTTTTCGTCATACTCTCTTCTTCCACTGGAACGCGTCTTGTCTTGAATGTCAATTTCTCGGAACTAAATTTGCGACATGCACGTGTTTATCAGTTTTGATCCGATTCGCTTTTGGTCAGTGACACACGACCGAACACCCAGCGCACCACAAAATTTAAATTACTTTAATAGTTTTGTCTCTCTCAATTGTATTTTTTTTTTTGTCGAGAATACACACACAAACTTCGATTCCCGGTTATCAGTTATAAGCAGAAACCATCACTACTTTCTATTTCATCTAAATAAAATTTTTTGTAAAACTTCATTTTGGGATATCAAAGATGCTGGTTCTGATAGTAAATGGTTTGCGAATACTTACGTTGTCGGATATACAAGGAAACTTTGATGTATTGACCAAATTATATCATGAATATCAACCAGTTGACTTAATAATCCATACAGGAAATTTCGGGTTTTGGGATTTAAACACGATTCATGAATATAAAGAACTAAATTATTTCAAACAAATAGTGGCCTTTCTGGATGTTTTGGAGCCAGAATTGATTGAACAATTGAATAATTTAAGCAAGATTAGTAATGGCGGGAATGCCGACGAAATATCAACATTTAAATCCAAGTTGTTGTCTTCGAAATCGTCAATTAGTCAGTTTCAGCAATATGTAAATGGGGAAAAATCGTTTCCTTGCCCTGTGTATACAATATTTGGTCCATTGGATGACCCAAAGATAATTGATAAATTGCAAACAAAACAGATTATCATTCCAAATTTGAATCTAATAGATCACAAGAATAATTATGAAATCCAAACCGCACTAAATGTACCAAACATTAGATTATATGGTTTAGGAGGAACTCTAAAGATTCACAGTTTGTTTGACAATGGCAATTTGAGTTATTTGGGAGTGTCCGGTAAATTGGGTGAATTATGGATATCATTATTACAAATAGCAGAATTATACATCAGTGTAACAAACTCAAAATCATTTACAGACACCACCAAGAATTTTACTATTAATATATTTATCAGTCATGTTCCTGTTGTCAAAGCACCCTTGTTGGAACATTTGGCAATTATAACACATGCCGATTTCACCATTAGTCAAGGTTTACATTTCCGATACCCGGTTATGGGCAATGGTATGAGCTTTGTTGATAGTATGGGCGGATCTGCAGGTTATGTTGAGAATTATCGATCTAAATTTTCGAGACTTCGGATGATCTTAGGAGAGTTATGGTTGGTTTTGAAGGATGATTTGATAGAGTTATTGCTAAACTCAGACTCTAGCGAGAGTCTAAGGAATCTAATCGAATTGGGGTTGAGTTTGTTTGATAAAATTCCAGTTTCAGTTACTGATTCGCTGGATAAAATTGTACCCTTGAGTTTATACCCAGAAGAGAATCAAGAATTGAACAAGAAATTACTTAAAAGAATTAATGATTATTATTTCCAAGCATATTACAACCTATGGCATTTCAATTTATGTGACCATAGTCTGGATACAGAAAATAAACACAATGTAATGATATTCAAACTTGATAATAAAGGAAACTTCAACCTCGATTATTGTTCCAGTCAAGGGTTTAATTTTAACTTCAAATTACAGGATAATTATGGAGATTCTAATGGTAAACATGACGGTATACATAATCGTGAAGACGATCAAGACGAGTCATTACGACAATCACAATCCTCACATAAAACGTCTTATCGGGGGCCATCCCGTAGAGGAGGAACAGGAAGTAATACAAGGGGTAGAGGAACTAGAGGAAATGGACGAGGCTCGTTTTATAGAGGAAGACGTGGTGGTGGTAGTGGTGGTGGTAGTAGTAAATCATCAAGATAAATAAAATAATTTGACAATAAATAACACTGTATATATTTTTTTTTATTTATATATAGTCTTCTCTTTTGTAAAGAAATACCCACAGAATATGTATTTGTATAATGTACAACAAGATTGCATTTGAATCTGTTTTTTTGTTTGTTTGTTTGTTTTTATATATTATAATGACTTCAATCCAATGATCTAATGGTGTTCGAAAGGTAATTTCATACCAAACATAACTGGTCCATCTTCTTTAATTCTCAACATAATCCAAAACCACATAGCAGCACCAAATAATTTTGATCCCCATTTAATGTGAGCTGGAACATGTGGTCTAGCAACTGGTGCATGTCTGATGTATCTTGCAAAATGTCCACCAGCCATTGTATTTAGTAATAATGATTGATGTATAAAGATATATTTATCTATAAGATAACCTATGATTCTATATTTTTTTTTTTCGTTTTGCTTTTCCTTTTCGTTCTCTGTCTCTTACTTTCGCTTAATTTTGGTTGGACAAAAAGTTGTTTTTGGTTGAGACACGAAACTTATGTTTTTCCCTCTATTCGCACGACCTGATCTCTCACGTGAATTTTGCAACCCACCGATTATGAAGAAAACTCTGAAGTTTAAGCATTAATTTTGAACTTTCCTAATTAGTCTTCATCCTTTCAATTACTTGCAGAGTGATGAAAGTTTCAAGTGATCCATTGAGAATCATTTTGGATTTTGTGATTTGTAATTTGTTCTATTTTAATTTACTTAAGTTTCATTAAAACATGTCACGATTCCCAATTAGGTAAGTGTAGATCCAATAGACCACATCTCTCTCTCTTTCTTTTTAATTTTCTTTTGAATTTTTGTTAATGCTTTAACTTTAGTTTTAACTTGCAATGCCTCTCCTTATTTAGGAGTCACTCCGATCCTTTCCTACTTTGACTATTTCAGGTTAAATTAATTTTGGTATAATGATCAACAGCACGGATACAGGACAATAATAGCAATATAAGTGTAGTAGTAATAATAGTAGATCATCGGAACTTGTCCCCGAGGTGTACAGTATATGTAATCCTTTTTTTTTATGAACCTAAAGATTCAATACTTTAAATAATAAGGCGAGAGGAGGACAAGAAGCAAAAAAGATACTAGAGCATGAACTAAACACAAGTATAACGAACAGTAAAGCATGATGTTATTGGATTTTCTTTTTTTGAAAGGAACGAACTTATTCGCAGATCAATTTCTGATGTGTGTAATTATAGACCTCGGATATTTCTACAGAACTGACAACCATGAAGAACAAGTCATAACTTTGAATTTTTTTTTTTAGAGGGAAATTTCAAGAGAGGTAGTTTAGCATTTCTTGTATTCTAATAATTCTTTCCCAGTCATACGTTTTTCAATCTTTGTGATTTATTGGGGGTTCATATTTTTTTATTTCTTTAAATTCATGTAATTCTGTAACATTTTCTTTGTTTGTCTGTTATATCCCCTCTCCTTTCTTTTAATCTATCCCCCCACCTCTGAATCTTTTATAACTCCTACGGGATTTTAATTTGTGATAAAGAAATGTAATTCTAACCACGAACTATTGCTACATTGGTTTGTGTATGAACTAGATAGATTTCTTTTTTTCTTTTTTTTTAAAAAAAGGCAAAAAATTAAAGTCCGATTTATGAGAATAAATGCATTTTTCAACTAAAGAGTATTTTATTCTCCCACTAAAAACAAAAAAAAAACCGTTGTGAACAATGCCAGCGTTCAATTAGAAAATGAACAAAAAGGTATGTACAATCTCCCATATCATTACATTTACAGATACAGATACAAAAGATAAAGATGGTGAATAATTTTTTTTTTTTTCTTTTTACTTGTTTATTTCATTTTTGTTCATTTTTATCCTCCTTACTTTGAAGTACAGGTTTAAAATGAGTGGATTATGTAACCATTTGAAAAAAATATCAGTTCATTATGCCTTGCAGTGCGTTTCGGAGAAAATATGTAAAAGGTGATAAAATATATTATCCCACATATGCATTAAGCACCACCATGAACAGCGTACTTGACCTATTTCCAAATAAGGAATAATTGCTTATATAATCTGTTAAGGTTGTACAAAGAAACATGCCTGTTGTTTAGATGTTTTCCCATTGAACATACATGTTGTAATTGCTGTACATAGGCTGTAGTCAATTGAAATGATAAAACTTGGAAAAGTTGTATATATGTTCATTTGGTAGAGAACTAGTTTCCCTTTTGACGTAATTTATTGTCATGCAAGAAGAAGTCTAAGCGAACAATATTATCGTTGCAACAATCAAGAACAATTATAGTACTCACCCATTTTCATGATTTTTCAAGGCGAGCATATCCATTGCATTAATCAATTTAACCATTCTTGCGTTTTGCACATTTGTTTTTAACAAGCAAGTTTTGTGGTTATATATCGGCATGGTATCCTAAATTTCAATTCTCAGTTATTCACACAATCAGTCCTCTAATGATAGGTTCATTTTGCACAAGTAACGAGCAAATGGTTTTAGTTCTACATTCTAATTTGAAACATAAATTGGTAGAGAAAGAGAGAGAGAGAGAGAAATGAGAAAAAAAAAGGAAAAATGCGTATGTGTGTTGTTGAACATCAAATGTTTTCCTATTTGCCAAATTCAGCTGACGGCTGATACCAAGTCATTGATAATGAAATTTTTAAAAATGTACTGGGTGTTTGTTTTGAAGATGTTTGACGAGTTTATATGTTGGGAATAATTGTAAGACCAGTTTTTTTTTTGTAGTAAGATATTGGTAATGAGTAAAAAGATGAAAAACTTTAAAACAGGAATGTCAAAAACTACGGAAACCCTTTGTTTTACATCAAAAAAAAAAATATATATAGCAAAATTCAAAACTTATCAAACATTCCATCCATATATTTCATAAGCTTCTAAACAATCTTACCTAATTTGATGTGTTTCGTTATCAGATATCTCTAACAGCCTCAAGTAGATTTGTCTTTGTCTTTTTTAATTTTTTTTTTTTGCAACCTCACCAAGTACTTTAAACTACAAGCTATGTTATATAACATATAAATAAGTTGTATATTTTATATATATAGATCGTTAAGACATTACATTTATTATATTTTTTGGGAATATATAAAGGAGGGACGTAAATATATTAAATGAAGTTTTAACTCTAGAACAAACAAGAATAAAAACCCATCAAATATAGTAAACAAAAAATTTGGTACTATCAATAAAAAAAGTATTTGTTGTGAACCAAAATTAAATAATAATCATTAAAGGAGTGACAAAGTATAGAATAGGACATTATTATTATTAGGAACATTAAAAAAAGCACATTGGTGTGGCAGGGAGGCAACGTAAAAGGAATTCCCTTACACCAAAGGGTATATGATGGAGTTTATAAGGACAAATAACAAACAACTGAAAACAAACAATAATAAAATATAAAAAAAAAGGAAATCAAACAATATAAAAATCAAACAAAAGGAACTAAAAAAAAAACTAAAAGTGGAAAATAACAATTCTATTGAGTTGAGTCAGGCCCACCCATTGATAAATTTGAAGTTGAAGATAAATAAGTGGGATACTGTGGTCTAGCAGTAGAAGAAGATTGATCTTCTTGACGAACAGTGTAGAATGTTTCTTGTTGTGGAGGAACACCTGTATTACCTGTAGATCCAACTGTATTATGAACACCAAGAGGAGCTTGTAATTGTGGCTGAATTGGATTTGGAACTGATGTTACACCATGTGACATTTGGTGATGAATGCCAGATGTCTGTGGCTGCTGTTGTTGATGTTGTTGGTGATGAACATGCTGTTGTTGTTCTCTAGTTTGCATTTCACGTTCTTGAGCTCTTCTCAAATCACGTTCATGTAACCTGTAATGTCTAGTCATATTTGATTTGACAGAAAACAATTTTCCACAACCATCCCAAGGACATTTAAAGATTTTCTCCCCGGTATGAGAATAATAATGGGTTTGTAAAGATGATGGACGCTTGAATTGTTTGTTACAAATACGGCATCTGTTTCTCTCAGCTGTTTCCGGAGTCATATCATGAACAGTAGCTGTGTGTCTTCTTTTGCGTCCTCTTTTTGGTAATACAACAGATGACGATGATGGTGGTGGAACACTGGAGGTTGCTTGTCTACTTGGATCCAATAATGGAGCAGCAAAATGAGAATTATCTGGAACATAATTGGAAGCCAATGGTGACACATCATAAGTATGTTGCTGCTGTTGTTGTTGTTGTTGGGAGTTTGGAGGGGTGGCTCCAATTTGATTTAATGGTGGTAAAGAAGGAACCAAATAATTGTATTGGTCTGAACTAAAATGTGGAGTAGTAACAGTAACAGATGTTGATGATTTATCTGTTGGAGTAGCAGAAGAAGGAACAACTGATGCACCTGATTGTCTTGGTTCATTCATTGGATATTGTTGTAAGTTTGTAGTGCTATTGCTTGAAGCAATTCCTTGGGAATAAGCATAACCTCTTGAAGCTTGAAAATAATAGTTTTCATTCTGACTCGAAGGTTGAGAATATTGTTGTGGAGTTTGGACAGTAGGAACTTGTTGTTGTTGAGAAGGTTGTTGCTGCTGTTGCTGTTGTTGCATAATTAACAGAATTTGTTGTTGATGTTGAGCTTGAGCTTGCAACTGTTGTTGCTGATAAGTTTGTTGTGGAAAGTACTATTGAGGATAATCCATGAATTGAGGTGGTAAACTTGATTGAACTTGAGAATAAGGCATATTTGTTGACGAATTATTTGTTGATTTATTGGACGATTTATTATTTGGTTTATTTTGAGAATTATTCTGATTTGGGCTATTTGACATTACTTGGTAAGGATTAATACATAGTTAGATTAATAACAATATGTATCAAGGAAGGGGAAATGAAATAGTGAAAATAGTTGGATGTTATGGTTGTGGTTGAATTAATCAATATAAGAAAAAAAAAATCTTTGATAGTAAAAAGCGAGTGAAAAAAGGATTTTCTTTCTAGTATTGATATTGTGTAAGTAATGTAGTGGAAATCAGAAGAATGTAAATGATGTATCTTCTTCACAGTTCAATAAGTTGCAAAAAAAAGGTTAATAGTAACAGAATGGGAGGGAAAAAAAGGTTTGGTTGAATTTTTCTTCTCAAGTAATTGTATAATACAAAAGGAAAGGGGAAAAAAAAAATTATAAAAATCGTGATCCAGAATTGGAAAACTTCAATGGGTATTTATATATAAAGAAAAGAGAACCAACCCATGATTTAAAAGAATACAAAACAACACAGAGAGAAAGAGAGAAAAAAAAGTCGATATGCACAAACAACTAAACAGTTAACATTTCCTGTTTTCCACTTTCCTTCAATTCTGTGTTTCAAAAACAAAAGGAAAACAAAATTATTCAAAGAAAAAAAACAATATACAGAATCCTTCCTTTGTTAGTTTTGTAACATCAAATGTCAAGCGGTAGAAATCCTGAAGGTTATGAACACATTTTACTGCTATTTCAGTATATAGGGCTAAATAGCTTCTTTCTTGGAGAAGTAGAATATGTTGTGCTGTGCTGTTTTGTTTTGTGTTCTCTTCTCTTTTTGGGTAAGGTTATTTTAAAAACCTTCTGTGCATATACAGGTTACCCTTGTAAACGAAAAGCGAGAGAGAGAGAAAGAAAGAAGAAAATACAGTTGGAATAGCAAACAGATTTAATAAGCATCCTTTATTTTTTGAGTTTAAGTTTCACATCATCCAACTCCGATCTTTACATATTTCAGGCTATAAGGCAAGCATCGCTAATAATTATCCTATATCAGCATAATGCACAAGGTTGAACTTCGCGAATCATACTAATCCTACCAAGATAATCAATCAGGTCCCACACTCACATCAGGAGAAGGAGTATGTGTAAGTAAGGAGTACCACATTTCCTTAAAGTGTTTGCTTTTTTTTTTGGTTGTGAAATTTTGAAATTGGGGACAATACAAAAGAGAACACGGAAAAAAATATTCTGGAAAAGTGTCATAATAAAAAGGAAAAAAAAAATATAAGGAAAATCACTTTCATAACCCCCATTAGCAAAAAAAAAAAAAAAAAACAGTTCCGTTCAAAAAATCTAACTACATCAACATATGTCATTAATATCCGGAGATATTAGACGGTTGTTTTGATTTTGTAGTGAAGAGTTGTTAAAAAATGTAAATGGGAGAAATGTATCATAATAGAATATAAGTATGTATATTTTTTTTTTTATCATTCACTAAAGTAAGAATTTTTTGGCAATTTTGCACAACTTTTTTTTATCAGAGTGTCAACTTTTGTGTCATTTTACAAAGTTTACTTCAGCATGGAAATTACAATAACTCTTCTATTAACACAAAGGATTCTTTGGATTATTCAACCTGAAACACAAGAGAACCCTGGTTGATGAGCATTAGTTTTCTGTTAATGGTGACAACTGGAACATGGCTCTTTTTCTTTTGATTTATTTATTTATTTATTCATTTTATTTCTTCTTGCAGCTAGAAATTCGTCGTCGACTTAGTTGTTACACCATTAGTGCAAGTCTGACAGATTACTTAGACCTGGCTTAATGATGTCCGTCTTCTACATATACGATATGGTCTCCTTTTAATTATGTGTCAGGCTATCAAATTGATAAATCCGGGAAGTACAAAGCACTTGGATTAGTCAAAATGAACCATGAACCAGCTATAAAAAAAAAAAAATAAAAATAAAAAAAAAGAAGAAAATAAATTGAAAATCTTCAGGATCATTGAGTGTAAATTCATAGACAAATAGATGTACAGATACTATCAATTTTAAACCTACGTGAAAGAATACTATTCATGGTTTAAAATGAAGGCGATTCTGGAAACTAAAATGGATTATGTTAGCATTGCAAAATGTTGTATGCACTAAGGACATAACCATTTAATTGCTTACTAATAAAAGTTCACATGGATTGGAAAGTGTAAAGGACGTAATCATATACACACGAATGATGTCTTGTATATAGAGTCGTAATATCTAAGCTTCGTAAAAAGATGATATTCACTAGATAAATTCAAAACATAATCGGTAGAGACAAAAGAAAAAAAAAAAAAAAACCAACCAATAATTACGGATAACATTCCATCTGTTGATGGGAGATAAGAGCATCGTTGGAAGCGGTGGCATTTGAAAAAAAAAGATACATAATCCATCACGAAAGGGTATTAACGATTTCTTTCTGCTGGAATATAGATTTATCCGTTCATTCTTGAAATATGTACTGTTGCTGCACAATGCGTAAATCCGTTTAAAGTCCATTGCATGAACTTTTTGCATTTATTTTATGCGATTTGTTTAACAAAAATAATGAAAGATCGGCAAGCATTTGCATATTGGTGGGAAATTAAGTGATGAGACAAGTTGGAACAATTATAATTACAAGTAAAAGTGAACATCTAATATTGGTTGCAACTGATACATGAAATCGTGACTCGGACAAGAAATAAAATGAAAGTGAAACCAGAAATATTTGCCAGAGTGTTAGAATGAATCATCAAAAAATGCACGAAACACCCATGAAAGAGAAGAAACATAATGTATATCTGTTGCTATCATCAAGCCATAGTTGGAGTACATAAATACGATATTATGACCAAAAAAAAAAAAAATAAAAGGAAAAGTCAATAAAAGCCGACTATCCTATTCACCATGACAACTATAACTGGATATTTTAAGATAGACATATGAGGCTAGTTTCATTATATTTTTTTTCTGCCATGAATCAAATGTAAAAACTAACAACTAAGAAAATTAGAGAAAGTGGAAAGTACATTTTCTCCTGAAACGTCAAAGGATCTACGTCAATGACCTATTTCAGACGGATACTTTACTGACACTGATTTTTTTTATTAGCTCTTTTGTGTTTCAACATTACATTGGATCGTGTAAGAAGAAATAAGCAAACTTCCCAGACTAAAACATTTGGTAAGTGTAATGGTTTCTTCTTCATTGGGTACATATGACCAATGGTTACCTTTACAACAGAGCCAAATGAGAGATCAACAATAGATGAAAAGATCATCCACCTCATATATTTATTAACTCAATGAGTCTAACCTTGGTATGTCACACTCTAAAATTACCATTCTCGATTATATAATCTCTATTCACCTTGTTTTGAAATAAATTCAAACAGAAAAAAACAATACATTCAATACAATTTTTGAAATCATTGGAAGAATAAGGTGAAACAAACATACTCGATGATGATGATGAAGAAGAAGACAAAGGGTTTTCTTCATTCTCTCTTTTTTTTGGGTTTAGTGCCACATAGTTAAAACCCATTGGATTTAATTCTACTGCCTAAAGTCCTATGCGTTCACATACGATTAAGTATTAATGCAGATAAATAATGTTGGTAAAGTAAGTGTTTTGAAAAAGAATGATACGATTTTACCCTGTTCAGCATAGAGTCAGAGAACCACAACCAACAAAGGGGATAGAAACCTATGCATAATCATGTATATGCATTACACACTGTTCTATTCAGTTTGTGATTGGTTTTCTTTGGTGTCTTTTTGTTTTTTTTTTGTTTTTTATTTTTATTGGCTTGTTAATTAATCTAATTTATTCAATTAATTATCATCAGCATTTTATTTGACCCTTTTCCGGTTATCTTTATTTTTTTCGTTTTCATTAAGTGACAGAAAGTTACAAGGTCAATCCAATCATGGATTATCCTACTGTCAATCTACTGTTAGTTTATCGTATTGTTTTATGGGTTACTATGTGTAAATCAGGGGAGGTGCTAAAAAGTGAAGACACCAAATATTAAAACTAAAGGCAACTATAGGAATAAAAAAAATATGGGCAAGGACTAAAAAACAAACTAAACTGTAGGAGTAGATCAGGTCCAGAGTAACGAAAATAAAAAAGTTAACACTAGAAACCGGGAGATTACTGTGTTTCATCACCTTATTTTATTATCCTCTTTACATTTCAATTTTTACGGATGGAGAAGAATAGTAAAATGATTACAGATTAATTAAATATCGTAACCCGCCTTTTTTTTGTTGCTGTTGTTGTTCAGGTATTATAGGTTGTTACTGAGTTTAGCGCGTTTATCAGTTCTTTTCCTTTTCCAATTTTTTAGTTTGCTTCTTTTAGAGGTATGCCTTAGTTTATTTGCTACCTCTAACCTAGTTTAAATTGTCATGTATTACTGCTATTGAATAGTTCTCTCACTGATATTATTCACCAACTTAGAGTGCGCCATGTGCAAATTCTTAATCCACAAAAAAAAAAATATTCATTTTTAGCATTCACGCCATACTTGTAACTAAAATCATTTTAGTTTCCAGTATGCAAGGGCAGCAAAACCATTACATATTATTCAATACCTAAAAACCCCCCTTCTGATGGTATTATGGGTGCTCAATATTATATTTGAAAGAAAAATTCACATGCTTGTCAAAAAATTGACTAAATATCAACTAAAATTGAAAATAACGACTCAACATGGAAAATAATTGTCTCCACTTCTGTCATTCTATTCTAGTATTATAATCAACATTGCTCTGCGTCTCTCTTGTTCATTCCATTCTTTGTTTGTTTAGGAAGACAAGGGCGGTATGAGTTCATGACAAACTGCAAAAACAAAAGACAGAAAAAAGAAATAAGAACACTTAGATTGTCTAAAAACCAACTATAATGTTTAATACATAATATGGGCATTCTTTTAAACCACCCAAAGTATTGTCTAAAGTTGAAAAATAATGAATGATTCTTTTTTTTTTTATAGTATCACAAATGTTCAGAATAACGCCTGAAGCAAGAAAGACGAAGAGGAAACAAGACAAACATATTTTATTCTTTGCAGTGTCTAAAATAGCTCTACTTTGTGACACTGATACCTTGAGAAAACAATTGCAAACCATATTTGCAAATCCGATGAGTTGCGTTACCCATCTCGTAGCTGTAGAAGTTTTAAATGGTTTAATTGTTATGATGCCCACTTCAAACATAATAAAATAAATTACCAACAGAAAGGCTTTGTAGCACTCCGAGAAAATTAAATATTATGGTGATCCTCAAAATGATTGACTACGTCCTGGTTTTTATTTTCTTTTTTTTTACAATTGAATGGGATTTGCATTGATAAATTCTCCACAATTGATGGTTTCTTTTTCGGCAAGTGAGTGTAAAGAAAACATGTTGGGGGCATTCAAACTGTAAACGTACACCTTTTACAAATATAATCAGTATTCAAACGTATTGCCAATATCTGTTTAAAGCGACCCTCAACCCACTTTAAATTTTAATAAAGTAACGAAAGCAATACTCCGTAGGTTTAGGCGAATCATTTTTTGAACAAACGATATGCATTATTGTTTATGTTAATAATCAATTCGTCTAGTATAATATTTTATTGCTCTTTTCGTATAAAAGATGTCTAGTGGACGTTATGCTGATCTTATCGTTCAATAAAAAGCCTAATAAATAAGAAGATAACATATATTGAGTTTTGTATTTCTTCAAGAGAATATATCAAATTGTATGTTGTACTTTTTGTTAACTTTTCGCAACTTTATTCCACTAAAAAGAAAAAGAAAAGAAAGTCCCACAGCAATTATTGCACTCCTTTAAGTTAATAATTTAACATATGCGTTCTGTTGAAAAGCAAATTATCACGGAAGAAACAATTACCGTTTCCTAATTCTCTGTAGCAACGTCATCAATTGGAATTGTCTTACATTTCTCATTTCCCTACATCCTGAAAGTTTTAGAAGATTTTAAAAGTTTATTGGCATCACATGAATAGATCACGTGATTTTTTTTTTTTTGTAGATCGAAAGATGGCATCAGACTACTTTTAACATTAGATCCATTACGTAAACGAAAACTTTAAAAAAAAAACTTTATCAATAGTCGAAGTGATCAAATTTTAAGAGGCGATGATTTCAAGTAATTAATTTCCCAACTATTGACTTTTGTAAAGTTATTGTATCTTGAACTGTGCCTCATCGGAGAACAATTCGACTTTTCTTCTCCTTTGTCGGCTGGTTTCACGGGAAAGGACTTGAAACGATTGAAGCCTCCCCCTCTCTCTCTACAGCCCTGTTCCATAGTCTCGGTCTATACTATCCAACCAACAATTAGTGATTTATCCTTTGAATTTCTCATTTGATGTTGTTCTCTGTCTTTGAGTGATGGCTGTTACCATAGTTTCACTATTGAATTTTCTTGTGTTAGTTTACTACCACGGAGAATCTAATCGATGCCCTGCAGTAACCGTTTCCCCCTTTTAATATTATTATTAATATTTTTTTTTTTTCAGAACGATCTATCCGTATTTAAAATTTTGTATCTGATTTGCCAAGAGTGGATTTTACATGCCGGAATTCATGAACAAACCAGTTCATTGATTGATTGGTTGTGGTAAAAGAAGATATCAAAGCCATGCTGACCAATAGGAGTAATCAAAGATTGAATAAACAAATACACTAAAAATAGAATTAATGTCTCTTCCTTTCTGATCCGAAGGAATACTAAAAGAAAAAGGGGAGATGAAAAAAAAGGACTAAAAACTAAAAACTAAAAACTAAAAATAGGATTGATTTGTAATTCCTATCAAATGTTTAATGTCGCATCTCATGGTTGCTTTCCAGGATTCATTTTAATTTTTCTTTTTTGGACTCAGGATTTTACTCCAGCCAGCCATTTTTTTTTATTCCCCTTCTCACTCCGGAAAATTCGTGACATTATCGGTTTTGCAACTTTTTCCCAGATAATGTCGCACGGGTAAGCCTTGTAATACTGCGGGAGTGAAATGATGTAACCAAATATTAAAATTTTAACAAGCCAGCAATTTAATTACATAACCTATTTGGATTAAATTACTTACATAAATTTAGTGGAAAGAAAAAAAAAAATAAAGGGGAGGATCCATGAAAAATCAACAATAATGTACACTAAATTGAATATTCTATTCGTGACCGGATCACCCAGTGATTCGATACCTAGGATCGCACAAAAAGCAAGATTGTAGTTTCTAGCCAGCACAAATCAATCGTTACCAGTTGATTTCTATAATTTGCTCATTATCTATGAATTGATCTGATACCAACTCTTTATTCTCCCCCTTTTTTTTTAAAAAAAAAAAAAATAACAACATAATTTTAGATTTAGTATGACCTAGTTGGTTCTTAGCGTACAAAATCAAAAAGAACAATATCTAACTGTAATTATTATTTCAAAAAGTATTTAAACAGGGGAAATTTTACTTCCAAGAAAATATTTTTTTTTCTTATTCATTCATCTTTTATATTCCACAATAATCACAAACTATTATAATCATAATAATAAATTATCATCAACAATGAAGTATTCTACCCTTTTCACCATTGCTGCATTCTTATGTTCATCTTCCTTGGCTGCTACTCTTCCTGAAGAAAATTATTCAACTTTAAGTCCTTCAGCTCATGCTTTATCAGGTGCAACCACTGATTTTACTGGTACTTTTGGTATTCAAATTGTCACTGTTGAATCTGCATCTGCTCTTTCAACCGATAAATCAACTTCTACTTTAACTAAAGATAAAAGAGCAGTAGCCACTCCTGTTGCACAAATTTCCGATGGTCAAATTCAACACCAAACCACAGCTGCTCCAGTTCAACAAATCTCAGATGGTCAAATTCAACATCAAACAAAAGCAACTACTACTGCTAGTCCTGTTAAACAAATTTCTGACGGACAAATTCAACACCAAACAAAAGCCACTACTACTGCTAGTCCTGTCAAACAAATCTCAGATGGTCAAATTCAACACCAAACTAAAGTCACTACCACCGCTTCCCCAGTGAAACAAATCTCAGATGGTCAAGTCCAACATCAAACCAAAGCTACTACTACCGCTTCCCCAGTTAAACAAATCTCCGACGGACAAATCCAACACCAAACCACTGCTGCTTCTGCTGTTAAACAAATTAGTGATGGTCAAATCCAACATCAAACTACTGCATCAGCTATCAAGCAAATTAGTGATGGTCAAATCCAACATCAAACCACTGCTACTGCTGCTGCCCAAATTAGTGATGGCCAAGTTCAACATCAAACTACTGCCACCGGTGCTGCTCAAATTACTGATGGTCAAGTTAATGCCAACTCAGATTCATCTGCTTCTACTACTGCCAAAGACGATAGTGAAGATGATGATGACTCCCTTCCACAAGCTTGTTCTGCTGAAAACAACTTAGAAATGACTTTACATGATGGTGTTTTGAAAGATTCTTTAAACAGATGGGGTAGTATTGTTGCTAATCGTCAATTCCAATTTGATGGTCCAATTCCTCAAGCTGGTGTTATTTACTCTGCTGGTTGGTCAATTAGAAACGGTTACTTGTATTTGGGTGATTCTGATGTTTTCTACCAATGTTTATCTGGTGATTTCTACAATTTGTATGACGAAAATGTCGCTGCTCAATGTTCTGCCGTTAAATTAAGTGTTATTGAATTTGTTGATTGTTAAAATAAAAACAAAAATAATTAACAAATCTTACATCAAAAGGTTTTGATTCTTACGAAAGGTCGTTAAATTTTTATTCTTCATTTTTTATTTTCTATTTCGTTGGTCATTTATTTTCAGGGAGGGGTTTTTATGATTGTATATTCGTTTTCTAATTAGCTTTCATACTTATTTTATTATTATTCATAGTCATTATCATTGTTTATCTTAAAAGAAAAAAAAAAATACAAATCAAAAGTTTATTACGTCATCAATTATTCAATCCTCGTAAAACTATGTTTCGCACCCAAAAATATCACAGAAGAAAAAAAAAAAAAAATAAAAACCATAATTAGAAACTTACATATGGTAGCATTAAGCAAGTTAAATCCGATCGTTTGCTAAATTGATTACGTAGCTCTATTATATATACCTATAATCTCATTTATAAACTTTTACTTTCTTTTTTTTTTTTTTTCTATTTCTTTGTGATTACTCTATTTACTTTTTTATGTCGTTTCTAATTGATCATTAACGTTTCAAGAATCCCTTTTGTTTTATTGAATTATCGTGTTCAGAAGTCATAGTATATGCAACACTAGTATATGCACTACTCTCCGGATTATATTGTGGACTCAGATTGAAATCTTCAAATTCCCCATATCTTAATGTTACCGAATTAAACCTCGAGAATGGATCATTTTCATTTATACTGTTAGATGAAGCTTCAATAATTTCTTCCGATTCTTGAGCAGGTCTTTCAAATCTCTTGTTTGATTTAGTTAAAATTGGAATCATTGGAGGTTTTTGATGTCTTAATAATGCCCACTGGGTATCCTTAAAAAAAGCATGGCTCTTGATCTCTGATGCACCAGTCTTGGAACCCAATCGTTTCTCTTCGTCTTTGATCAACAACTTTTTGATAATGTTTCTACAATTTGATGAAACAGATTGAGTGTCCAAAAATTTCACTTCCTTCTTCAACACATTGGCAAATGTCTTTTTTCGATCCTGACCCTTAAATGGTGTGGTACCATACAACATCTCATAAATGAAAATCCCCAATGTCCACCAATCAACGGCACTAGTGTGTCCTTTACCACGAATAACTTCTGGTGCAATATATTCTTCTGTTCCAACAAATGAATTTGTTCTGAATCCATCAATACAAGCTTTAGTATCAATTGTTGGTCCATTATGATGATTTGAACTTCCTGATGACGGTAAATGCATTCCCGATTTGTTAAATGAAATTTCTGGGTTTTTGGCTCGTTCACTTTGTTTAGATAAATCAAAATCACTCAACATAATATGTCCAGATTGATGTAATAAGATATTCTCCGGTTTCAAATCACGATATATAAATCCCATCAAATGAAGATATTCCAATGCAGCTGTAACTTCAGCAGCATAAAATCTCGCATCTGCTTCACAAATAGTTTTAGTTTCTCTAGTTTGCAAGGCACGGAAAAACTCTCCACCCATACAATATTCCATACAAAGATACAAATGCTCCTTAGATTGAAATGAATGATACAACGTAACAATAAATGGATGGTTTGATGTAGCCAAAATCTCTTGCTCGGCCAATGCACGTTTGATTTTATTTCTTTCAATCATCTCTTTTTTACTCAATATCTTCATGGCATAAAGCTTATTGGTCTGCTTTTCTCTAACCAAGTACACTTTCCCAACATCACCTTTTCCCAATAATCTAATTTTTTCAAAACTATCCGGACGAACTTGAACATCAACGATCTTGGTAGCTGAATTAGAATATGTTCTGTCTTGTGTGTAAGTTCTTGGACGACCTGTGATCTTCACTTCCCCTATATGTTTATTGATATCAAATGGATCTTCAGTTTTCTGTGGAGATGCAGAAACCGATGGTGAAGTTGAAGAAACCCCATGTTGGTCTCCTGCTTGTTTATCAACCATTAGACGGTGTACTAATGGCGCTGATGCTACTCTTCTCAAGGCACGCTGAAATGGGGACGCTGGAACTGCCAAGTCGGTTTCTTGTTCAACAGGCTTCAAGTTTAATTCATCTCCTTCCATAATCAGTCTTATTGGTGTCTTTGGAAGTGGTGAACTTGGCTCCGAATTGTCTTCACTTGAGGTTGATATTTCACGACTATGTATCTTCGGAGGTTTCAAAACACCTTGGTCATTTAATGAAAACACCGAATCATTATGTCTCAAAGAAACTGATAAATCTCCCCTATTAGGTGCTGTTTCCAAATGCGCATTCTGAGAAGCTTTCAGGTGTTCAGGCAAACCTTGGTATTGGAAATATGGATTTGACTGAGCTACGGGACTCAGTGGGGATGAATCAAGGTTATCATCAACAGTTGCTTCTCCTACTGTATTAATAGCTGATGGGGGTGTTATCTGTACCGGCATATCTTCAGTTCGTGATACATGTGTTGTGTTTGATGGAGTTATTTGGTTTTCCGTCAAACTGTCATTCAATGATGTTGATGTACCTGTAGTAACGATATGTGGTACTGGTGGTTCCTTTTTGAATCGCGGCGGAGTTAAGGGGGTTGATACTGATCTTGTTCTTCCAACTGTACGTGCATCCTCGGAATGTATAGACGTACTTGATGGCAATCTAAACATATTTTTCAACCTTACAAAGCCTGAATTATTCTGTTCGGATGTGGAAGGCAGGGACGATGAATGATTATCCGTGGTTTCATTTGACGTCGACCGCGATTGATCTTGGTGTTCCTTGTTAAATAAAAATCTTGTGAATGAAATAGATCTAGTTCTGTTTCTTGACAGAGGTCTAGAGTCTGGGATAGATAGTTTTTCTATAGGTTCCGGGGTAATTGAAGGATCTTCATGTGTTTCCTCTACCTCGTGCTCCTCTGGAATGGAGGTGGAAGAAGTGGGGGAGTTGTTACTATTATTATTGTTGGTATTCGAGATATCGTTGGTGGAAGTTGTGGAGTTGTTACTATGGCTGTGATTGTGGTTGAATATCGATAACATTACCATTCTTTATGTTTATTGTTGGTGGTAGAAAGGTTGATTCTCTGGCAAGTGAACTCGTGGGAATATTTGATGAAATTTTTTAGAAAATAATAAATTAATTGAACAAGCCAAAAAAAAAAGAAAAGCTAAAAAATAAAAAGTAAAAAAAGCAAAAACAACAAGAAAAAAAAAAGAAAGACAGTAGAAGTGAGAATTTATGTGTGAGGTGTTGTGATTGTAATAATTTCTTTTTTTTTCTCTCTCTCCCTTCCTCTGTGCCATGATTGTTCGTTCTGTGGGTCGTACATTTGTGAAGATGGGCCAGTGTTGGGGTTGGGGCGGGCCGACATTAATATATATGTTTCAAAGAGGGAAAGTAGAGAAATGAAATATATTGACTATTACTTCTTCCATGTTGCCTTTTATGTTAAGTTTTCAAAATGAGGAAGGTTGACCATTGCTATACTGTGATTGCTAACTAATACTCAATTCTTGCGGCCATACGTGGGCGTGGACAAGAAAGAGAAAGAGAGACACAGTAATAAAATAAAAGGTGGAGAGAAGATACGTAGAACAGAACAGAACGAAAGTAATTAAAATACAAAATAGGGGAAAGGAAAAGAGGAAAGAAGGAGGGAAATTGAACCCACAAAAATAATTGACACAAACCGGAAAAATTGAAAAACTAAAAAACTGAAAAAAAAAACTAACTAAGTTGTGGGCTGTGATCCAACCGGCGTCTCGTTTCCAGTGGCCCAGTTTCAACGCCCATTTTCAACGCGTCTTATCAGGCGTATGGACATTTAGAAAACGAATACAATCTGATAAAGAAAGAAGAAACAAAAAAACTGCCCCCAAGGTTGGCTATATGTGCTCATTACTAAGACTTCAATTATTGATACGAACTGCTTAAAAAAACGATTAAAAACTCTTATGGGGGGAATTGCTAATCTTCGGGAATACTTGTTTATCTATCTATTTATTAGCTTTCGCCAAATAGTCAAGTTAAACCGATCATGTTGCCTTGTCACTAGTTTTTTTTTTAAAAACACCTTGTTTTCTAGTCGATGTGGCGCAACTCTCAAGCCGACTATCATGGAGTTGAGATTCCTCTAGGCTGAACATACCTTTGTAACTATTTACGAGAGATTCATAGCCACTTTTTGGAAACCATGATAATTCCTTGTCCGCGAAGTTAATATCACGTGACCCGGGACACAGAAACAACGTAATTCTTTAGCTGTATTGATATACATATATATATATTATTAACTTTAACTATCTAATTAACTAAGTGAGGTGGTAAAAGGAAGTTAGGTATGGAATTTTTGATGTAATAGATGTGTTGACAGTTTTTACAGATCATTTTACCTTCGATGATCTGTGTTTCAATCAATAAAGTGTGTAAATCTCTTAATACGGCTTGGCTATCTTCCATAATTGGATCCAAGTCTTCTGGTTTGGTAGGTGGTAAAGATTCATTGCCCAAATCTTTAGCAACTTGTATTATAGCATTCCAATCTAATCTATCTAACATATGAACAATAAATTCTGGGTTGTAATCTTGTTCTTCTTGGACTAATTCACATTCTTCATACTTTAATGGAAATGAGTCCAATGATGATTGACATCCTTTAACAGCACATTTGACAAAATTTGTTGTAAGAAACTTCATGGTTGATCTATATTTGTGTGTGATGACTACTAACTCGAGGTTAAGTTTGCAATGAGATGGAGCGCAGATTATCAACTGAAAAATAAAAAAAATAAAAAAAAATTTAAAAAAACAAATTGCCATTAAACACGACCACGATAATATTTGGAGAGTAAATAAACCGAAATGTATATATATAACAAGATGGCCATGCAAAAATACGATGGTACAGCTTGTAAATTTAGCTACTGTGTGGTCATTGAAGTGGACAGAAACTTGAATTGGTTGTCGCATTAAGTGCATCTCATATACATGAAAAAGCTCCAAATATGAACATCACAGTATTCCAATATCACTTTAGCCTGATGACTGGTGCACACTTATGAATAAACTAGCTTCTATTGTTGATACTGGTGTATTTCGAAGCTGCAATTGTAATAAACGGCGAACAGTTTATAAATTCCCAAAAGGAATGGCAGAACACGCGGAACGTCAAAACAAAAAGGGGAGAATTTTTTTTTTTTTTTTTCAAATATCAAGACCCCACCCATTTAATCTAACCAAGGCAATGCATCAGAGCAAAATCAGCAGATTCTTTACTCCAAAAAAGCGTGCTACCGAAGATGAATCTAATACTAAATCAGTCACATCACCTACATCATCTTCCACATGCAGCTCAAAATTGGCTGAGTTTATCTTCGATCCTGAATCCACATCAGAAGACTGTGTCCCATCATCCAAACAGAAGAAAAGAAAGTCAAAGGGTATAATCAGCGCTCCAGAATCGAAAAAAGTCAAACCTCAATTGACAGCCATGGAAAGTCAGATTCTTGATTTGTTGTCTGAGAATTCTGACAAGATATTGTTGATTCAAAATGGTTATAAATACAGGGCCTATGGTGAAGGAGGTCGAACCGTTGCAAATATTCTTAATATGTGCTTCATTGAAGACAAGAAAGATCTGAGATTTGGACGCTGTAGTTTTCCCGAAGTTAACTTGCACAAACATCTTCAAAGACTTTTGAACCATGGGCTCACTATTGGGATTGTTAAGCAGTTAGAATCGGCTGCTTTAAAGGAGTTTGATGAAACTAAAAAATCTTCAAGCATAATGGAAAGAGGACTTACTGCAGTTTATACAAAATCTACTTATTTTGGTGATGAATGTGTGAAAGATTCAACTTCTGAGGATTATTTTGATGGTGGGAAGTACATTATTTGCCTCAATGAAATTCTGACTAAAGAATTTGCATTGGTAGCTGTCAGACCATCAACTGGTGAAATTATTTATGATCAATTCATGGATAGCGGGTTTAGATATGAGTTGGAAACGCGATTACTTTATCTACCACCAGATGAAGTAATTGTCATTAGTAAGTCAGAGAATATACTGACAATGAAAATACTAAAATCAATTGACGACAACCTCAAGACTACTCGTGTTAATATACCAGAAGATACACTAGAATCTTGGAAGCACATTTTAGGAGATGATGCACTTGAACTTTATTCCGTCAATTATTCCCTTCCATTACAGCAATGTTTTGTTTCACTTCTTGAGTACTTGTCACGATTGAATGTGGCTAATATGCTAAGCATTCACGATAATGTCACGCTATTCAATGATTCTAAAAAGCATATGGTTATTCCCGCAGAAGCTATCAAATCACTTGAATTGTTTACCAACACTACTACAAATTCAAGTATTGGGTCATTGGTTAATATTTTGGATCGCACAAGAACTCGATTTGGTTACCGTCTTTTCCAAAAATGGATATCACATCCGCTTATTGAAATCAAGGCAATAGAAGAAAGACATGAGGCCATAAATGCATTGTCTGAACACAATATTTTGTTTGAATCGATGGAAAGGTTTCTTGGTGCATTGAAAAACAATGATCTTGAATCAATGTTGATGAAACTCCATTATTCGGCTGATGGAACAACACCGAATAGAATCAACAGAAAGGAAGTATACGCTATATTGAACCATTTTGATGATTTATTCAAGTTGGTTAATAAATTTGAAAAGACAATAAGATCTAAAGATTTTGGTTCATCTATAGTAAACAAAATCTTTGATGAGTTGTTATCGTTTACTAATACGATTGAAGATAGTTTGAGTCTAATAGATCCTAGTTTTCTTGATGCTGTCGATCATTCTCAAATAGTCCAAAGGTTTTTCAAAAGAGGAAGTTTTGAAGCGATAGAAGAACAATATGCTAAATTGAAGGAATTGGACATTCAATTCGAAGATGAATTGAACAGGATCCGGACTGAGTTAAATAATCCATCCTTAAGATATATACTGGTTAGTAAAGAAGATCATCTCATTGAAGTTAGAAAGTCCAAAGAGAAAGACTTGTCAGATAATTACATTAAGATCAATTCAACCAACACAGTGGGAAGATACCGATCCAAAGAAGTAGTAAAATTACGAAAGTTAATGAAATATCATGAGGTGAAATTATTTCAAAGATGTGATGAAGAATTTAGAAGGTTTATTGCTGATTTAGATGTTAGATATGTAAGTTTGATGAAATCTGTCAAGAATTTGGCTACATTGGATGCACTTCTATCTCTTCGGGACGCTAGTCGTGATGGAGGCTATGTGCAACCCAAATTGGTGAATGATTTAAGTATCAAGGTGCAAAATGCCAGAAATCCAATTATAGAGAATTTGCGTTCCAATTATATTGCGAACAATATTGATATCGACGAAAACTCCCGAGTTTCAATTATTACAGGTCCAAATATGGGTGGAAAGTCGTCTTATGTGAAAACTGTTGCATTATTAACTATAATGGCACAAGTTGGATGTTTTTTACCTTGTGATTATGCAGTTATGGGTATATTTGATTCGATATTCATAAGAATGGGAGCAAGTGATGATATATTGCAAAACAAATCCACATTCATGGTAGAAATGCTTGAATGTAAGAATATAATTCTGAACTTGGGCGATCGATCATTGGTGATTCTAGATGAAATTGGTAGAGGAACAGGAACAACCGATGGTATTTCTTTGGCATATTCGATATTGAAATACTTAATTGAATGCGAACTTAAACCGGTATTGTTTTTCATTACCCATTTTCCTTCTATTTCAGTTTTGGAAAATGAACACCCCCAAGAAGTAGCCAATTTCCATATGGGATACGAAGAAGTTTATAATGATGACGAAAGTGAAGGAATTCCAGAGATTATATTTTTGTATAACTTATGTCGTGGTGTTGTTAACAATCTGTATGGGTTGAATGTTGCCAAATTGGCTGGTGTTCCCAAGGAATTGATTCTCAAGGCATCGGTCATAAGTGAAAAATTAAAAGCGGACATTGAATTGAAGGATCATTGGAAGTTTGCTCAAATGGTAAAAAAATTTCTTAAAAATGAACTTGACATAGATTCTCTACTTAAATATTTAACGTAATCTAAAAAATTCTACAACTAAATCATTAAATATTTTTGGATTGTCTAAATATAAATGATGACCTGCGTTTTCAATAACCTTAAAACTAGATAAACCTTTCTTCCGTTTGTTAATCTCATCACTAATGTACTGTCCTCCATTTTTGTTCATCCAGTCTTTGTCCCCATAAACCCACAAACTTCTAATTTCATTTTCAACAAAGAACTCTACTAATCCACGGTTACAAAGAGGTAGTTTGGCTAACACTTCATGGTTTATCAATCTCGTGATTGCAACTTCACCAGATCCCTGGTATTGGTTAAAAATTGAGTAAGAGTAGTTGTGCAATTTCATAATCATCTCAGTGGTGTCGCTATCATTACCAAAATTTTTGAATCTCCTAAACGACCAAAATGATAAAATCTTGGAGTAAAATGGACCCAAGAACTGTAAGACCTCAAATGGAGATTTATTCGTTGACCAAAGTTTCTCAATTATCCAACTTTTGGGGAATTTTGGTTGACCTATAGTCTTCCAAAATGTTGTAAGCTCTTCAGTTATAATAATATCTTCCCCTTCTTTGTTCTCGAAATGTAACTCTCCAAAGGGATCGTTGTGGAAATTCACTTGATGATCTTTGTTATTGATTAAACTAGCTTCACTTGATTCTGTTCCCATTGGACTAACCAAAATAACATCTTCGACCATTTTGTTATGATTATACTTCAACAAGTAACAACAGGATAGATATCCACCCATAGAATGGCCAATTAGTTTGAATTTGGAAATGTCCCTTTGCATTCTCCAATTCTCGATTTTATCAATAAACCAATTTTCAATTTCCAAAACTTGACTAATCTTATCTTTTAAGTTTTCATGTTCAATTAAAAATTCGCTTGGAAACTTTGGTCTACTAGAATTCCCAAACCCAGGTAAATCAATAAAATGTAATCTCACTCCTGGAATTTTGATCAATGTTTCAACATTCTTAATAAAATATCCCATTGCCGCCATATACCCATGGATAATGACGATATGTTGATCCTTTGCATGTGGATCAGAATTGTTTTCAAGATAAAATTCATGGATACTGTTTCCATCCTTCAATTCAATGTCTAGTAACTTCCCATAGATAGGAACTTTGGTCTCGAGTTCAGGTTTATCAGGTTCATAAAGATAAATTTCAGATGGTAACATAGTTCTAAACAATTCATATTCAATTTTTCTGTTTCTTTGTTTTGCTTGCCTCAACTGTTCTGAGTCTTCTTGAAGTTCACTATTATTTTCATTCATTAATGATCTTGGACTTGACCACCAATCTTGAAACGATTGTAGGATAGAAATTGAGGAGGTAGACGACGCATTTGATTCTAATGAATTTCCAGACAAAGGAGATTCAAGTGATGAACTAGTTAATGTGTTAACATCAGACATGGCATTTGATCAAGAAATTGAATAGAAGTATATAAATAAAGAAACAGGTAACGTAAAAAAAAGGAACATACTCGCCCCTTATCTATAAATGCTGCGCTTACCTTATTTCTTTTTATTTTTTTTTTGCTTCTGTTTTTTGCTCGTTTCCTATCAGGGATATAATTTTATGTAAGCGTTTAAAATAAACTAACATGTATCATTAAAAAATTAGATTCTATGAACTACTACAACAACCGAAATAGAAGGAAATAGATTTATGGTAACGTACGAAAACAAATATTAATCATCAAATTAAATCTCTAGGCAGATCTTATGGACGCTGCACTTTATTGTCCAACTCGGAATAAGCCGGTGGAGCGCCTTCAAGTGGAACTGGCGGAACACTTGTCAAGTTGGAGGAAGACGAACCTTCATTAACAGCACCATAACTAGCACTATTGTTATCGTGAGATTGGTTTACTAAACTTGAACTTGGTTGTGGCGAACGTTCATCATGGATATGAATGCTAATTTCTCTTTCGTTAGCCGATCTTCTTGGTGTTTGATTTTCTAAATCACTTCTGTATACATAGTACACTCTCTCTTTACGTTCTTGCCAATATGGAGGGTATCTTGCTATGATATACCATGAATGTATCAACCCAGGAAAGTATCCAAGCATGCATAACGCAATATTAATCAAGGAATCACAGGAACAACAGCCTCGTCTAATCCAAACAGGTAAAGGTGGAAAAAGAACAGAAAGAACAATCAAAAACAAATCTGAAAGACACAAGCACATAATAATTTATAAAAGTGAATGTTGTGGAAGAAAGAATGAGATGTGGTCTCTGAGTGAGATTTATCGGTTGTAAGTCATTCCTTTATTTTATAATTTTTTTTTCTTCTGTTGTCTCTCTCGTTCTTGCCAACTTTGTGCGAAATGAAAAGAAGAAGAAGCGATAAAATTAAAACTTAAAAAGATCTTAATTATGACACACTCAAAAAGTCGTCTTCCTCGGCTTTGACAATTTTGATTATTATACACGTCCAAGATTGGTGATTATTTTTCTCCAACTTTTCTATACTTCTCTTTTTCTTTTCTAACTGGTTCTTGATATTATTTATCCTCCACATTCATTCTTTTTTTTTTTCTTATTTTATCTACTATTCATATTACCACCACAAGCAAATAATGTCAGTTCCAATATTAACAATTCCTGAATCTGCATTCGATTCTTCAATGTACAGTGGGAACCCCGCTAGATCAAAATCACAACTTTTAATGTACTTGTTAAAATTAACTAATCGTTCGTCATTTGCCTTGGTCATTATTTACTTGGTAGGGTATTTTGCTATTAAACCATTAATGGAAACCAATATCTCTAGAAGACTAGAGTACTTGGATGCCGTGAGAGGGAAATTGAGAGACTTTTATTTGAAAGCAATAACAAAAGTACTGCATATTCCAATAGTAGCCATCAAACGAAACGGCAAATTGTATGCTGATGAGATAGTCCAAACTAATGAATCTAAAGAAGAAAGCGATAAATTATCTCAAGATAAACTTTGTAAAAGTTTGCACAAGTTATCAATATTGCTTAATGAGGGGATCAAGAGTTACTCTACCACTCAATTAGCAAACTATAAGAGTATAAACTATGCCATCAAGGATTTCCAGAATAAATCAGACTTGGTATACTTTAACCAATCTGAATTGTTTGTTTTAGACAGCAATATTAAGTCTCCTGTTGTGTCTGGTGCCACAATGAGAAAGAAAGATATAGCGGTGGAAACAAAAAACGAGATTAGAAGTATCAAAGGTTTATACATGAGTGGGCAGGCTTAGTGAGAGATGTTAAGTATACACTTGGTTTAGGGGTGGTTCCATGCTTGAATATTTTGTATATAATAGAAAATAGACATAGTATTTATCATGGCACTTATTTCTTTTTAACACTTCTATCTCGTGTTTACACTGTTTGCACATTAATTACCTACTATTGTGCCATAACAGTTGGATCATGTTACATAGTCAACATCATAGTTTATTGCCTAGAACTTTTGTCCAATTAGTATGAAAAGATATAAGTAGCAGTGAAGTGTTTATTATTCAATTTTCTTTTTCCTGCATGGGACAACTAGAAATCTGGACTTTGCGAAATTTTTCCCACATAAATGAACGATATGAGGAGCGTATTTTTCTTTTCACTTCAAGATACTTTATTATCAGTACAACCTTATTATTTCCCACCATAATTTGATCATCATGGCTGGTCCACCGAAAGTAATAATGGATAGTGATGAAGAAGATGAATATTTAGAGCAACAAGAATACTCGGAGGTTGAGTCCTCGGTTCCACCTGCTACTGAGAATGACGAATTTGAAGAAGAAGAAGAAGAAGAAGAAGACGAGGAGGAGGAAGATGACTCTCCCGACGAAGAAGAAATTCCAAGTGTAAGCGAAGAAGAAGCTGATGAAAATGATGATGATAATTATAATTTTGGTGATGGAAGTGATATGGATGATGATTTGGGATTAAAAGATGATGGCGATGAAAGTGAAAAATCAAAAACACCTACTGTTGCCCCTAGAAAGTCCATAAAGATTACCATCAAGCCACCAAAGAAACCTGATTCTCCAACTCCAAATATATCTGAAACCAAATCGAAATCATCCGTAGCTTCTTCACAAAGAAGTACTCGAAAAAGACAAGTCAGTTACTACGCTGAAGATGATGATGAAGACGATTTTGAAGATGACTACGAAAGTGCTCCACCACGACAACAAACACAAGCAAAGAAACAGAAGAAATCCACAAGCACAAGGAAGGCTCCTAACCGTCCAAGTGTACCTCAACCTAGGTATTTGGATCCTGAATTGGTACTTACTGATGAAGAGAATGAATATAATCCCAATGCAAATACTGACTTTTCAAAGATGACAGAAAGACAACGTTCAAGATTTTCTCACGAAGATGAAGAAGATAATGGGCATTTTATAGAGTTAGATGACACAGGCAAGAAGGCAAAACTGAAATCAAGTACAAGTCAAGATACTGGGGAGGAGGCAGCTTTGAGAAAAGCAGAAAATGCCAGAAAAAGACAAGATTATAAAAACAAAATGTTAGAAGAGGAGAAACGTGATACCTTGAATAAGTTGTTGAAAAGAAGAGCTACAAAATCGAGAGAAGTCATCAATGATGATGATAAAGATGGTGCAGATTCACTTAGTAGTGTGCTCCATAAAAAACGAAGACCAACTTTGGAACATGCTGCATTTGTAAGATATGTAAACAATACAACCACCTTGAATGGTAATTCGGTATTAGCATTTAAGTAGTTAAAATTGGAAATAAGATAAAGTTTACGATTGAGAGATTTGGACCAAAGATTATTTCATCATATTTTATTTTTCTTTACGTGTATTAGTTTCTCACGGCTTACTGTCCCCTATTTTTTTTTCTTGGTTGTAAGTCAATTACTGGTGGATAAATATGTCACTGACAATATGAACCCCTCTTTCACAGCTACGAAGCTATTAGTTGATCTCTACCAGGTGTCATATATACAATTACTCTAACAATATATGAAATCTGTCAAGAGAAGATGTATTACAAAATGGAATTCAGTGTTACGAAAATAAGATATGTTATAAAAAAAAAAAAGAAACAAGCAATAAACAAAAAAAAAAGAAAATGTCAGGGAAAAAAAAAACACTTTCCCTTCTTTCAAGTGGTTTTTCTTTTTTTTTTTTTTTCTATTGTTTGGACAAAAAGTGAGAAAAAAAAAAATACAAATTATCAACAAGGACCACCATTATACTTCCAATACCTATGTCTGTTAGCTTCTTGGATATGAACACTAACCATAACAATCAAGGAATAAATCAACTGCTCATGATGAATGGAAATAACAATTCAGGTAACCAGCAACAACAACCTCCTCCCCCACCGCCTGGTCAACAACAAATGTTTAATCAGACTCCTCAAATGCAATACCTGCAAGGACCTCAACCAGGACCGCAAGTAAGAAACAGCAGTGTTCCTCCTCCTCCACCACCACCTCCGCAACAACAGATGGGTCAACCACAAATGCAACAACAACAGCGGTTCAACATGAATATGCCTCAACAAATGTCTCAACAACAAATGATGGCCGCTCAACAACAATTACAGCAGCAGCAACAACAACAACAACAGGCGGCAATGGCAGCAGCTTCTGGTAGAGCTATGCCTTCCAAGAATGCAGCTTTTAACGGGGCTCCAACCAATGGTCAATCTGTTCAATTAAGTGGTACAAATGGAGTAGCTACTAATTCCAATGGTGGTAACAATAACAATAATAACAGTAAAACTGTGTCGTATAATCCAAATGGGTTAATGTCAAGTCTACCTTCAGCAAATTTGCAATCACAATCAGCGTCTACTTCTCGAGTACACACACCACATATGGGAAATCAACCACAACCATTTATACCACAGCAAATGCAACCCCAACAGATTCAACCTCAACAGGGTCCAAACCAACAGCATTCAGGACCACCAGCTCCTAACCAACAACAGATGTTAAAGAAAGGCAATGCTGGAAACACATCAGTAGCGGCTACTCCTAAAAATGGCACTATAGGATCGGCACTGGGTCCTGCTTCACTGCAGCAATATCCTTCTTTTGCTCAGTCTTCGGGACAACTGTTTGGCATGCCTCCAAATACTGCAAACAATAATCAACCACTACAAACCCAATTTGGTCCACAAACACAGCAGCAGCAACAGCAACAAGGTCAACACCCAACTATTTCTGGCCGCTCACCAATTCTGCGACAAACATTGCCAGCCAATGGTTCACAGGAGGTTAACAATGCGATTTCGGAACAATTTCAGCAAGAAATAAACACCAGAATTATTAAACGAAACTTGGGAAATACAGCTATCATTAGAATTTTGGACTTGATTGATTTTATCTCCAACCAGCTGTATGAGAATCTTTCCAATATAGATTTTTGGACCAGAATAACACCAGCGAATTTTTTACCATCCGCTATACTAAAATTTAACTTTTTGGGTAATGGTAGCAGTGGCACGTCATTGCACGAAGTTACTGGTTTAAACTTAAATTTTTTGCAATTGAATGCAGATAGTAATAATCCAAATTCTCCACATCAATTTGAGTTGAACACTAGCACTGCACCAAGATTTTTTGTGAGTTGTGTTCAAGCAAAAACCATTATTAGATGTAGTATTACATTATCTGGGTCCAAGTTTCAAGTTTTAAATAATGGTTCGATTATAATTGTTTTGAAAATTGAATTGCATTTCAACTATCAAGATGGTTCGAATTCTGTTTCACGCGGTACAGTGAAGATTTTAATGAGTAGAGATTTGAGAATTGAATGGATTGACTTGAACTGTGCAGATTACCAAGGGAATATTTCTATGTCAGCATTAGAAACTAAATTAAAAGCAATAATAGATTCAAAGAAAGATTTCAAAAAACAAAAGGAATCTCTTGATGAAATGATAAGTACTTCGCATGCTGTTCGCTTAGGTGCTACTTCGGGTATTGATGCCCAATCAATGAGAATATTACAGCTTGGTGATATAATGACAAGTATGAAATCCTTGATGGAATTCAGTGTTGTTAACAACGTATCTTCTCCTTTGAGATCATTAGAATTATTAATAACATCTCAGGGAGCTCAACAGGCTCAAGCATTACAAGCTCAAATGGCTGCTCAAGCTCATTTCCAAGCCGCAAATGCTTCTGGTGCAAATTCATTTATTGGCTCCCAACAACTGCAAGTCAAAAAGAATCTTGCTTCTGCAGCTAATAACAACGGTAACAATACTGTTTCGTCGCCATCACCAAGAACTATAAATGCAGAAGACCCTAAGAAAAAGCGTAAACCAAGTATGAGTTCATTAGGAGATGGAAAGAGGAGAAAATAAAAACTTCATATTCTTGAATCTAGACCATGTTACTTTGAGAGCATTAAAATTGGCACTGTATTTTCCAGTTGCGTTGTTTCATTTTTTTTTGTAGTTGTTCCTACTATTTTTGAAATTCTTTTAGATAGTATAGTATTATTCCTATTATATTTTATTAAATAGATGTAGAAGTGTATTAGTTTAATAGTGATTAGTATAGATAAATATTGTTGTAACGTTTGACGCGTTTTGTGAACACGAACGGAACAAAAAAAATATTAGTGGAAATGAAAAACCAAATAGAGCAAATCTTGTGGTTGAGATTGTATGCATATGGGAATAGAAGAAATGGAAGAAAATGTTCATTCCCAACAAACATTTAAGCATAGAGTTGAGTCATCTACATTATATGAAGCCATTAGGCCTACTACATTTGAAGAATACGTGGGACAAGACCATCTATTAAACCAACAGAATGGTAGTATTTTCACATTTATAAAACTTGGATATCTACCGTCAATGATATTCTTGGGGCCACCAGGAGTTGGCAAAACTACATTGGCTTCGGTGATATCATACGAATGCAAGTTACCGTTTATTGAATTGTCTGCAACGACGTTAACGACAGGGGAACTCAAGCAAATAGCAATGATGCATGAAGAACAAATAGTTGTGTTTATTGATGAAATTCATAGGTTGACTAAAGTGCAACAAGATTGGTTATTACCTTATGTTGAAAATGGGAAAATGGTTTTGATAGGTGCCACTACTAGTCACCCGAGCAAACGTATACGCCATGCCATCTTATCACGATGCCATGTATTCTGTTTGCGCAGATTGGCTACTCCAGAATTACAAATAATCTTAAGGAAAGCAATTAAATATCAGAATTTAAAACGTAAACATGTGTTGAATCTCCCAGAAATTGATTATGATCAGGTTTGTGAGGATTTAATTCTTGAACTTGCACATGGTGATTCGCGTATAGCAATTAATTTGGTTGAATTGATAAGCAATAACTATAGTCAAACCGATGATGGTCGTATCCTGTTAAAGAATCATGATTTAAAACGACTATTTTCTAATTTAACAGATTCCTCAAGTGAAGGTGTAATAAAGAATCAAGAGGTCTTTATGAATTTTATGAATGAATTATGCCACGGTTGTACTTCCTCGCACCACAGCAAATTGTTTTATCAAAACCCATTGGAATTCTTTTACGATGATTTCAAAAGCAAAGAAGCAGATGAAGAATATATTTATCAAATGCAAGTGTCTGATGATAGTGATGTGGAGAATGGTGACATTTATTCTGATTGTGAATCTGATGGATTAGCAGATGTCGAAGGCATAAGTGATGCTAGTGACTATCACCTTGTTGCTGCGTTATATTACCTCAATGTCCTATTACTGCAAGGCGAATCACCGACTGCAATTTTTCGTCATTTGATATTGTTTACAATAAAGTACACAGATTGTGAAAACTCGACTTTGCGAAAACTAATTTCCTTCAAGAATGGAATTGCTTATCGGAATGATGGACATTCAGTAACTGCTTTGAGTAATTGCGTTGAATGGTTGATGTATCGACAAAGAACAATGCATGGGAAACAACTATCGTTGATATTAAATTATATGATGAATTATTTTAAGAATCAGGAAGCACTTGATCGAACAAATGAGATAAATGTCGACGATTTGGAAATTTCATTTGATGATAATGAAGTTAAACAACTAGAAGTTTACCCACAATTTGAGCGTTCTGAAGAATCACAAATTAAAGGATTTGAGGTTACATTTGAAAGTAGTATTGATGAATCGTAATTGGTTGGTTAATAAGTCAATAAGATCTATTGCCGTTGATGCTTCTGTTACTTTACGAGTACTGAAGTTGTCATGTTGGGTTGCAAAAGAAAAAAGAAAAAAAAAAACTTACAGAGAGCACATTGAATTCTGAGCTTTCTTTTTAATAAGCTTAATAAATGACAAGAAATGGCTGGAAGTCAACCAATAGTTCCAAAGATAAGTAGTCCCTTGGGTGTATTCAGAACATCACAAGCAGTTGCTTCAGATGTATCTATTAATGTTCTCATTTACGTGTTGATTTATGCTATTATTTATGTATTTCGTCTACGTAACCTTTTGATCAGATTAAATCAATATATCCTTAGTGCAACATTGGTAGTATTGGAAATATTTTGGATAATTCCATATATTCTTGTTAGATTGATATACATTATATATAACGCACTGAATGAATCAAAAAGAAATGATTATCGCTATAACACTCATGGGATTTTGCGGACATTTGTTGTTCATAATCAGTTTTGGAAATTTAAAAACAATTTGGTAATGAATTCAGTATTTCAAAGAGGTGCTAACATATTCTTGGAAATTCAGGATGACATTGTTATTCCTGATGTCACTGGAGATAATAATGACATAATTATACGTGCAAGTGAAGATGATTTATCGTTCATGACCAATGAATCCGAATCAAATAATGACAGGCGAACAAATACTTTTAAGAAATGGTCCATGCATAATAAATTCGGTTCATCTAGCTCAATGAATATATTCAAGTCCACGTCAAAGAATCAACCCATAGATATAAATGATAATCGCAATATTGCATCTGCTTAACTTTACCGTTTCTGATACTTTGGTGACATGCGATTCCCAATCCGTTAAATTAGCTAACTTGTATATTACAAATGCAAAAAGAATAAAGAAAATAATATATAAGAAATAATTTCATATTTAATGTTGACGGACACCAACCACTTCATTATACTGAACCGGATTTTATTTTTTATTTTTTTGAGGGTGTTTACTTCGGCTTTGATTTTAGTAAATAAAAAATAAAATTGATAAAAAAAAAAAAAAACGAAAGCCAACATCAGATTCATCTTCTATCATAACGAATTTTTTATATAATTTATTCATCATCATCGTCATCTCCACCTAATGCTGCAAATCTATTGACTTGGATAGAATCAGATCTCTTGGATGTTTCTCTTTGAATATCAGCACTTGGAGCGCTTGGAGCAGATGGGCTACGGTTAGATCCAGCTCTAGCATTAACAAAAGATGATGACTTCTTTACAAAATTAGAAGATTGGTTGTTATTGGTGTTATTCCAGGAAGAGCCACCTCTCGATGATCCAGATCTGCTGTCATTACCATATTGTTGTTGTTTTCTCTTCTTTTCATTCTTGGCCTTTTCTTCTTCCATCTTTTTAATTTCAGCATCACGGTGAATTTCTTCAATAGTTTTTGGACCAGCATCAGCCTTATTGCTGACCCATTTTGCTTTTCTCAAATCTTGCATGTCCATCAACATGAATTTAATTCTTGATGGTAATTTGACATCCTTAAGCACACGTTCAATGTAATCAAAAACAAGTCTCATAAATGGTCTGGTAGATTCATCAGAATCCAACTTAGGACCAACAGTTTGGATTAATTGAGCCAAGTTCTCCAAACTATCTTCTGATGGATCAACTGTGTTTCTACTTTGATCCTTCAAACAAACATAAATGACTTGGTTGTTCAACATACTCAAGTTATATAAATGACCAATGAACTTGACTAAACCAAGACCTCTTCTCTTGGCAGCGGCCATGGCATAATATTCATCTGACATCATTTCTGGTTCTAATGGAGAACCATCAGGGTTGGTTGGAAGTTTATCAGACCAACCTTTTTCATATTCTCTTTGACATGTAGTCAACAAAATTCTTCTAGCTAATTGACCACCAGCTGGATGAGAACCATCCTTGAGTGTGGAACTTTCATCTTTAATATCATTAGAAAGGGTTGTGCACATTTTAGCACACAATTTAGCATACATCTCAGACCAATGTGGTTCATCACATGCTTTGGCAAAGATTAATGATATTATTTGTTTTATAGTTTCGGCGTCTTTTTCCCATTTAGCTTGGTTACCGACAGCAAGAATTTCATCACTAATTGCTGTAAACATTTCCAATGTCAACTTGTTCAACAAAGAATTAATCTTTCTTTCAACATCTTCCTTTTCCAAAATGACAGTACCATCTTCAGCAACTTTAACTTCTTTCTTTTGCATTCTTGATTTAGGAACCCATCTGTTGGCAGATTTTTCCAATGGTTTAACTTCTTCTGCTGGTTTGGCTTCCTTGGCAAGTTCCTCTTCGGTCTTTTCACGCATCTCACCTCTTTCGCCTCTTCCACCTCTCTTGGATTGACCTCCTTTTCTAGTTGATCTATCTCTAGATGAAGCACCTCTACCGCCTCTTTTAGATCCACTTCTTGAGTTTTGTCTTCCACCATCAAATTGAGATCCTCCTTTACCACCTGGTCCACTAAATCTAGCTGGTACTCCTCCTGGAAATTTACCTGGTAAACCTCCACGTGATGGATCTCTTGCAGATCCTGCGCGTTTCATGGCATTTGCGTGTATGTCTAAAGAGTCCAAACGAGCTTTGAAAGCTGGGTCGATGTTATATGTGACAACTTCTCTGAACTGGATCAAGAATTGTGGGTCGTATCTGTATTTCTTACCTGGAATTTGTTTGGAACTATCGACACTTTGGATACCTTCAGGGTATTTTGTAGCAAGTATATCTTCAATTGGTGTGGCAGTACTTAATCTTTCCAAGAATTGTGAAACACCAAATTCAGGAGTTACAGTAGCTGGTTCTTCTTCTTTAACTTCTTCAGAAGCTGTAGATTCTTCTGTTTCTCCTTCTGCTTCTGCTTCTTTTTCTATTTCTTTTTCTGGCTCTTGTTCTTTATCTTCTTCCTTTTTGACTTGTGGCTCTTGCTCTTCTTTTTGAACTTCATCTACTTCAGCAACTTCGGTAGCAGTTACATCAACTTCTGGAGTGGCATCTTCTTCGGTAGCAGGTTCCTGTTGTTGCTTTTCTTCTTCAACTGGCTGTTCTGGTTCCTTAGTAGCTGGCTCTTCGATTTTGGCTTCTTCAACTGGCTCAACTGATTCAGATTTGACGTCCTCTTCCTTTTCAGTCATAGTAGCTGATTCTTGTGATTCAACAGCCTCTTCAGATTCTGTCTTGTCCTTTTCGGTTTTACCCTTAGCTGCGGCTGCAGCTGCAGCTGCTCTTTCTCTAATTTTTCTCTTGAATTCTTCGGCGGCTGAAAGTCCAGTGGATTTGACTTCGGTTTCTGGAGTAGATGTCAGAGTGGAAGTTGTAGGTGTCTTTTCTTTCTCAGTAGCAGTAGTAGTGGATGCAACAGTTGGATGTGGTGAACCAACAGGGGTGGATGATGCAGTTTGTCTCTTCTTTTCTTCTAAATCCACAGGTTTACCGTCTTTTGTAGTTAATTTGATTTTAGGAGTTGGTGGCGTGGATATTGGTTTTGGTTGTGAGGAAGCACCCGGTGGTGGAACTGGCGCAAATTGTTGAGCTGTAGTTGGCATGGCATATGGCATTGGCACTCCTTGAACATACATTCCTCCTGGATATGGATAATATCCATATAGAGCTGGAGCACCAGCATTATAAGCACCATAGTTGATATAAGCTTGTTGAGGTTGCTGTTGGTTGTGATGATTGTGATGGTGGTGGTTCATCTTCTGGTTATTATATTGCTTTCTGTTGTTATTGTATCTTGGGTTGTTATTTTGATTGGCATTATTATTGTTGTTGTTATTGTAATTGTTTTGCCTTCCACCGGTCCCAGTGTGATTTTTCTGATATTGGCCTTTATTGTTGTAGTAATTGTTGTTGTTACCAGAATTGTTGTTGTAATTATTGTGGTTGTTGTTACCATAACCTTGATGATTGGCGTTATATTGTTGACCACTAGATGCTTGTTGTGCGTTCTGTTTGTCTGATGAAGCTTGATCAGCGACAATTGGAGTGTTGATACCTGAGCTGGTAGTTGATCCATCTGAAGATGATGGAACAACGGTAGTTGAGGATTTGACATCACCTGTAGCAGGTGGATTGGTAGTAGTATTATCAGACATTCTAAATGATCAAAAAGTCTAGATAATAGCTATAGTTCGGTTTATTGGTTACCTTAACTTTCTCCAAGAAAATAAAAAGAAGAGGAAAAAGAGTCTTTTTGAACTTATATGAAATTTTTTTTTTTTATTTTTTATTTTTTCAATCAGGAAAATTTTTCTTTTTGGTTAAGCTAGCACTACAAAACAGAGAATGCACAATGTCGTGTACGATGTCCCCCTACACTAAGAAAAATGAAGTCAGGAGAATGTCGAATGAATGATGTTATATTTCGACTTTACAATTATAGATTCAACCAGATGATGAGGACGAGGAATAAAAAAAAAATTCAAACATTATTGATACTATACAAGAAGAAGGGTCTGTTGTTATGTAGATCAAGCGGAGTTTTGTAAATTTTTTTTTTTTTTTTTGAATTGAAAGGAAATCACGTACTTTGATTACATTGAATTAACTTCAAATCACGAATTATACTTCTTTGCATTTGTAAATATTATGTACCTCATGTATTTCTATTTTTTAAACTACTAAACCCGATATATCCCATGAGTCCAAACACAATTGTCAAAAACAGGTAAATAATCAAAGACTCTTTCAAACTTTCTACTTGAAAACAGCTAATAATAATTGACCCAGGTTTTTCATTGGTTGCATCGTCACTATCACATAGTTTCTCATTTTGACTTAGACAGTATTCCTCCGTACATAGCTTGCACTTATCTATAGGATTTATGATTGTTTTCGCATTACATTCACATTTACAATATAACTGGTAGGCAAAGATTGGTTGTATAAATATCGTCCACAACGATAGTATAAAAATAATTCCTGATTTACCTGCAAATTTCATTTAAAGATCCTTGATTTTAAGAATTGAGCCGATTTAATAGAATGACACTGAATGTGTTGATTAAATCTTGGGTAGAGTGGAGATTAATATAATAGTGAAGTTGATCTCAGCAGTCAAAAAACGAATGAAATGTTTTACCAATTGTTAACTCTATCTCAATGAATTTTGCTACCGCGAGAGGAAAGTAGGTGGGCGTGAGGATACACAATTAAGAAAAAAAAAATAGTTGAAGAAAATCAAAAAAAAAGTGGCAAACTATGGAAAAGAGAGAAAGAAAAAAAAAAAATATATATGTCAATACAAATCCAACATTTCTTTCAAGACAACATCAATAAAATAGTCAATATGAGTGCTTCAATTGAAAAGCCTTGCGTCCATGAAGGGGGAATAAGGCCATATTTCGAACAACAAATACAAGATACAGAGATCAGAATCCAACAAACCACACAAAACTTGCGTCGTTTGGAAGCCCAACGTAATAAATTAAACAACAAAGTAAGACAATTGAAAGATGAGTTGCGATTGTTACAAGAGCCAGGATCATATGTGGGAGAAGTTGTTAAAGTCATGGGATTGAAGAAAGTATTGGTCAAGATCCATCCTGAAGGTAAATTCATTGTCAATGTTACTAAGGATATTGATGTTAAAAAGTTGACCCCATCTATCAGAGTTTGTTTAAAAGCAGACTCCCACGACTTGTATAAGATCTTACCAAACAAGGTAGATCCATTGGTGTCATTGATGATGGTGGAAAAAGTGCCCGACTCTACTTATGATATGGTGGGTGGTTTAGATAAGCAAATCAAGGAAATCAAGGAAGTTATCGAATTACCAGTTAAACACCCAGAATTGTTTGAAAGTTTGGGTATAGCTCAACCAAAGGGTGTCATATTGTATGGTCCACCAGGTACTGGTAAAACATTATTGGCAAGAGCAGTTGCTCATCATACTGAATGTAAATTTATCCGTGTGTCTGGATCAGAATTGGTGCAAAAATATATTGGTGAAGGTTCTCGTATGGTTAGAGAATTGTTCGTTATGGCTAGAGAACATGCGCCTTCTATTATTTTCATGGATGAAATTGATTCTATTGGTTCGTCTCGTGTAGAGGGCTCATCTGGTGGTGATTCTGAAGTTCAAAGAACCATGTTGGAATTGTTGAACCAATTAGATGGTTTTGAAAGTTCTAAAGACATCAAAATCATTATGGCAACTAATCGTTTGGATATATTGGATCCAGCTTTATTAAGACCAGGTAGAATTGATAGAAAGATTGAATTCCCTGCACCAACTGTGGCTGCCAGAACAGATATTTTAAAGATTCATTCCAGATCCATGAACTTGACAAGAGGTATCAATTTACGTAAGATTGCTGAAAAGATGAATGGTTGTAGTGGGGCTGATGTCAAGGGGGTTTGTACTGAAGCTGGTATGTATGCATTAAGAGAAAGAAGAATTCATGTCACCCAAGAGGATTTTGAATTAGCTGTTGCTAAAGTTATGTCTAAGAATGACGAAGGTACCGTCTCCTTACAAAAATTGTTCAAATAGATTTTCTTATTATTGGGTCTCTGTATATTCTCAACTGTATAGTTACTGTACATTCAATTCAACACAATACAATACAATTCAACGCAATACAATACAATACAACTCAACTCAAACAATAAGTTTGGAAACTCTGCTGTCAAAACAAAAAATGTGCGAGTTGTAGCAGAATGCGACAAAGTGATGGTGCGAAAAGCGGGCATGGATAAGTGTCGTGAAGGAAGAAGAAGAAGAAGAAAAAAAAAATCTACTTGTAACAAACGTGTCGCTTTCAATTGATTTTCTAGTAGTTTCTATTAATTATTACCAGTCTTGTTTCGTGGTTAATTATTCATGAAGATTTCGATACTGAAAATAGTTGTAAATGCTATTCTAATAGCGTCTGTTACATCGTTATCTGCGAATGATATCAAAGAGAAAGTGCAAGATGTCAACCATTTGTTTGCTCAACATGGCCCAACTATTAATGTGTTGCAAGCCTATGAGGATATTATCAGAATGGTAAAATCATCTTCAGCAAGAGATAGTTCATTGCCCCAGTTATATTTTAAGAAAGCAATTATTGAGATCAATTTGAATAAGAATTTGCAAGCAATTTCAGATCTACGTGTTGTTTTGGAGTTGGATCCTGCAATGAATCCAGCAAAAGAGAAATTAATTCAACTATTGGTTGAACGTGGTGATTTTGAAGTTTTGTCCAAATATATTAATAGAAAAGATGATGAAGGTATATATGGTGTCATTGACAACTATAACCAAAACATTGCAGTGGCAAAGAAGTTTTTGGAAGAACAGAATTATGAACAATGTATTGAAGCTTTAAATACAATCTTGAGTCAAAGTCCTTCAAATTACGACATTAATGAATTATACTATAAGGCAGCCCTTGGGATTTATCAAAAAGACCCAGCTTCACAGTTGAACTATTTTGGAGAATCGGTTCCAACAAGCAAAGTAATTGTCCTGGTAATGAAGAATTTGGTTGAAATAAGTCCCATGGCAAATCTCGACTACTTCGGAATATTGTCGCAATTTTTATTGTATACAGAAGTTCAATTTGATGGTGCCATGAAAGTTGCCAAAAATTGTTTGAAAATAGATAATGAATTTAAAACATGTGGTAAATTATCAAAGTTCTATTCCAAGTTTCAAGATTTTTTCAAAGTATTAGAAGAGTATTCAATAATACAAGGTCACTACTATTTGAATAGCAACGATAATGGACAATTACAAAATGAAGAGTTGGTGGATCCTAAAATCGATTATCAGTTTGTTCTCAAGTTCTTATTCTCTGATGAATTGCAAGTATCCAAAATTGACAGACGTCAATTACCATCTAATATCAAAACCAACTTCCAATACATTGAATTCAAAGCACAGGAATTCCTTCAAGAAGTTGGGTTACCTTTTACATTTAAGACTCTTTTTGTTGGTGACTTGCATAAATTGGTCTGTGAAGCCTATGCATTGACAGGCGATTTAAAAACGGCAAAGAAGTATTGTAATCTAGTTTATGATTCTAATGTCTTGTTTTTACCAAAGCACATTCCTCAAATTGATAGTGCCTTAAATAAGAAAAAGTTTACAGAAGCTGAGGAAAAATTGAACAAATTCAACAGTCATGTTAAACAAACAAAACTTTTCATTGATAGATGGAATAGAGTTGAAGATTATCACCGTCAACAAAACCAGCAAAGACAACAACAATATTTCAATCACCAGCAGCAACAACGTCAACAACAACAGCAACATCAACAACAACAATATAGACCTCATAGACAAGGTAAACCTGCCAATGATTATTATAAAGTTTTAGACATACCAAGAGATGCTGATGAAAGAACTGTCAAGAAAGGATATAGAACACAAACTTTGAAATATCACCCTGATAAATATAAAGGTAATGACTTGACTCCTGACCAAATTGAAAAGAAAATGCAAGAAATTAATCAAGCTTATGAAGTTTTGAGTGATAAGGAATTAAGGGAAAGATACGATAGAGGAGATGATCCAAATGATCCAATGAACTCTGGACAAAGTCAACCACAATGGCAATCAGGAGGACAACCAAACTTTAATTTCAATTTCAATGGTGGAGGACATGATTTCTTCCAACAATTCTTTGGAGGTGGACATGCTCGTAGCGGAGGACAAGGGTTTAAGTTTACACAAGGTAATCCATTTGGAAATTCACATCACAAAGTCAAGATTAAAAAGAATAAAAAGAAAAAGAGAAATTAGTATTTGAGTATGTATGTGTTTATTTATAGGTATAACTTTATAATTTGAAAAAAACGAAAAGAAAAAAAAATTATAGATGATTCAATTGTTTTATTTTAACTGTCTAAATGACCAAGTTTGGACCTCTGTAAATGAATTTATTGTTGTTTAATTCACTAGTTGCAGCAATGGCAACATCCGTTTTTGGTTCTCTCTTTGGGAAACCATCGAATGATCTTGCATAGACGGCAACTGAATGAGCAATCAATTTGGTGTTGTTGACCCAAGCTCCATAATGTGGATTATCCAAATTATCACATAATTGATGATAGCATGGATCAAACCATTCGCCAACTTTACCACCAAATTTCTCTTGGCTTTTAGTATCTTTAACTCCCTCGGCACCAGTGGCGATACCACCTGCTGGAATACCGGCATCGATGAATCCAACATAGTCGGATCTACCATCAAATGGAACCAAAGTATAGTTCAATCCATGGTCTTTATACCAATTGATGTACAAATCTTTCAAATCACCAGATCCTTTTGGATTCTCTTCATTGTTAGCATCATAAATTTCATATTCATAGTTTGGAGAAGCCATCATATCATAGTCCATAAAAACTCTGACCTTAGCATTTTCTTCAGGGGATAAATGTTCAGCATAATAAGTAGAACCTAACAAACCTTCTTCTTCAGCAGCCCACCAGGCAAATCTGACGGCGTTCTTAACTTTAAAGTTGGTCAAGTATTTGGCAACTTCTAATAATGAGATGGTACCGGACCCATCATCATTAATACCAGGTCCTTCAGCCACTGAATCGGAATGAGCACCCAAAGAAACAATGTTATCATGATCACCAAAGACAGTTTCAGCAATAACATTCAAGGTTTTAATATACCTGACATAAGAATCAACATACAAAGTGGTTTCAAATTTGTGTTTAGGATCTGCAGTTAATTTTTCAATATATTCCTTAACGTCCTTGGTAGCAACTGAAACTGTGGCAACTTCTTTGCCAGTAGGGTTTCCTAAAGTACCGTGTAATGGTTCTTCATCATAAATAATTGCACCCAATGCACCAGCTTCACCAGCGTTTTTAGATTTATCACCAAATGGACATTCACCACGTTTAATCAAAGCAATATTACCTTTAGTGAAATCTGGGAAATCAGATACATTACATCCCAACCCTTCAACTAAAACCAAGTTACCATGAACAGGTTTACCATCTGGAGTTGGAGGAGTTAAGCTCAATGCTGCTAATGACTTTGGTTGAATACCATCAATTAACAAAGAGAATGACTTGACTTTACCATCAAGTGCTTTGAAACTTTGAGTTTTAACAGAATAATAACCCTTCAATTTCTTCAATTCAGCTATTATATAGCCAATAGTTGCCCAATGACCTGGGGATCCAATGACTCTAGTTGGGTGGTCATACTTAGCTACTGATTGTTGAGCAAGTCCAAATAAAGTTTCGGCACGTAAACGCAAGCCTTCTTCATTAATTAAAGATTGTAAATCTTCTGTTTCAATCAAGGGTAAACTCAAGTATTCGGTTTCATCCATAACACTATCAATTATCATGTAATCTTCTTGGTGACTATCTAAATTGGAAATACTATCAATAATGGTGTCTTCAATCAATTCTGCAGGATAATTAAACCAATTTCTCCAGAAACTCATGGAAGTTGGTAAAGCATTGATTGAGGAGATTAATGTCACCGAAGCGGCAAGTGTTAAGAACTTCATTCTCCTTATTACTTTAATTGAACAATAAAAAAAACGATTCAAATAAATAAAATTGAAATAAAAGAAAGTAAAAGTTTTGTAGTTGGAAAGGAAAGAAAAGGAGAAAAAAAAAAGTGTGGTGTAAAAATAAAGGGATTGATGGTTGGTAGTATTTATATTTTATCTTATCATCAAAATTGCTGGTTAATGCGGGCAGAGAGAGAGAGTCTTCGCACGCGAGTATTGGTTCGAGCAACAACAAAAAAAATGACAGAAGGCGAGAATTACAATTCTGCGTAGTGGAAGTATCCGAACTGACTCATTATTTAATTTCGGATGAGGCCGCACAATTAGAAGGACCAACAAACTCATGAGTTGTATTTAACATATCAAACATTAAATAAGAAATAGGAAATAGGAAATAGGAATTCAAACAACATAGATTTATTTTCTTTTTGTTTTAAGAAAGTAGAGACAAAAAAATTTATGATCTTTTCAATCATCCAAATAATACAATTAGTATAAGTAAGGTCGAAGTCTGTTATTTTACTTTAAATTGTTGCAAATTATTGATGAAATCCATTCAGTCGTGGGGATTATAAACTAGCACAGATATGCACCACAAAACAACCTTCTACCCCCCTCTGAATAATTTACAATGGTTAAATGACAGAGATTCTTACAATTTTAAATGGAAAAATAATAAAAATAAATTCATCTTATTGAGTTGTCAAATCTAACTTATAGAAACTAACGACCGGTGTCCAATTAATGAGCACCAGAGATGAAGAACCATTTGTCAACAGATTTGTCAATTGGAGCAGCTGGAGCTGGAGAAGCAGCTGGGATTTCTTGAACAGCAACTTCAGAGTAAGTTGGAGAACTGGTCAAGGTGGTGTTGGTTAAATCAATACCTTTAGAATCAGCAGCTTCACCTTTGATCAATTTGTCCCAAGCTTCAGCACATTCACCAATAACTTCTTCGGCATATTTCTTGTTTTTACATTCACCGGAGAAAGCGAATTGGTTTTCTGGTTTACCATCTGGGATTTTGTAAATTCTGAACCATTCATTAGTGGCTCTCAACAAACCTGGCAAATGAGTTTCAACATCTTCAATGTCGTTCAATTTTGGAGCCAATGGATCGTTAACATCAATGACAATAACTTTCCAATCGGTTTCACCTTCATCCAAAAGAGCCATGACACCCAAAACTTTAACTTGTTTAACTTCACCAACAGTAGCAACTCTTTCACCAATTTCACAAACATCTAATGGATCGTTGTCACCTTTAGCTTTGGTTTCTGGGTGAGTTTGGTTTGGATCTTCCCAAGTTTGTGGGAAAGCACCGTAGTTGTGAATGTAACCGTGGTGTGGGAAACAGTTACGGACAAATCTCAATTTACCCTTCTTGGTATCTTGGATAATTGGGTTCAATTTTTGTTCTTTAGAGATTTCCAATTTGGCATTGGTCCATCTTGGAACTTCAACAATCATGTTCAAGATAGTTTTTTCTTCATTGGCGTACAATGGAATATCGTGGAATGGAGAAACTGGTTTACCATCTTTTTCAATGTAAACTTTGTAGTCCAAGGTGTTAGCAGCACCGACTTGACGAGTAGTATAAGCAGACATTATTATAGAAATCTTAATTGAAGGGATCCAATTGAAATGAAAAACTTAATCAAATAAAAAAAAAAAAAAAGAAAAAGAAAAATAAATGAAAAAAAAAAAAATCAAGGACGAAAAAATTGTATCGTTGAAAATTGGAAACGAAAAAAAATCATTGGGTTAACTACCACCAACAAAAAAAACATAAAAAAAAAAACTCCGGTCGTGTGGCTTTTACTAAGAAAACCTTCTTAGTTGTCATCACGTGTAAGCTCGTTTTTTGAATATGTTCCTTTCTTCCACCTTCTTGAGAATATAATCCACGTAGTCAAGTTGATGATCATGTAAGTTGGTGACATTAATCTCTGATTTCTTGAATAGAAACAACCCTCTTGTTAACTCTCTTTGAACTAATAAACCCATTTCCAGACATTTGTTGCAGAGATTAATCATTACTGAAATGTCACGTGCCAGGATTGAGAGCCACGAGGAAGGGTCCGAGTCCATTAAATATGTACCGCAGTAATGTACTATTTTTAGTTTCCGATGATACTGTTTGTATATGTTGATCCCATACACATCTGAATCAAAAAAACCCAAGAACAGAGCTTGGAATTTGTCTTGAAGCCAAGCAAGGAATCTTAATGTTAAGCCGTCTGAATACCCTTTACCAGTAACCACTAAGAAATTGCTCAACAATGATTTGTGTCTAGACAAATATGAACACAAGTATTGAAACACTGAATCTTTCTCTACAATGATTACAATCAATGATGTAGTATTGGTAATGGATCTTGTTTGGTGAAGACAGTCTGTGTAGTCTATTGGGATCAACATTGGTTCAGTTTTGGATCTCGTCATCTCAAAGAAATCACCAAACACTAGTCCCTTTTGTGTAGGATGAATATTGAAATCCTTGCAAAGTGACAATCCAAAACAGTCTTCGACTAGCTGTTTGAGAAGAAGCTGACATTCACTTTGTTTATGAGAAAATACTTCAACGTCTTGATAATAAATATCTCTAACTGTTGTTAATTTGATACCTGTTTGTAAGTGTTTGTGTAGAATCTTGACAATTTTACATATTGCTGCAAAACTTTGTACTTCTCTCTCATTAACAGATAACTGTGAATATGTTCTTACTTTCCTAACTGGTAGGTACTCGTCATCTTTATTCTGTGGCAATTCCTTTTGGTATTCTAATATGATTGTTGTTGGTGTATAGTTGACTAGACAGCGTTCAATCTCATACCAAATATTTTGTATATGGTCCAATTCAGATCTACGATTGTTAATATTGAAGACATATAAACAAAAAGTAATCCTAGTTTTAAACTTACAATGAGTTTTCAGGACGTATTATTATTGAATTCATATAAGAGTAGTGGCTTTTTTATTGTTAGTGGGGAGGGAAATGAGATTATCTTTCCTGATTAAAATCTGTTGCCAAATTTACTAAGCCTCGTAATGATACTCGGTCGTTAAAAATTATCCATACTCTAAATAATAATAATTTTAAAAAAAGAAAGAGAACGATTCTTCCGTATCCACTTGGAATCGAACTTCCCGCTACGCTTGAAGTTAAAACAATCTGAGTAGTTTCTATTACTACTGTGAGCTCAGACTCAATTACTAGTGTATCTGTATAGTATCTACCACGTTCAATAAAGTCCAATACTTTGACTTAGAACATTCTGCAGATAGGGCGTGGATATTTGCGTGTGCGGAAAACCTGAAAATACGGCCCTACGTAATGAAACACAGCCAAGAAGAAGAAAAAAAAAGACTAATAAAAAAAATCCTACAAGCTGAAATTAAAGACAAGGAATTTTTCTTTTCTAAAAAAAAAGATTAAGAATTCAAGCTTTCCAGAATTCATTGCTAAATTTCGAAATATCCTCATATACAAGATCTACTTACGCCATCAAGCAAAATCCTACCCACCATGGCATATGTGAATTTAGAGAATCGTGATGATTGGGATGACTCAGTATGGAGCAATTCAGGTCTGGCAAGATGGGCATTTTTCGCCATCTTTGTAGTATTAATCATCATTGTTTTATTAGGGACAATAAGAGTGAATAAAAAAAGAGCTCGGCAAGGGTTACAACCTATGCATGGTACAAGTTGGATGATGCCTCCTTCATATCGACAATCACAAAATCAATATCATCAACCAGATCATGTCAGAGATCCGGATTTACCCAGTGCGTATGTTCCGACCTATACAGCCACGGCAAATGATATGGATTTGGGATATTATGATGCTGATGGACAATTCCATGCTAATCCTAATGCGAAGAGTGCCATTCCTAAACCACCACAAGTTTATCAAACTACTGCTGAGCAAGTCAATGATGAAAGAGCTCCTATTAATGATAATTTACCAAATGTTCTACATGAATCAGATAACGATAGTATAGGAGATATGTTTAGACGTCCATCAGGTCCACCACCCAGATCAACCACAAATGGTTCTTTGTCTAATAACAATACAGGTAACTCAGATATTGATGGTTTCACTCGTCCGAGTGGTCCTCCTCCGACATTAACAACTGCAACAAATGAAACTGAAATTGTGACTGGTTACAATGAACCTATTCCATCATCGTCATCTTCAAATGGAGACATGCCTGGGAACTTTCCAGATTCTAAAAACGCTTATCCTGATGAAAAGAAGAGATGATTTGATTTAATCATTGTTGCGTGTTCTCGTTTAGTAAATTAGATTAGACTATCGATGCAATTGGGCGGGTATTTGTTGTTTCGTTATTGACAACTATTTATAAACTACAGCATACTTATTATTATTATTATTATTATTATTATTCACCATTTTCGTTTAATTTTCTATTTTTTTTTTTCAATGTTGTACGCTGTTTGTACATTATTTGTATACAATTGTGACATAATTGTTCAAACAAGTCTCATAGCCAACATCACAATTTAGTGCCTAAAATGTTTGTCCAACTGGTATGAAAAGAAATAAGAAACAGTGTGTATTAGTTTATAGTTCCTGGTGTAATTTAGTCTATTTTAATAAATCTTTTTCGTATTTATGATCGTCATCTTGATATTCACGGATAATCTACATTGCAACATCGAGGTAGTTGAATTATTAATAAATGACATATGTGAATTAATTAATTAATCAGTTTATTGACGAAATTTTCCTATGTACTCAAATTCAGGAGTATGTCTCTTCTCTAACGATAATCTCTCCATTGAATCAGTAATTCTAACTCTTGTGTTTCTTTCTTTTAATGGACTTCGTTGGTTAATATCTTCTAATGCTCTAGGTCCATGTGGGCGTCTTGTCTGTTGTTCTAATCTACGTTTAACTTCTTGTTCAACAACTAAATTAAATTCACGCTGATATTCCATTCTCACTTCTTTTGCTTCTAATTCAATTGCTTGTTTTCTTAATTCAAAATCTTCGATCAATTCTTTCTCCAAATCCTTTTGTCTCTTTTCTAAATATTTCTCCCGCTTGCTCAACTCTTCATTCCTCCTGACTAACTCTTCACTTCTCCTGACTAAATCCTCATTCTTACGAATCAATTCCTTCTTGAATTCGTCTAAATCTTTACTTGTATCTTTTAAATCTTTACTCTTTTTCAACAATTGTTTTTTATATTCATCAATGTTCTCACTCATATCTTTTAATTCCATTTCTTTTCTTAAAAATCTTATTGCTAATGAATCAATCAAGTCAAAACATGATGGACGAACACTGGGATCAACAGTTATGCATTGTTTAATTAAATTTCGTAATTGTGATGAATAAATATCGGGTATATCTTGAATAACGCCTCTTTTGATTTTTGCTTGTAATTGTAAATGAGTTTTTGCTTTGAATGGTGGTTCTAATGTACATAATTCATATAAAACACAACCCAATGACCAAATATCACACACAGGTGAATATGGATTATCTAATAAAACTTCAGGAGACATGTAATATGGAGTCCCCACATATGTTTTGGCAAAATCATTTGCTGCTGATAACATTTTTGCCAATCCAAAATCTCCTAGTTTTATACACGATCCAACAAATATATTATCAGGCTTGATATCACGATGAATAATAGAATTGGTGTATTTTGGTTCTGGGGTTTTGCTAAATAAATCAACTTTATCTGCATCTACTCCATAATGACATCTATGCAATGCTAATAATACTTGGACTAATACTTGCCAAATAAACTCTTCTGGTATATTATCTTTATTAGTTTTAAAATTTTTAATCACTTTTGCTAAATCTCCACCTTCACAATACTCCATATATATGTGAATGGTCTTTTGTTCTGGAATATGATCATGTCTATAATACTTGACAATATGAGGATGGTTTAGTTCCCGAAGAATACGTAATTCTGATATGATATGATTTCTCTCTTGCATTGTCATTGAAGTATACTCGATTTCCTTGCGTACTAATATTAGGCCATCTTCTTTATGACGTACTCTACGTACAGTACCAAATGAACCTTTCCCAATAACTTCAAGTGTTTCATATTCGTCTATTAATGCCATGATGTGTGATGATGATAATGATGATGATAATGATAAATGAATGAGGGTCCTTTATGAAAATATAAAAAAAATTAACAGTAAACTCGTCTTTTCTACTATATCCCTTTGTTTTTTCTTTCTTTAGTTCTTTTTTTTTTCTTATTCTTTATAACCTTTTAACTATTGACTAGAAATGTGGTATTTCATTTGTGTGAGAACATGGAATCTTAATTTTGATTTTGTTTCCTAATGCGACAAAGACCAAAACAATAAACAAGTTTCTCTCCCCAAAAAAAAAAAAAAATCGATTCAGGTTCTTTGGATCACGTGTATGTTACCACCTGATTTTTTTTTTTTGCTTTCGAAATTCTCGGAATTTTGTTGTGTTCGCCGTGCTATTGGATAAGATTTTCTTTTACTCTGTTTTCAATGGTTAGTTGAAATTCAGAGTTTACAAAAGTTGATATGTATGGTACACATTAACATTGGAAAAGAATGGTTTTATATTTCAACAATGGATAATTCCGGAAAAAATGGTTGTCATATTCTAATTTTTTTTCTTTTCCTGTCTATATGGTGATGATAACTCACTATATTCAGCCCAGGTACACATCATTTAGTGGTTTTTTTTTTCTTCCTTAAATTTTACCAAATATAAATTGAAAAGTTAAAAATGACATCTTGTTTAAGAAATAAAAAAAGCCGCCTAGTTGCTATTCATAGATTACAAACAATACAATTGGGTAGATAATGTCCAATAGATAAGTAAATTTTTAGTACAGCATTGTATGAAAGAAACACATTGAAAACGTTTTTGAATTTTCTGGGGCAAATACTCTCTTTGTTGTTTTAGTTCCTTCCACACTTATGGTAAAAAAAAAAAAAGAAATCTCGGTTCTAGTTCCCTCGACTAAAGAATTCTCATTCACTCCAAATTGTGTGGGCATTTTTGGATTGGCTTTGGTCGTCTGGGGTGGGCGTTTTGGCGCGACAGACGGCAATCCGAGATTCTGTACTTTTTCTTTTTCTACCCTCAAAACTAAACCAACATACACATAAAATAGACTATCAATTCTGTGTATTCATTTCTTTTTATTTAAGCAGGTAACCACACCACATCCAGAATTTTACAGGTAACAAATGACAATAAGAGGGGAGTACAATACATATGACACAGACCCCAGATGAGAAGAAAGTGAAGAAATAAATAAATTATGCCAAAAAGCTTAGATTGAAAAAAAATTAAAATAAAAAGTATCTATGAAATTATATAGAACAATAGAGAAAAAAGAAGCTCCACCATTTATTGGGGGGTATTGAATTGTCTAGTGGTGTAGAGGATGGAGGATACCTGTCCGTAGTTAAAAACAAGAAAAAATCTTGAGAGAAAGAGATAAAGAGAAACAAAACAATTAATAATCTAATACCGTCCATCGCCATCTAACCCCGGTGAAATATCACAGCAATTGAATCAGGGCACACTACCCATACTGTGTCCTCTTTTTTTTTTATTACGCCCAAGTGTTCCAGGTTACAGTACTGTGGAATTTTTTTTTTTTTTTTTTTACAAATTGAAATTTCTTTTTTTTTTTTACCTTAGTTTTTGTTAAACCAAAAAAAAAAAATTCTAACGAGGAGAAACAAAAGATTTTTTTTTTTTTTTTTCGTGGGGAGGGAATCAAAAAAAAAAAAAATCCATCAACAAAAAAATATAACACCACCACCACTACCATTTCTCTTTAACTTTTTTTTTTGACGCTTCTCTAATTACTTATTGTTTTTTTTTTTTTTTATATATAAATATTTATTTAAAATCTATTGAAGGGGATAAAGAAAATCAAAAGTATATCTTCAAATGAATGTCGTAGACCAACCAAAACCTAAAAAGGATCCAACAGTTAGACCTTACAAATGTCCCCACTGTGAAAAAGCATTTCATAGATTGGAACACCAAACAAGACACATTCGAACCCACACCGGTGAAAAACCTCATCAATGTACTTTTCCAGGTTGTTCTAAAAGATTCAGTAGGTCTGATGAATTAACAAGACATCTGAGAATACATACAAATCCTAATAGCAGAAAGAATAGGAAGAAGAAGAAAGACGTCATGCTATTATCAAATTCAGATGGCTCTGCTACTCAATCTTCAACAACTCCACCTCCAAATGGAGTAGTTGTTGCTCCTCAACCTCAACATACAGCTACAACACCTTCAACAACAACAGCACAACCACCAACAGCAACAACAACAATTCCTACCACTATCACTACTCCTCAGCAGGACTCACAAAAGAGTGCAACTTCTTCCCCATCAAAAATCTCATTGCCTACCCCATCTAGACCATTATTAAATAAAAATGCATCAACACATAGTATAGATGTTCTTGCCACTGCTGCCACTGAAGAATTAAGAATGATGGAATCTAAGTCTCTTCCTTCTTTGACTGAATATTTTGGTAAACTAAACAAAACAACATCTAACTCAACCACAAATAATAGTAATAATAATTTCAATTCAAATTCTAAAATTAATAAATCTCCATCTCATTATAATTTTACCATGGAGAAACCAACTTTTCAATTCCATGATACTACCAATTTACATTATCTTTCAAATCTTGCATTTAGAATGACTCCTGTTAAAACTCATATTCAAGAAGATTCTGATCTAGATTATGTTAAACAAAAATTAAAAAGATCACGTCCAAATAGTCCCGGTACAAATATGATGATGAGTAGTCATAGTAATATTCATACTTTACCTAACAGTCCTCTTTTAGGTTTATCTACAAATACTACTCCAAATATATCTGCTAGTAATAGTAGTACTAATTTAACTTCATTAGCTATGACTCCTGCTACTAATGTAATGGGTATAAAATCTTCAAACCTGCTACAATCCCAATCAACTGATGCATTACCATCAATTAAAAGTTTAAATCTACCTGAATTCACAAAATAAACAAAGTCCATTAAATAGATTTTTTTTTTGTTTGATTTTAGTATTATTACTATCATTATTATCATTTGCTATTCTGCTACTTTATATATATATATATATAAATCGGTTATAATATGTACTAATTCTTTCTGTATTACTTATAATTATACTAATTATTTTAATATTTAAATCTAGGTATAATTCTAATCAAACTAATATAAACGCAGTTACTTTTTATATACCAACTTGCCAAATTTCATTTTCATCTTCAATTCTATCACTAAACAAAGTTTCTTCATCACCACCTGCTTCAATTCTTTCTCTTTCAACATTAGCTAATCTAGTAGCAACTCTCTTGGTATAATCACCAATTGATCTAGCAACAATAGTTGTGCCAGTAACAGTAATCAAATTTTCTCCTTTAAACCAAGAATCAAATACTTCATTACCCTTTTCAACCATATTAAACACTTCAAGGAAAGCCTTTTCAGCAGCTAATTTGATTGGAATGATTGGATCTCTGATACTACTGAAAATACTTGGAACAATCACATCAAATACTTCATTAGTTAATTGTTCTTGGTGTTTTCTAGCAAAAGTTCTAACCACAACCAATGACAATCTTCTCGTATCAGGTGATGAAGATTTTGGTTGAACAATATTAATTGCAAGTTGTTCAATCAATTCAGCAGTATTTACATCAGTATTTTCACCTTCACTTAACAATAACATCTTACCAATGGCAATAGTTGCATTGTCACTCATGTAAGCATTACTGGAATTGGCACAATTTTTAAGATATTCAACAACTTGGTCATTCTTGACGTGTTCTGGACTGTATTTCAAGAATGAGTTGATTGCAAGAATCGAGAATTTAGATTCTTCATCACTTAAAATACTCTTCAAAATATTGCTTGCTTCTTCATCAGATAAACTTCCTGCTAATGAACCAATCAAAATTGGATCCATTTCTTGTTCTGCAACGGCTAAAATGGATTGCTTGGAAGCTTCACTCAAACTCTTACCTGCTTGTTCAACAACAACTAACATAGCTTTCAACATAGACTCTTTAAATTCAGTGGTCTTGATACCATTGACCAATTCAGTAACTAAAGAGTCAACTCTTGGTTGGAACTTAATTAAAGTACCCAAAGCAACAACAGCTCTCTTTCTCAATTTTTCATTATTATCTGATAATGATCTGACAAAAGTTCTTTGCAATTGTGGAATAAATGGTCTCAAGAATTGTGGAATCTTCAATAATAAGTTATTCAAGGCAACCAAAATAGCAGCTTTAATATCACTTGCAACCTTTTCACCAATAACTCTGATCAATGGACCAGTCATGGCAGTTGAGAATGGTCTCAAATTATCAGCTGGGGTCTTGTCAATAATATCAGCAATACCTAATGCAGCAGCTTCCTTTTGGTTACCATACATCAAACCATGCAAGAAAATTGGTAAAATACAATTTGGCCCTTTTGGTAATTTGAATGCTGGAACGTCGATACAGAGGTCCAAAGTTTGCTTAGCTGGTTTAACCAATTTTTCAAGACTTTCTTTAGGTTGTTTTTTAACCAATGCAGACAAAGAATCAAATGCACCTTTAACAACTTCTGGAGATGGATCAGCTAATGACAAAATCAATCTGCTTACCATATCTTCAAGATACATAGAGTAGTCAATTTCAGTATTTTCGAAAAAGACACCCAATCTTGAGAAAATGAACATTCTTCTTTTTGGATCTTCATCTTTTAATAAGCCCATAATGATTTGCATCAATTGATGAACACCATCATCTTCAACAGACAACATAACTTGATCGATAGCATCACTTTCAGCATCAACCAAAGCATTGATGATAACTGATAATCTCTTGTACAAGGCAGAACCAGCAACTGGAGCCAATGAAGCCAATGCTTCAGTGTCAATTGGTGGAGAAAGCAAAGTAGGTAACAAGATTGGGAAAATAACATCGGCTTTCTTCAGCATGATGTCTTTCATGGCCAACAATGCATTTGGATCCTTCAATCTCTTCAACAAATCAGGAACAATTTCATCAATAACAACCTTACCCAATTCATCTTGTAATGCGTCAAAGGCAACAGCAGCTTCTTCTCTAGAAGTAACAAGACCATCTTTAATGATATCAATGAAAATATCTTGGTATTCAACCAAACCATCATGAGATGTTGATTTGATCAATTCCGTGATAGCGATACAAACACCTTGCTTGTCATCGGATTCTTGTAAAGTAGGCAACAATTGACTCAATGCATTGGCACCAACACGACGAACCATTTCACCTAAGGTTTGAGCAGCAATAGTTCTTTGAACATCGTCATTGGACGACAATCTCTTGACAACAATTGAGGTAAGAGCTGGTAAGATTTCCTTGACAGTCTTTGGAGTATTTGCAACCAATGCTTTCCAAATGTCAACAGTGGCATTTCTAACAATACCAGCAACATCAGAACGACAAACAAAAAGTGAGGCCAAAACACGGTCACGACGTTCTTGTCCCAAAACATTAATAAGGGTCTTGCTGACAGATTGTTGATCTTCGGTAAGTTCATTCTTACCAGAAATACCAGTGATTTGGAATAACAAGTCACCAGTAAGTTCAACAGATGATAATCTGATTCTATAACTTTCATCAGATAATCCATTCTCCAATTCTGGTAATAACAAATCAACTGCTTTCTTGGCATAATTCTTGACAATCAATCTACCTGCTCTCAATGCAGTGTCTCTAATATCTTCATCTTGATCTGCCAAACCTTGAAGAATTGGTGGGATAATTTTGTTAAGATATGGTGAAAATTGTGATCCAAAACAAACTGGCAAGAATAACAACAATGGCATGAAACCAGCACGAGTACGTGGTGAACTAGCTGAGGATAAAATAGTTGGTAACATTTCTTCCAATTTGGTGATACCAAGACCACAAATAACTTCGGCTAATGCTTGAGCAGAACCTAATCTGTCACCAGCTTTAGTATCATCTCTAAGGGTGTCTAATAATTTAGGAATCAAGCCTGGGAAACTATCTTCACCTAATTTTTCAACCAAGGATCCTAATGCTCTTGCAGCAGTAGATCTGGTTGCTGGAACTGGGTCAACCATAGCAATTTCTAACTCATTAACTAATTCACTCAAGTAACCACGCAAGTCCTTGGCATCAACCAAAATAGCCATATTACCAACAATTTGACATGCTTTCTTCTTGGTGGAGGCTCTGTCTTTCATACCTCTGTAAATAACATGAATAATCAATGCTAACGAAGGTCCATCAATATAATGGACGAATTGAGTCTTGATCAATTTGTCCAACGCATCATCGGTGTATTTAGTAGGATCACCAATTGCATTAATAAGATCCGGAACAATGGCTTGGATTTCTGGATTTCTAATAACTTCACCAAATCTTTGTAAAGAAGCAGAAGCGGCTTTTCGAACTTCTTTATGTGTGTCATTTAAAACACCGACAATTTGTGGGATAATAATAGACAATGAAGCGGATAATTGGGCCGGATCCAAATAAGCCATAGAACCCAACAACTCAACTGACCCTTTCTTGGATCTCCATTGAATTTCGTCAAGGTTAGAAATGGCCAATGGAATTAACTTCTTAACCCCAAAAGAAGTGGTATTTTTCATGATTTCCTTAGCAGCGTTATCAGTAGCTGTTCTAACTTCTGGAACTGGATCACCCAATGATTTAAGAATAATTGGCAAAATTTCCAAAACATATGGTTCAAAATATTTACCCAAACTCTTGGACAAAGTTTCAAAACAGATGGAAACACTTTCACGTTTAATGACATCCTTTTCATCAGCAGCATCAGTCAAGTTTCTAATAATATCAAAGGAACTTAATGATTTGATACCACTACCTTTAACTAAACCAGAAATACCATATGCGGCACCACGACGAGAGGATACTTTTTTAGCAGTCCATAATTTTTCAAATAATTCATCAAACACTTGTTGTAAATTATCCATTGCAGGAACTAATGGAGCAATACACTCAGAAACAGCATATTGAACAGCTGGTGTATCCAAACTCTTCATCAATCTTTCGATAATAATCTTCAATCTTGCGTCAGATTTATCTAAATCGCGAGCTAATGTACCATACAACACAACCACGGCTTCTTTACTAGAAGTGGCTAAACTTTCTTCGAAAATTGGAATCAAAACTTCAACGTTGTTAGCGCCATGTAATTTGATGGCTTCAATTCCCGCATCTTGTAATTCTTGACGAACATGCTCATCTTTGTCTGCAGTTTCAACAAGGAATTTAAACAATTGTTCAACATCAGATTGAGTGTACAACGGTGCTAACAATTTCAAAGTGATAGCCACGGTAGATCTTTCTTCCCAACGGTCTTTGTTAACAATAGTTGACTTGATGACCAAACCAAATTTATCCAATTTTGGTGCTGGTGGGTTTTTCTTTTCTTCATACAAATCAAACAACTCTTGCAAATTTAAAGAACCATTTTGAGAAGCAGCATCAACGTATGCTTTGGCAATGGAGTTTCTTAAACCAGCATCACTATTTCCAAATAATTCAAGTAAATTAGTGGTATCTTGAACCTTTAATTCGTTATCTTCCCAAATAGTTTGAGCAATTTCTTGACAATTTTCGTCATTGTCATGAGTAGCAACAAATAATTCTTTAGAATACTTTTCCAATTCAAATTCAGCATCTAAACCTTCCAAAATTGTTGATCTGACGAAAACATGGGAAGTGATAATACTACTTAATAACAATTGCAAATCAAAGTCAGAAATGTTGTATGCAATATGTTGACATAATGACAAGAAGCATTCCTTGGACAATTTAGCCTTGGAAGGCAATTTCATCAAAGAAATCAAAACTTCTAAAATGCTAGTACGAGGAATCTTTTCGTCTTCAAATGATTCAGCATGAGCAGAAATGATTTCGACAGCCAACAATAATTGTTCTTCTTCTGGATCTTCTTCAACAAATTCTGAAGTGACAGCAGTCTTGCTGGAGTTTCTAATAGCAACAGCTTTACCATCGTACAATACCTTGGTTAACAAAGGCAAAATGTATGACAAACTCAATGCATCTAAAGGTTGTTGGTCACTCAACATTTTGATTCTGTACAAGATTCTACCAATCAAGGAAATCAAAGGCTCTTGCTCTAAGCTTTCATCTAATTTGAAACCGTATGATCGAAGAGTAGCAACACCAATAAACTTTTGTAATACACCTAATCTTGGTGAGATTAACATGGATGCGTTAAGGAAAGCATCAACAGGATTAAACAAACCAGAAGTGGTTGGTAATGTAAGCAATTTGTTAATTGCAACTGGAAACCATAAGTTAGAACCGTTGTTTGCAAGTTTAGCTTGATTAGTCAATTCAGTTATCAAGTCAATGACAAAGTTAACTTTGTCAACAACTTCAGCAACTTGTTTTCTAATAACAGTCTCCTTGGCGAGCTGTTCATTTACCAATGCTTGTTCTTCTTTGGTCAATTTCTTTGGTTGTTTCAACTCTTTCTTGATGCTTTGTTCCCATTTCTTGATTTCATAATCCTTGGAGTTCTTATCGAGCTCCTTTTCCTTGGATCCAAGAATGTTTACCACCAATTCACCTTCAGTACCATTGTAAATAGCTACTTCTTCGTCATCAAATTGAAGTTCGCTGACATCTAAATCTATCAAGGAAACAATTGGTTCGATTAAGTCAGGTCTAATGAATGCAATATCGGCGAGAGCTTTAATGGCAGCAGAAGAACCATCTTGGACACATTCGTCAAAGATAGATTGGAAATTTTCACCAACTAATTTCCCAATGTCTACTTTTTGAGATCTTTGTGCCAAAGTAATCCAGTTTATTGATGCTTTACTTGCCGGAAGGATAAGTTCTTTCAAGTTTTTCTCGGAGTATGAACTCAACTTTGAAAAGAGTGGACTAAGGTTTTTGATATCACCATTTAATGATTCTTTAATTAATCCTTCGCTAAGTTGATCATTCAATTTCAAAGAATTCAACGCCATCAACCTTATTTGATGTGGTGCATTGGTCAACACATAAATCCAACCAACAGGATCATCTTTGAGTGCTCTAACTAACCATTTTAAATCAACTTCATCAAGTTTACTAAAAATTCTTGAGTCATTCAATAATGGAGACTCCTTTTTGGTTAATGCCAAGATAACAAATGCACAAACAATTGACTTGTTGGCCACTGAAGGAAGTGGTGACTCTTCGATCTGAGATAAGATTTTTTCAAATTCCGGTAAAACTTCTGGGAATGGGAACTCTTCAAGATCAAAAACTTGTTCACCAAATTCAACAAACCAGACTCTACGTAATTTAACGTTGTTGAATCCAGCAATGATTTGTTTAATAGCCTCTGGAGTATTGGCTTTCAAAGCATGGAAAGTGAAAACTTTAACAAAACTGGCCAATGAATGCTCGTTTTGATCTTTTGATACTAAAGGTAACAACAAGCCGACTATCTTTTCTGAATCATTAAAATGAATCAATGATTGAATAATCAAACTCTTAGCTTCGGCATTTGAGGTGGCTTTGATGGCTTTGAAAACTTCATCCACTAAAGCGGCATTACTGTTCTTGGTCAATGCCAAGTCCAAAGTATTTGCAGCAGCATTCCTCACTTGTTCCTTGGTTGACTTGATACCTGAGACAATGGAAGAAAACAATTTGGTGGTGATTTCAACATCAATTGACAAGTTTTCGAATACAACAGGAAGGGTATATACAAAAGCATTTTCTGAAGATCTCATTATAGCTTTCTCGATATGAGGCAACAATTTGGAGAAATCGGTAACCAAACTTTTAATACAATTGCCAAATAATGCCAAATCGTGAGAATCTGGGGCAGTTTTGTTTAATAACCCTTGGTTGATGAAAAATTCCAAGATCTCGTCTGTATGTTCAGATTTATAAACTTCAAATAATCCAGGATGTTTTTCCAATGCTGAATCCAATACACCTAATAATGCAAATGACTTGTTCCTTATAACGATTTGCAAATACTTGCTATCAACAAATAAAGTGTCGGAGATTGCAGTTTTAGTGGTTTGGATGGCAGATTTATGAACTCTCCTTCGTTTACCTTCAAAACTAATACACTTGGACAATAATTTTCCTTGAGCAATAGCAACAGAATCATCTAACTTATCAATGGTGGCCAATTCAATGACAAAAGCGTTGATCCATTGCAAAAGAGTCATATAATCCGTAACTGGTAAAGTTGGACCATCTACTTCTTGATTGATATATTTGACAAATACCAGTAAATATTTGGAATTGTGTTTGCCAATAGTTTTCAATGCATTTAAAGCTTCGTTTCTAGATTTTGTATCATGATAGTAATTATATGTCTTCAATAATGTAATTGCAATCTTGTTTATTTCTTCTTCTGGAATTGAGGACAAGAGTTGTTGGATGGAAGTGATAATAGGTATTCTAACTGAAAGCAATGAATTTTGAATCCCCTTTACATATATAGGTTCCAATTCATCCCATGTTTCAGCCATGATGATTAATAAATTGACTTGTATAATTTATTGAAGCTCTTCAGACAACCAAATAGGATGGATCCTGCTCTTTTTTTTTCACTGTTAGGCAGCCCATAATAGAAGACAAACCAAAAATGAAGAAAGAAAAAAATTTTTTTCTCTTCGTTTGCACGCACACATACACACACTATGAGTGAGATTTCATTTTGCAAATCATGAACTACCAAATGAACCTCAGACTATAAATTGAGAGTCCTGTTGGAAAAAATTTTTTTTCTATACCATTTTTTTTTCCCTTCTTTTTTTCTTTTCCTTATCAACTATAACAGTCAATGAGGATAGGTTAATGCCGTTGCAGTAATGGATTGAATTGGAGGAAGAAGACTCTTCGGATGTTGGTATTCTTTCAGTTTGGTCCGACTCAATGATTATTTCTATAATCTTGGGCGCTGTGGATTCCATTACAAACCATTCATCACCACACAATTTTTTGAGTAATGGTGTATAGAAACATCTGAGGCTGTATCTTTTTTTACAACATATAGTTGATTGTTTTTTTTATCACATGATATAGTGTTATTGATCAATTAGTATTGTGTATATATAAAAAAAGAATTGTAAATACATAACATAAATTACTAGCAAATAAATAAATAATAGAATCATATAATCGTTAAAAAAATCTTACTTTCCACAAAAATAAACAGAAGAAACCACTGAACAAAATAAAGCAAATAAAAGCAAACAAAATAAACACATTAACCATAAGTCTTTTTTTTTCAAGTATATATATATAACAGCCAAAAGGAAAAAATAACCAAACAAAACTTTAATAATAAAAAAGGAACCATTTTAATATCAGGTCAGAAAGAAAAAAGTATAAAGACCGACCCCCTTTGAAGAAATAATATTAATAATAAATTACAGATTTGACATATCCCTCTCTCACTCACTTTCAAATACATCTTTAGTTGTTAACTTTTATAGTCTCTAGTCCTCTAATCACCATGCTTAAAACAACATCTGTTGCCATAACGACAACTTCCATATTTGGACCAGTTAGCACATGGTTTTGATCTCCATTTTGGTGGTCTGTCAACATGTTTTAATTCATTTTCACCATGAGCAAATTGGCATTTGCTGCCATAAGGACAGACACCCGTCTTCATAAAAGAAGCACATAATTCAGTCTTGTATAATTGGGTGTTGATTGGAGCCTTGTGGTTCGCAACATGTTGTTGTGGAAGAATTTGGTCATCAAGTTGAGTTTGGTGTTGATGGTGCTTGATTTGGTCAAAGTTAAACAATTCGTCATCTTGTGGTAAATAAAACATTGGTTGTTGTGCTGTGGTGGTGGAGGAAACAGTATTAGTTGGTTGTTCAAGAACAACTGGATGTTCGTCCCATAAAGTTGAAGTTGATCTCAATGGTGGAGATACGGAAATGGCAGGAGAAGCAGTAAACCAAGCATTTTGACCTTGAGTAAGAGGTTGTGGTTGAATTGGGAGTTGTTGTTGTGATGGAAGTTGATTATGATGTGGCTGTTGTTGAAATAAATGGTTGTGAGGGGTATCAAATGTTTTAAGATGGCTATACTTCATATCAGTGTCATCTTCAGAAGCAGTTTGCCATAAATCAGGCAACAAGTCTTCAAAATCGGTAGTTGAAGAAGATGAAGAACTTGATGAAATGGATGAAGTTTTAGTTGACTTTGTATTTAAACTATAGTCGAATATTTTTGAAGTTCCAAATGCAGACATCATTATGATTTTGTTACAATAACTTTATGAATTGAAATTTTTAAGAAACACGAAACTAGGATGAATGGAATTAATGAAAATATATAAATATATATATAAACTTGGGAGTGAATAAATATAAAATGGGGAAAAACAAAGAAGTAAAAGTTATGACAATCAATTAATGAAATAATTGAGGTGGGAATACAAAAATAAATAAATAAATGAAAATAAGTCTGAATGCCAATTTAAATACTAAAAAACAGTATAAGAAGAAAAGAGAAAAGAAAAAAAAAAAAGAGGAAATTTGATATGTTAAATATTTATATGGAGGGGGAAAAACAGGGCCGTTTATATAATTCAATTTAACTGAATATGTACTTGCAAAATATGTATGTAAGAATGGCGTGTGTACAAGAAAAAAAAAAATAAAATATCAACAGATGGTTTACTCTCTCTTTGGCTTTCTCGCTTTGATTCATTAACTTACTAAATTTACTAAAAAAAAAAAAACAGATGTTACACAAAATTGACTCCAAATTTTTCCATCCATCAATCAATCAATCAGTTTCTTTTTTTTCATTTACTCCAACTGCAAATCAATAATGGTGGTGGTATACACTGTACGCTGTACGGTATGGTTTCCCGCTCAACAGAAAAAAAAAATGGAACCAAAAAAAAAAAATTATTCCCCTCATACAACAATCCAATATTGGCAATTTACTTTTATTTTTACTCCAAAAAAAAATGGCATTATCCATGGATTAAGAAAGTAAAATGTTATAAACTACATCTGCTACTACTACTTGTACTATACCCTTCTTTCTTTTTTTTTTATTTCTCCACTCTTCTATTTTCATAGTTTATTCCCTCTCTTTTTCTTTTTTCACCCCCGAGATATTTTAAGGGAATTGTGAAATTCTGGGATGGGAAAGTTGAGTTATGCGGCGAACGACAATTACTAAAAACAAAACAAAAAAAATGAACAGATTAGAAAAATTTTTGGTGAGGTATGAAACTTGTATTGTGTTGGCACAGGAGTTACGCACCTTCCTACTGACTCCAACCAACCATTAACCATTACTCTCTTCTCCGAATCTACCATGCAATGTAGAATTTCTTTCTTTCTTTTTTTTTTTTTTGTGGGTCGTTTATGTTTCACTTGCTCTATTGATTTTCTTAATAATTTGGGTGCAACATTTCTCTCTATTCTCCTTTCTTCCCCTTGTTTTATCTTCAGTATCTTGCTGAAATTTCAAAAAAAAAAAAAATCACGTTGTTTTTGCTTCTACATTAACGACCAGTCTAGAAATGCTTTCTCATATGAGATAGAATAAGAATGATCTGTATTTGTTCATGCGCTTAACTTCTATTTGCATACTAGTCTATACTTAAACGATCTTATAAAGAATATTCGGCAGATATTTTATGATATGGGGGAACCACACACACACACACGCTTCTGGTGACTTCTTAAAAAGAAAAAGAAACTCAACCATGTCGTTGTTGTTTATCACAAAATTGCTTTTTCGTTTCGGATTAATCTCAATTCTCTTGTGGCAATACCGCAAAAATTAAACTGAGAGAGAGAAATTGAATTTTTTTTTTTTTGGTGATTCAGCAAATCACAAGCAGAGAATGCGAAATTTCCATTTCCCGCCACAGGATTTTGATCACACTTGGTAGTAACGCAACCACTCATACAAAAAAAAACTGCTCTCTTTTGTACGACACCTTTTTATGGGAATCATACCATGATTCAAAATTATTCATTACAAAAACAAAAAAACAAAATCACCTTATGTTCCCAGCCCACATGGTTTCATCTGTACAGACTTTTTTTTTTCTTATTCTTCTACTCTTGCATCATTGGTATTTTGTCATGTGTCAATTGCACTTCGTGGTATGGGTTTTAGATTCCCCTGATGGAATGAAACTAAATGTTGAGAAAATGGACTGCGATACGATCTTTAATTCACTCGGTTGATCTCGGTTTATTGACGCGGGTCTGATTGTATATAGAGAGGGGACATTTCCCATGAATTGAGCGGGGTGGCCCAAACCACCACAATATGAATTTTTGATAAGCATCTCGTTTGAGACCAGTCAACAAAAAAAATATCTCGGGACTTTAAATGAACCAAAGCTGTGTAAAAAAATCTCTTCCCCCCCCCCCGCCAAATATGTCTTAAATGTATTAGCTTACAAGTTCAAAACAATCACAACTTCCAGTTTTCTCCTCTTCTAATCTTACTTTCATTTACTGAGGAGAAGTTAAAAAAGTAGAAAAGGTAAATTTTGATTTTCTCTAGTTCTCCAATTTTTAATTGCTCTTAAACAGAAAGAGGAGTAATGGAAAACAAAAAAAAAAAAAAAAATTGGTGTCAAATGTTCTAGATTCAACAAATGAAGTTAAAAGCGAGATTGTTAAATTAGAAAATAGTGAGCCGCATTACTATCACGTGTCATGTGTCACGTTATAGACTTGGTTTAAAATATGGAAAAATAAAAAGTCGAGAAAAACGAAAAAAAAAAGTATAAACAACGCGTATTATCTCATCTTGCAACACGATATATACCTTTTGATGATAACAAATATAAATGAACAGGTTAAGTGGATCAAACGAACGAAACCATATATAATACCTACTAATAAACTTGATCTAATAAGAAAGAAGTACCCCAAAGATGCTATCACTCCAACTTCAACACCAATCACCAACAATGGTGTTGTTCAAGTTCCAAATTCATTACCACCATCATCTATACCTACTCCAGATATACCAAGACAACTACCGCCAGAACCACAACCACAACCACAGCCACAACCGCAGCAATCTATGAATACTGCTAACAAAGAGAATATGCTCAGTTCATTTACATTTACTTCTTCATCGATCTCATCAAAACCACCATCTCGTCAGATCCAATCTACTTTACCGTTAAGAAAAATACCTGCTAACGAAATGAGATCTCAGAGGCTTGGTACAGTGTCTCAAACAAAATCATTTTCATTGACATCATTATCGTCATCTACATCTACAGCTCAAGCTGTTGCTGCGGTAGAACAGCCACTGGTAACAGCGACTACCACTCAGTATATTGATTTAACACTGAGTCCTGTCAAAGATACAACTAGCCCAATTGTTTCAAGAAGAAGACCACCACCAGTGATACCACCAGAAACCCCACCGACTGAGAAGAACGGTCAAGTACTAGCCAATGTATCAACATATCAGAAACTATGTCAATTACAAGAAACGAAAATCAAGTTACTCGAAGAGAGAATCCATACTAGTGAATCAACACTGATATCAATGGACGATAAAACTGCCATTTATGGTACTTTGGAAAAACAAATCAAATCTATAGAAAAGCAAATCAATGTAACAAAATCAAATATAGGTAATGAAAGTTCAATCAGCCTAACTGAATCAGCTAGCATTACTATTCTGTCACCTGAATTTAGAACACCAATAGCACCTCCAAGAAGATTAGCTGAAGCAAGACAAATAGTGGCGAATACTACTAATGCTGTACCGGATTTTAATGATGAAGATGAAATTGAAGATCATTTTGGAAGTGACGAGAATTCTGGTTTATTTACACCGACTCAAGCTCGTAATCGTCGCAGTGATGGTGAAATAGATAATGGAAGTGATTTGGAAAGTTTTATTGTTGATTCCTGTGAAGAATTTGAAAGCGAATCGGATGATGCCTATGATGATGAAAATGACGATGATGTAGTCGATGAACTGTTTGATATTAGACTTTCGCAAGAAACAGCTCAAAGAATGAATATCACATACGGTAGTCAATTACCATCAAGAATTCCACATTTTGTTTCACCAACAAGAAATAAACCAAGTACACGAACAAGATCAATTGCTACTATTGAAGAAATTGATTCAGAAGATGATGCTATAGATGCTATCAATGAGGATGATGAACTTGATGAAATCGATGATATTGAAGAAATCACTTTCCCTAATGTTGATTCTGTTGATGATCCAATTGAAGTAGACGATAAAAGTTGTGATCCCCCTCATCATCAAGAAGGAGAAGAAGATGAAGGAGAGGAGGATTCAGAAGAAAGTAATCAAATCCTAATAGATGATTACATGACTCAACTCAATCAAGAAAGAGAAATTGTGGATTTCATTGAATTATCTGATGATGACGACGACGATGATGATGATGGTCTGTCCCTTGAAAAACCTCTACCAACTAATCCACCACAACTTCCTCCTATTTCAACGGCTCCAAAAGCATCATTTGAGAATACTGTAGTCCCAGCTAATGAAGATATCATTGAAATTTCCGATAGTGATGGATTTTCTGATGATGATGACGATTTGGTAGATTATTTCCGAGACCAAAGACGTCCTGCTGGTTCAGAGCCATTTATTGATGAGGTTTATAAAGTATTGGATAATACTTTTAAATTAAAAGATTTCAGATCAAATCAATTAGAAGCCGTGTGTGCAACTTTACAAGGTAAAGATGTATTTGTACTTATGCCCACGGGTGGAGGTAAATCATTATGTTACCAGTTACCGGCATTGATTAAGAGTGGTAAAACTAGTGGAACCACGGTAGTCATTTCCCCGTTGATATCTTTAATGCAAGATCAAGTGCAGCATTTACAATCTAAAGGAATTAAAGCCGGTATGATTAGTGCACATGGAGCTAAGGGAGATAACAAACATACAACGAATCTATTCCGAGAAGGTTTTCTTGATATTGTTTATTTATCACCTGAAAAGGCCAATAGATCTGGACATACTCAAAAGATCATTGCCAGATTATATAAAAATGATCAGTTGGCCAGAGTTGTTATTGATGAAGCACATTGTTTAAGTTCATGGGGGCATGACTTTAGACCAGATTATCAAGGGTTAAAATTTTTCAAAGAAGAATTTCCTAATGTTCCAATTATGGCATTGACTGCTACAGCTAATGAAAAAGTCAGAGAAGATATTTTACATAATTTGAATATGAAAGATCCAATCTTTTTAAAGCAAAGTTTCAATAGAACGAATTTATTTTATGAAATACGATTAAAACAACGTGATTTCTTGAAAGAAATTAAGGATTATATAATGGAGAAACATCCAAATCAAACGGGTATTATTTATTGTCATTCTAAGCAATCATGTGAACAAACAAGTGCCAAGTTGAATGAATATGGATTGAGGACTTCATTTTACCATGCTGGGATGAGTACTGAGGATAGATATAAGATTCAAACTAATTGGCAAAATAATAAAATTCAAGTGATTTGCGCTACTATAGCCTTTGGTATGGGGATTGATAAACCCGATGTGCGATTTGTTATTCATTTATTTCTTCCTCGATCATTAGAAGGGTATTATCAAGAAACTGGTCGTGCTGGTAGAGATGGCAAGCATTCTGAATGTATTATGTATTATAGTCCTAAGGATGCACGAACTTTAAGAACATTAATTCAAGGGGATGAGCAATTTAGTGAAGATGTTAAGGAAGGTCACTTGGAGAAATTGAGACAAGTTGTTCAATATTGTGAGAATACTATTGATTGTCGTAGACAACAAGTTTTACAATATTTCAATGAAAGTTTTAATCCTGCGGATTGTAATAAAGAATGTGATAATTGTTTGAATTTCAATCAAGGTGAAATTGTTGAGCGGGATTGTACCGAATATGCTAGAGATATCATTAGTCTTGTTAAATCTATTCAAAGGGATAAAGTTACTGTGATACATTGTCAAGATGTCTTCAGAGGAATGAAGTATAAAAAGATTGTTAATCTTCACCATGATGAAAATGAGTATCATGGAAAGGGTAAAGCACTAGATAAGAATTTAGTGGAACGAATTTTCTTTAGTTTGATCAATGAAGGATATTTAGTGGAATATATTGTTAGGATGAAAAAATCAAAATTTGGTACAACCTATGTTAAAGTTGGTAAGAATGGAAATTTGAGAAATAAGAAAATTATGATTAAATTTAATGTCAAACCTAAAACGACGGCAACTGGTGGTAAAAAGTATGCACCAAAGGATAAAAATACATCAAAAAGTACAACAGCTGTTTCACCATATTTCAATGGTACTCAAACCAAAAATACTCAAAGTAATAGGAGAGGGGGAACTACAACTAGGAAAAGAACCAGTACTCAAAGAGGTCAACGATCACAAGAAGGTAATAAAAGAAGAAAAACTGGTAGTAGAAAGCCATCACAGTCATCAGCTAAATCCAATAAGGCTACTTCTGCGATGCCTTTATAGAATGCATAATATAGATTATTCACTATATATATACACATATATTTATTTTTATTATTATTGTTCTTCTTCCTTTTGCATCTTAATAGAGAGTGTGCAAGAACCACAAATTAAAAAAAAGGGAACGATAAGATTCTTTCGCACGCCAAAAAAAAAATAAAATCAAATACGCCCTCAGTCACGTAAAAAAAAGGAGGGGGATAGAATAAATCATCAAGATTAATTGATTACTGATTAACAACAACGATAACGATCACAATAACGAATAGTACTACTACTACTAATAATAATAATAATTGAAAATAATGAGTGTAAAACAACATCCATTTCATAAAAGATTATTAAAAGAATATAGTGGATTATTAAAAAGTACAAGTAGTGAATTACCTGGAATTACATTAATTTCAAATGATGATTCATTAATTAATTTTATATTTCAAATTAAAATTAATTCAAATGCTAAAAATAAAAAAATTTATCCTGATGATGAATTATATTATTTAAATATTAAAATTACTGATAATTATCCTGTTGATTCTCCACAAGTTAAATTTATTATTTATGAAGATGAAATTAATAAATTATCATCATCATCATCATCATCATCTAGTAATACCAAAGGAAGTAAAGAAAATCCAATTAATTTAGATGATGATGATAATGATAGTAATGGGTCAATTAAATATAAATCAGTAATACCTATTCATCCACATATTTATAGTAATGGACATATATGTTTAAATTTATTAGGTGACGATTGGACACCAGCATGTTCAATTGAATCAATATTATTAAGTATACAAAGTATGCTAACTACAAATGATAAAAATGAAAGACCTCCTGATGATAAATCTTATATTCGTCATGCTCCTTTAAATCCCAAAAATTCAAAGATTTGTATATCATGATGATTCTGTTTAAAAAAAAAAAAAAATATTGATTTGAATTTGAATTTGAATTTGATATTAGTAAGATTTTGAAATTTTTTGACTGTTTTCTTTTATTTTTTGTTCAAATTAATTATACTATAAATTAAAGATAAGATTTAAATATTAGGTGTGGATAATGAAAATAGAAAAGAGAATATATATATATTAGATATATTTTTAGTTAATACATAATGTAATCATTGCAGTAAATATGATGAATAGCAAATGTTTTTACTGAACAATAATCATTTGTATATTCTATAATTCAGATGTGTCAAACTAAAATTATTTGAGTCATTGAACTATTTTGATAGTCCATTCTCATTGAAGAAAAATCGATTTAATGTTGTGATATTCTACCAATAAATATATCTCTTCTTAAACAGGGGTATGTAATTTATAATGCTCTTGTATAATCGGACATTTTGAAAAAAAAAAAGAATAAGATAGACAAATTTTGAATCAGTTTTAATGTAGTTGCAGTCTAAATGTTCATAAATACTTCATGAGTAAGTTAAAACATATGAACAAGATATATAATTTGAGGTAATTCATGGTTGAACTTTTTACAAATATCAAAACTATCTTACATAGTATCTTGTCGAATCAATTACATTCATACAAAATTTCTATACTGTTATTAAAATGTATCTTGTTAATATATGTAATAGTAAATCTACAAATACATTTCTTGTGATTTCTTATACTTCTTGTATACATTAATCACATGTGCATTATCACGTGATATTACAATGTAATGTAATGTAGTATGACACATCGCAAGGCTAAAAAGTGTGAAACAAAAAAAAAATAAACAGAGGAACCGTTAGAGTACAACACAAACATGAAAAATGAAAAAAAAAGAGAGCCGTATGTTATAGAACTATTACCATGACGTCAATTAATTAAGATTAAGAAAACACTTCATCAGCTTTAAATTTACTTTAATATAGGAGGCAAAAAAAAATTTTCACTTCATCTCAAGAAAGTTTCTATACAATTATGTGATAGTTTTCTTAATTTTACACGAAGGCTCTGTTTTTTTGTTTTTCAGTGAGTGGGGTCCTGTTAATGAAATTGAAGGCGATGAATATTTACACAAAATATTTAAAATTTTTTTAAACCAAAAAAAAAATTACAACAATTTGCATTCTATTGTGAACAAGGCAAACTTATCGATCATCGGTCATCCAATTAAATATGAAACAAAATCGAAAATAAAAAAAAAACTCCGAAGCTCATTAAAGAGTCACAAATGGAGGTACAATACCGATCTTAGTGTAATTTGCCTTTCTTTCTATTTCCTTTGTTTTTAATTCTCCTCTTTGGTTTGTTGGTTGATTGGTCCTCCGTAGATCCCCTCTTTTTCTTTTTTTAATATTGTATGAATTTCTCCTGGTAATGAAGATCGGTTGTAATAATTGAGACAATGGGCAGTTAGGACACCATTTTTTCCTTTAAAGTTATGAGTTTCCTTTGATGAAAAACTTTTTTTAATATATTAAAAAGAAAAAGAAATTCATGAACTTATTGTTGAATTCATCGAGAGGGGGGAAAGAGAGATAAATAATGAGATATTATTGTTGGTTGTGAATGTTTAATAAAAAGTTAATCCGAGAATAGGAACCAAAAACAACTGAACGGGTTTTTCCAGTGTAACAAAGCACACGACTTGTAACCATTATTTAATTTTTTTTTTTTCCATTGCCAACTCCGTGCTGGAAATATGATGTGTGTGTGTGTGTGTGTGCGTGTACGTGATAAAAAAGAACCGTGAGGGAATTTCGTTTCAATTTCAATTTCAATTTCAAAGCCTGAATGAGAATGAGAAATTGAGAGAGAGTGTGTGTGTGTGTGTGTGTGTATGAGTAAAGTGTACACAAAGTTTACCCCTCTTTTGCAATTTTCAAATCCAACAGTTTTTGTTTTTTTTTTTCTTCTTTTCTCTCTTTATTACCAACACACCAACAAATTAAATTAATTGGATAATTTTTATGCAAGTAAAAAGAAAATTGATTTTGACCAGCGGAGAAATAGGAGTTATTCTTGATATCATAGTTTTTGCAGTTAATTTAATTTCAATTGATTATAGGAGAATGATTGGTTAACTGCAAAGTATATTGAGAGATAATTTAGATTTCTAATCAACAGAAGGAAACGTATTTCATAAAATTATTTGATTTTTGTGCAATATAGATAAAATTAGGTTACAATCTTGCATACAGAGAATAATGAATTAATGAATGATAGAATGAACCATTTGTTTAGTGGAAGAAGTCCCAAACAAATACAAAATAGTAAAAATAGGGCAAATTTGAAAAAAAAAAAAAAAATTTTTCTTTAATGATATTTTGTTTTTCTTATAAATTTACATCAAATTGACCTTTGAATTGAGATTCAGTTTTTGTATGCCAAAAATAAGAAAATGAATTTTGTTTAAAATGATTTATTTATGAAAAAGTTTTCTCTTCTTTTCTCTTTCTCTTCTTCTTCTTCTTCTTTTTAATTTAACAGTGTAGACTTACTACTATCTATTCATCTATAATCTATTCCAGTTATTCCTATTTTACATCCCTTGACAATTAACATTTCCTCAACTTCCTTGTTCCCATATATCCTTTTTTTTTCTCACAAGTAAAAGAAATTAAATAATACCAATAAATCAAACCAGGGGTTCAATTAGATATAAATATTAACAATATAAACCTGTTGATCTTATAATAATTGAATAAGAGATTACTAAATTATTACAATTGATAATCAAATATAAAAAAAAAATAATTACTTTGAAAATACAATTGCTCAGGTTATATATATAAATAACACCATCAACATTTTTTTTTCTGTTAGAGATTAAAGAAATTGAACTATTTTGTCTTCTCCCGTTTATTTTAATTTTATTTATAATAGGTGTTGGCCATTAATTCCCCATTCCCAATACCCAATTCCCAATTCCCACAGCAAACTAAATTACACTCGTATTGACTGTTGATTTTTAGAAAGGAAACCAACAAAAAAAAAACCATACTACAGAGACTAATTTGTTGTGCACGACTCACTCATAATTATTTATTACGACAGTACATTTTTTATTTATTTATTTATTTATTTATTTTGTTTGTTTGTTACAAAAGCGATACCGCAAACGAGAGAACGAAATTTTTCATTTCAGATTTTTTTTTCCCTCCTTTCACAAACATATTTATTCAACTCCTTTTTTTTTCATTGCTTTCCTTGTCAGATAACCATTTCAATATCATTACAATCCAACCATAAATATGTCAATTGATTCAGCAAACGATCCACAACTTAAGCAAGAACCTTCGGCTCCGTCGAATAATAATACTACTGCTACTACTACTCAACCAGTATCATCTACTAGCAGTACAACAACTCAATTGGTTCCTCCCCATCCAATTGAACAAGCATGCGACTCGTGTCGGAAACGCAAATTGAAATGTTCAAAAGAGTATCCACGTTGCACCAAATGTATTCAGCACAAATGGTGTTGCACATATAGTCCAAGAACTATAAGATCTCCATTGACAAGAGCCCATTTAACAGAAGTGGAGAATAGAGTTGCTCAATTGGAATCTATTCTAAATTATTTGCTACCTCCAAATACTGACATTGACGATTTGATTAAAAATAAGACATTATTAGAACCAATTAAGCAAAATATCACCAAACTTGCATCCTGCGAGAGTGAGAGCACTAATGGTAACAATATTCCAAAAGAGGAAAACTACAACACCGCCACTAACAGTCCATTACAATCCTACAATTCTTCAGTAGCTCATTCTCCCATAGATACTATAACTTATCCTTTACGTCAATCCAAATCAAACCCCTTAGATGATTATTTTTCCAAAAACAAGTTGAAACAAGATATTCTTGATGATTTTTTTTTAAACAGACTCATCAACACTCCAAACGATAGTACGCCATTCCAATCTTCACTTAATAATAGCACTATCAACTCCACTTTAACATCACCTACTTCATTAATGAGCTTGAATTCATATGATGATTCAAATAGTTCGATACCTGATGTGATTGATTTAAGTGAACCACTGTTGAAGAAATTAAAATTAGAGGCTGAGCAATTTACAAGCGGTTCGTCTTCTACATCTTCTTCTACAGGTGGTATTAATCAATTGGGTTTATTCAATGATGCCACCTTAGATATCATTTTTGATGGAGTAGTCGATGAGTCGATTAACGTTTAAAAGGACCAAAAAAAAAAAAAAAAATCAAGAAACATATTCTTTTTCATTTTCTTCCCATAGCTATGTTTGTCTTTTATTTGGTTTCAACTGTTTTATCTATTATTTTATTTTGTTCATGTGTGTATGTCTAAAGATTTTGATTTTTTTTTTTTTAAATTTTTTTGACTTTTTTTTTTTCTATAGTTTGAGTTTAATATTATATGTGTTTTATCTTTGAATAAATGGGGGCGTATAACAATTGGAATTTGATCATTTTACCCAACTTTTGTAAAATTATTCTTAGTTTAAAAGCAACAACATGCTGCAATAGTCGTGTTGATCTGCACAAAAATGATACTGTGCACAATAAAATTCTCCCATATTGCACGACACAGAAAATAATTAAAATATCGTAATTGTACATGAACAAAGAGAATGAGGATAAAATATTCCACTCAGGTTGATTCAATTCCTACTACTGTACTAGTGAATGCATAAATGAACATCTGCTGATGAGGTATTTTTAATATTACAAACACGTTCACACTTTTCTCTCTCTTTTTCTCTCCTATTTTTTATTTTTATTTTTCTTATTCATGGGGGTGATTACGGAGAGTCTGGAGATATTAGTACTATTATATGAGGGGTAAGCCGAAACGTGCATTACTGCTTAACCAATAGGTAATACCTTTTTAATAAAAAAAAAAGAAAGATAGTAATAACTTTAGTATAATAATAATCCAATTATGGTTGAATTACAAAAAGAAACATGATTAAATGAGTTCAAAATTATGATAATCTCTTAGCAAATCCGATTGTTCCTTAATATCTATTAAGACAAAAATAAAAAAAAATATAGACGATACGATTGTTAATTTATAGAAAGATCTGAGTTTAGTGGAAATCTATTTCGCAAAAACATAGATTCTTTCTTTCTTTTTCATAACAATTAATGAAATATTATAGTTCAATTATTGTTGCAAAGAAAAAGAAAATAGGTCCAAAATTGACATATCTTTGAAAATGATTATTTATATTAATCAAAAGACAAAAAAAAAATTATTGCCCTGGTTATGTGGTTTAAAGATCATCATTATTTGATATCAAAACATGTGGGTTTCTCGTATGATTTTCTGCACTCCAAAAAAACAAAAAAATAGCACATACTTAGTAAACGGGCAATGAACACCTTATAAATTCAGAAAGGAGGTCTCGGTATAGTGGGAAAAAAAAGCATCAATCTTCTCAAAACAGGGAGGAGGATGGGGGTGTAAAAGAAGGGAAGAAGTGATAGATGTATAAGCGCCATCAGTTATTAATGATAAATTAAATACACTAACCTCACAGGTTAGTTAACTACTTAGTATCATATTGTTTGAAAGTTTTTATAAGTTAGAAATGTTTCGGTACAGTGTTTCTAATTTTTGTTCGTACCAAGTTCAAAGAAATTATTAATACTAGTGCGACAATTTAATTTATAGTAAGGGAGATTAATTGTTCATAGTAAATAGATTCAAAATGTTCACACCAGCGGAAATAATACTTTCAAACTAGAGCATCCCTTTATTGTTCATATAATATATCATACATTTTCAGCATGAACAAATAACAGTCACTTAATATGAACTTTTATTTGCAAAAAGTGTGAATAATTTTGACTCATAGATCTGAAAATTATGCTCACACTATAGTGCGAAAGAAAACTGCAACAACTATAAGAACCCTCAATCCGTTATTGTTGAAAGTACACGACCTTTTGGTAGAATATACTTCTGGTATTGTAGCTGAAAAAAGTAAGAAGGGTATGAAATTTATAGTTGAGAGGTACTATAGACTGAAAGTTATAGCAATATAAGCTCGAGTATTACTTTTTGGAGAACTATAATTTTTGAAAAATTAATTTTAATCTATTTTGTAAACATAATTGAGTAAAAATTCACTTGACATTAGAAGTTAAAAAAATCACCTTCATAATTGGCAAATGCTTGATTTTTTCATGCTTGAAACATATCACAATAATATCTATAACAAATTTAGATAAATTAAACCCGAATCAAATTGTATATCATCCAGTGTGTTGATATAAAGAAGTCTACAAACATCAACAATATTTGAACAATACACGACCTCTTAATAGCAAAAATTCAGATTTGCTCTCTCGGAGCTTTTCATTTTTCTCCGAAAATTATAACATTGGCCAAGTTGTTTAAACAATCGTGTCTTATCTTTTTTTAGTGCGTAGCGTTCGATTCTCATTTCAAGTTATTTATATTTGGTTTATGCACTACCACGAGGTTTAGCAGAACAAGAATTAGTTATCATAAAAGATGACAAATACAAAGTCTCTCACTGAAACAGAACTACAACAACATGTGATAGTTAAAGTAATTATAAGGAGGGAAATCTTTCAACAGCAGCTTCAAATCAGATGAAATAATAGTATAATAAAGTCTTGGTAAAAGTGCAACTCATTTTGAATTAGAATATTACAGTCTTAAGCACAGTCCCATCGTTCCTATTTCTATTATTAGATTTATCATGCAAAAGCAAAATCTAATTCTGGATTATTTGCATTAATGGAGTGTTTCACATTTTTTATTTCCAACTATTGATGTAATACTACCAATCAGATTTATCATACATAGCATTTTTGCATAATGACGTAAAATATCATCGTTTAGTAAAGGAAATAGTAGGAACAATTATTAACTTACAGATGCAGAAATTCATTGTTGAATTTGAAACTTTCTTTACTTATATTACTTTGTCTGGAAAAAAAAAATAAAGTGATGATTACTGTTCAGGTTATTTTAGCAGTCACAAGTTTTGTTAATTGAAATTTACTGTTGATTTTGACCTACAATCAACCAACTTCTAGTACAATTTGCCTCAATAAAGAAATAAAGATTACCTTTCAACAATTTTGTTACTAATTTAAAGTGAGTCGTTCTTTCTTTTGTTTCCAGGAAAAACAGCCACTTCCATTGAAACAGAAATTCTGGAAAATTTTGGACAACAGTCTTAATTATGACACAAAAAAGAATGAACGCAAAATTCATGTTTCACCTGTCACTAATTGCATTGTTGGAATTAATTGCCGGGGTTCTTTAATTTTCTTCTTCTTTTTTTTTTCTTCTTTTTGCATAAACCATGGGACCGCAAGAATTGCCGATGGCTTCGTTTACTTGTGTTTCTCTTGAAATTTATAATCCTGATCGGAAACACCAATTATTATGATTGATTATTGAGTAAGTTTTTCAACACTACACCGTTGGTTTACATATATTTGTTTCGAAATTACAATTGACACACATATCAATCTAATGTAGATCCTTGTGATTTACAGAAATGTGCGTCATAATGAGCATCAAAGAATTCTTTACTTACATCCCCCAGTTATATAATTACCGCAAGGCTAAACTCGGATTGCACTAAAGATAGACAATCTCAGCTGATGTACAACTTCACCCACATCCCGCTATATTCATGATGAGTTTTATTTTTAAATAAAAAGGAAAGAATTAGCAACAAAAACTAATTATTAGTAAGTTGCGCTGCGCAAAGTCCAGGCTACATCAAATATAATTCCCGGATACAATTCCGAATTAAGACAGCATGCCCAGAATATACACATGAAGGAAAACACAAATAGACATTATTCCCAATACTGGTTTAATTTCGAGAAAACTTTCCCCTTTTTGTTTAACCTTAGTTACATCTACGAGCGCGCTTTCGACGATTGTATGATTAACAAGACTACTTCTGAAATACACATCAACATTCTTTGATGGAAATCCTTTAATTACGAATTCTAAGATCAACTACTCTCAGATGGGAACAATAGTAAATTTTGACATTTTCACTAAGATACAAACTGCAATTTAAAGATTGATTATATACATAACCATCAGAAAGTGAGTATTTCTTTGTCTCGAGCAGCACTTTTGTTATAAGAGAATGAAGTTTATACCTTTATTTGAACAAATTGTCGTTTCTTTATTGTTCATTCAGCGTAAAATTTGAAAAAAAAAACAAAAAACAAAAAACACATCCACTTGAATTAATTAGCTGGGCACATGAATACCTAGAATTTTAAAATGACATGACCCGTGTATAAAATTAGAAACATATTAATAAATTTGGTATTGTTGCAGCAAGAAAACCCAATATTGCTATCTTTCAACAATTTAGATCACTAAAACAGAGTCTTTGTAAATTGTAAAATCATACCAAGAAATTATCATCTTTTTAATTTCACGTCAAATTGTTTTGTTTTTCTTAATGCCCCTAAATGAGGCCAATTATCTTTTTTGTTTTTCCTTTTTTCTTTTTCTTGGGAGTTCTACAATTCCTGTTTGTCCATACTAAGAGCTACAGTAATTGTTCATTGCTCAATCACAATCTTGTTTCCAGTTAAAGTGTCTAATTAATAAAGTTTAGTTCAACGTTTTTTTTTCTTTTATTTAGCAGTTAGGCTTGGTAGCATAGTTTACTATAAGATTTGCGAGAACTTATGTACAATAAATATAGATGATGTCGCTTCACACTTACTATTCTATTAATCTTTTCAGATAAGCCATTGATAAGTTAGATGTAGCCGCCAACATATACGTCTCATTTTATAAGCTCAAGTGTGCCTCCAATTTGGAATATTGACACCACTTCAGCCACAAAATAATCCCTACATAAATTTTTATATGAAAGACACTATCATCAACCCACCACTCCAATGAAATTTCTATCAATTTCAAAATAATCTGCAAGTTGTATTTCTATTTCAAGAGTGAACGTCATTAGACTGCAAATTACAATTATCATATAGGGAAATGGATCCTTATATTAGACAATAATATATTCCCTATACTTTTCTTCAATGTTCCACAGAATAGAAATCAATTTTTCTAGGGATTGGTTTCTAGAAACTTTTTCTTGGTATTTGCTGCAAGGCAATTAAAACCATGGAAAACTGCAAGTGTTACAAAAAAATCATTAAGTAAACCAGCATTAGACAATACTTTTCGTTCACCTACTGGAGGAATTTTTCACTACATATCTATCAAACTGAAAAACCTTTGAAATAAAAGAATTCGATCTCGACTTAATACATTTGCTGCGAAACAATTCTAAAGAGCAAAAAAAAAATACTACTGTAATCTACGAATCAATTCAAAAATCTTGTGCTGGAGATTTTCACCATTTTCTATAATACGAAATACTCTTTGCTTACTTGAAAAGAAATATTAAGACTTTTCGAGAAAGTATTCTAAACGTTATACATTAATCATACAAAGCAAAACCAGTAAAAATAAAAGAAAAAGTGATACAATAACCCGAATATGCAAAAAAAAAAAAACGTTCAATATATACTTCAATCCACAAAAGAGTCAAATGAAATTAAGATAATGACTTGCTGGGTTCATCCAAACTTATATATAGACCAATAAATCCTTTTCAAGAATGTCTAGATTAATAATCAATTAACCAAAGCTCACAGGAAAACCCTAACATAATGACGCTTATAAGGAATTTTTTGGTTACATTCTGGTTTTTAATCCAATGTATATGGGCTATTGATATTACTTCTGATAGAATAGACCGTGGTACACTACAATTAGAACTTAGTGATATTACTATTCATTCAGGTGCTTCGTGGTCTATTATCAACAACGGTAGATCTATTTTAAGAGGTGATTTAACTGTAGAATCAGATGCTGGATTCTATATCACTCTGACATCTTCTATTGTATCACTTCAAGTGTCTTTAGCTTCCCTTTTTGGATCCATCAAAAATGATGGTATTATTGCATTTGATTCTTCTGCATCATTGACATCCTCTGATTATACTTTGGTTGGTGGTTCATTTGTCAACAATGGTGAAATTTATATGGGTGCTTCTGGTATTGTTTCTGGTACATTAACTGGTAGTATGGCTATTACTTCAGCTGATTGGACCAATAATGGTTTAATTGTGTTTTACCAAAACCAAAGAAGTTCAGGTAATGTCAATTTAGGTACTCCACTTGGAAAAATTACAAACGATGGTCAAATTTGTCTTTACAATCAAGTCTATAGACAATTGACTGAAATTCAAGGTAGTGGTTGTATTACTGCTGATGAAGATTCAACAATTTATATTGGTAACGGACTTCTTGGAATTTCCACAGCACATAATTTTTATCTTAACGACACCGATTCTTCCCTTGTTGCACCTGCTATTTCAAGATCTCAAACATTCAATGTTTATGGTTTTGGTAATGGTAATAAAATTGGATTAACTTTGCCACTTGCTGGTAGTATACTTCCACTACGTTCTGCATATTCTTATGATACAAGTACTGGTATTTTGACTTTGAGAAATGTATTACTAGTCCAGTACTTCAATATTGGTTTAGGTTATAATCCTTCTTTGTTTCAAATTGTAACTGATAGTGGTGCCGGTATTCCAAGTACTATTTTAGGTTCTGTTAGATATAATGGTCCAGTTCCAGAACGTACCTTACCTGCCGCATGTCAAATTGCTTGTAGAAAAGCAAGAGAAGTTCCAGGTGTCGATCCAACAGAGTATTTGACTACAGTGACTTCAACATTATCTGATGGTTCAGTTACTACTGAAAGTGGTATCGTTGATGAAACTACTGATTCACAAGGTTCATGGTACACAACAACTTCTTTGTTCCCACCTTTGTCTTCTTCAAGTTCCGAAGTCGTGTCTTCAAGTTCAGAAATTGTTTCTTCCACTGAGCGCGAATCTTCTTTGCAATCTTTCCTGGAATATTTTAATTCGCTGTCACTGTACGCGTTTGAAAGCACTTCTTCCATCCTTGAATCCAGCTCCCATCCAAGTTCTGAAGTTTCATCCACTCAAGATGACGCCAGTGAATCCAATTTTAGTACATCTAGTTTAATTTCCGAATCAAATGTTTTAGAAAGCTCTGACGCTTCAGCCACTTCAGATGTCTCATCTGCTTCTGATATTTCATCTGCTTCCGATGCTAGTGACTCTGATCCCTCATCTACTTCTGATGTCTCATCTGCTTCTGATAATTCATCTGCTTCTGATATCTCATCTACTTCTGAAATTGCATCTAGTTCTAATACTTCATCTGCTTCTGATATCTCAACTTCTTCAGATGCTAGTGAATCCAATGCATCTGCTACCTCTGGTGCTTCATCTGCTTCTGATGCTAGAGAATCCAATGCATCTGCTACCTCTGGTGCTTCTGATGCTAGTGAATCAGATGCTTCTGCCACTTCTGGTGCCTCTGATGCTAGTGAATCCGATGCATCTGCCACTTCTGGTGCTTCTGATGCTAGTGAATCCAATGCTTCTGCTACCTCTGGTGCTTCTGATGCTAGTGAATCCAATGCTTCTGCCACTTCTGGTGCTTCATCTGCTTCTGATGCTAGTGAATCCGATGCATCTGCTACCTCTGGTGCTTCTGATGCTAGTGAATCCAATGCATCTGCCACTTCTGGTGTTTCATCTGCTTCTGATGCTGGTGAATCCGATGCTTCTGCCACTTCTGGTGCTTCATCTGCTTCTGATGCTAGTGAATCCAATGCATCTGCCACTTCTGGTGTTTCATCTGCTTCTGATGCTAGTGAATCCGATGCATCTGCCACTTCTGGTGTTTCATCTGCTTCTGATGCTGGTGAATCCGATGCTTCTGCTACCTCTGGTGCTTCTGATGCTAGTGAATCCAATGCATCTGCTACCTCTGGTGTTTCATCTGCTTCTGATGCTAGTGAATCCGATGCTTCTGCTACCTCTGGTGCTTCTGATGCTAGTGAATCCAATGCATCTGCCACTTCTGGTGTTTCATCTGCTTCTGATGCTAGTGAATCCAATGCATCTGCCACTTCTGGTGTTTCATCTGCTTCTGATGCTAGTGAATCCAATGCATCTGCCACTTCTGGTGTTTCATCTGCTTCTGATGCTGGTGAATCCGATGCTTCTGCTACCTCTGGTGCTTCTGATGCTAGTGAATCCGATGCTTCTGCTACCTCTGGTGTTTCATCTGCTTCTGATGCTAGTGAATCCGATGCTTCTGCTACCTCTGGTGCTTCTGATGCTAGTGAATCCAATGCATCTGCCACTTCTGGTGTTTCATCTGCTTCTGATGCTAGTGAATCCAATGCATCTGCCACTTCTGGTGTTTCATCTGCTTCTGATGCTAGTGAATCCAATGCATCTGCCACTTCTGGTGCCTCATCTGCTTCTGATGCTAGTGAATCCGATGCTTCTGCCACTTCTGGTGTTTCATCTGCTTCTGATGCTAGTGAATCCAATGCATCTGCCACTTCTGGTGTTTCATCTGCTTCTGATGCTAGTGAATCCGATGCATCTGCTACCTCTGGTGCTTCTGATGCTAGTGAATCCGATGCTTCTGCTACCTCTGGTGTTTCATCTGCTTCTGATGCTAGTGAATCCAATGCATCTGCCACTTCTGGTGTTTCATCTGCTTCTGATGCTAGTGAATCCAATGCATCTGCCACTTCTGGTGTTTCATCTGCTTCTGATGCTAGTGAATCCAATGCATCTGCCACTTCTGGTGCTTCATCTGCTTCTGATGCTAGTGAATCCAATGCATCTGCCACTTCTGGTGTTTCATCTGCTTCTGATGCTAGTGAATCCAATGCATCTGCCACTTCTGGTGCTTCATCTGCTTCTGATGCTAGTGAATCCAATGCATCTGCCACTTCTGGTGTTTCATCTGCTTCTGATGCTAGTGAATCCAGTGCATCTGCTACCTCTGGTGCTTCTGATGCTAGTGAATCCAATGCATCTGCCACTTCTGGTGTTTCATCTGCTTCTGATGCTAGTGAATCCGATGCATCTGCCACTTCTGGTGCTTCATCTGCTTCTGATGCTAGTGAATCCAATGCATCTGCCACTTCTGGTGTTTCATCTGCTTCTGATGCTAGTGAATCCGATGCATCTGCCACTTCTGGTGTTTCATCTGCTTCTGATGCTGGTGAATCCGATGCTTCTGCTACCTCTGGTGCTTCTGATGCTAGTGAATCCAATGCATCTGCTACCTCTGGTGTTTCATCTGCTTCTGATGCTAGTGAATCCGATGCTTCTGCTACCTCTGGTGCTTCTGATGCTAGTGAATCCAATGCATCTGCCACTTCTGGTGTTTCATCTGCTTCTGATGCTAGTGAATCCGATGCTTCTGCCACTTCTGGTGTTTCATCTGCTTCTGATGCTAGTGAATCCAATGCATCTGCCACTTCTGGTGTTTCATCTGCTTCTGATGCTAGTGAATCCAATGCATCTGCCACCTCTGGTGCTACATCTGCTTCTGATGATCTCGATGCCTACGAAACGTCTTTAATGTTTACTAGTGCTTCCTCATCCGTTCCCGAATCCGAGACAAGTGGTCCAGCTGTTTGTAAGAGAGACGGTGGTGATTGTCTGGCTATGGAAAGTTTTTCCTCCTTGAGACCATACTATAGTAATACTACTACTTCTGTTTCATCTACTGCTGCTCCTGGTTTCACTTCTTTGGAATATTCTACTGTTACTGATTTAGATTCAACTTTTACCACTCTTGATGCCGAAAGTATTGAGGGGCCAAAGAATTCACAAGAAGAGCCTGCTACTTCCAACGGTCAAGGGGCTAATACAATGTCTACAAGTCTCGACGCAGAAGTTGCTACTACCACTAGGGTCTCAACTGCTGTTAATTCTGACAACAATATTGCATCTTCTATCGATGCGAATAGCGCTATTGACCAGCCTTCTATCCAAGAAGGTAACATTGTTAGCACTTATACTTACAGTACCGATGACACAACAGTTTCAAGTATTACAACCACTGGTTCCAACTCGGAAGCTACTGGTGATGAATCCAACGGTTCTAACAACGGTGGTTCTAACAACGGTGATGAATCCAATGGTTCTGGCTCTGGTTCTGGCGATGAATCCAATGGTTCTAACAATGGTGGTTCTAACAACGGTGATGAATCCAATGGCTCTGGCTCTGGTTCTGGCGATGAATCCAATGGTTCTGGCTCTGGTTCTGGTGATGAATCCAACGGTTCTAACAACGGTGGTTCTGGCTCTGGTGATGAATCCAATGGTTCTGGCTCTGGTTCTGGTGATGAATCTAATGGTACTAACAACGGTGATGAATCCAACGGATCTAACAACGGTGGTTCTAACAACGGTGATGAATCCAATGGCTCTGGCTCTGGTTCTGGCGATGAATCTAATGGTTCTAACAATGGTGGTTCTGACAACGGTGATGAATCCAGTGGTTCTAACAATGGTGGTTCTGGATCTGAATCCAGCGGTTCTAACAACGGCGGTTCTGACAATACTTCTAACAATGGTGGATCTGAATCCAACGGATCAAGTAATATATCGAATGAACAAAATGTTTCTGGTTCAACAATGACAACTTCCTTCATTGTTCCTGCTGCTTCTCTGGTTACCTCAAGTTATGTCACCCAAGCTTCATCCTCATCATCTCCAGCAATTGTATTACCAGCTGAGAATGGCGGTATAAAGTACTCTACTGGAGGTTCATTGGTATTTGGGTTGTTACTATCAGCTATGATCTCCTTTTTCTGATTTTGAGAGATCTATTTCTTAGTTATTTTATTTCACACACCAGTGTATGGTTATTGCTTTTCAATCTTTGGGATATAACGCACAGTAAGATTGAAATGCATCTCTTTCTATTAAAATTCATTTATTTTTGATTTCTTGTGGATACTTTATTGATAAATTTATTTTTCGTTGCTATTAGTTTGTACGGCATATATTTTTTGAGTTCGATTTTGACATTCTTTATTTGTGTATTTTGTTTGATTTCGGTGATTTTTATATACAAACAGTTAATATAAAAATATTTGTTATTTTATTGGTGATATATTCCCTAGTATTTCTTATATTTTCATCTATGGAACGAAGTTTATCAAGTGAACCTTCAAATGTAATCACCACTAGCATTTGTTTTGGGGTTTAGAATTCAAATCTCAAGATGAAATAACTTACTTTGTTCAGTCTTGATTAATCACCAAAGGAGTGATACTGTGTAACTTTGTATAATACTGCATTTTGCAGTCTTCACAGATCCGAATACAACTACATTGAAGGTTTAATATTGATTAATATATATTAGATTATTAATCTTTTAAAAGACAGACTTCTATGATTTCTACTAATAAACTTCTAATATATAGCGGCCATCTTCCTTCATATCTTCAACAATCTTGGCAGCATCCTTAATTTCTTCACCCTTCTTCTTGGCCCCGTTACGGACAATATCTTCCAAACAAGCAGTAATATCTGGGACAGGCCAAGTTGGACCACACAAGTAAAATGAACCATTCTTAGTAACGATGGCATCGGTTAAATCTTCAATAGATTGTCTAATTCTATCTTGAATATAAATCTTTTCAGGTTGATCTCTTGAAAATGCAGCACCGATATGAGTTAAAATTCCTGCATCTTTATAGGCTTCCCAAAGTTCACCATAAAGATATTCCTCCTTTTTATGTCTTGACCCCAAGTACAAGTAAATTTCTCCAATCTCCATTCCTTGCTGTTGTTGCCAGATTTTTTCTTCAATAAATGCTTTGAAGGGTGCTAAACCAGTACCCAAACCAGACATAACGATTGGTTGGGTTGACAAAGGTGGCAATTTCATTACAGATGGCTTGACACTGACAACAAGCTCTTCACCGACTTTCAAGTCAGATAAATACTTGGAACAATGACCGTATCTCAATCTACCTTTTGGATCAACCCAATCAACGACAACAATCAACAAATGAACGGCATTTGGATGGATCCTTTGAGAAGAGGCAATGGAATATTCTCTTCTTTTTAATGGCGCAATGATCTTGATTAAATCTTCAAAAGAAGGTCTAGCTGATTCGAACTCCTTTAAGATATCAAAATAACTGTCAAAGTCAACTTCTTGTCTCTTCTTTAATTCTTCAGCACCTTCAGCGCTGGCCAATCTCGACAAGGCTTCTTTTTCCTTTGAATCGCTGGCGAATTCTGCCAAAGACTCGTAGAATCGTTTTGGAGGCTTACCCAAGAAATCAACTGTTTCAGATAAGGCTTGTCTGGAAGATCTGATTTCAACAATCTTGGCATTATCTTTGTTTGTGACCTCGATAAGCGAGTCACCATCAACACCATAAAAGTCCAAGAATTCTTCGACAGCTTCACTATTATTTCTACCATGGATACCTAAAGCTTCACCGATATCATATGTCAATCCAGTACCAGTAATATCAAACTCGATATGGAAAATGTTTCTAGAATATTCAGCTGGAGTCAATCTCTTGTTTTCTTGAACTTTAACAACAAAGTTCTTTACAGGCAAATCAGGTCTCAAAGCCTTGCTAACATTGTATGCCTCTGGGAAAACAACCTTTTGAGCTAAATTCTTATAGGCGGTGTTGTTAATTTCTTCAGCACTCTCAATAGGATTTCTTGGATTTACAAAGAAAGAAGTTTCGTTTGGAAAGAATGGCAATTGATCTGGCTCGTTTTGTTTCTCTTCTTCTTCTTCTTTTTCATTGTCCTCCTTTTGAGATTCTTCAACCTTAATCTCTTCCTTTAAGTCGATCCAATCTGGAAGAACATTAATTTGTTTGATACCTTCGTTTTCATCAACGCACTTGATGAAATTATCCAATACGGTTCCCAATAACTCAAATGAGTTACCATTGGCTTGTAATAATTTATTGACAATGAAGCCACCCAATTCTGGTAACGCTGCTCTCCAAAATGCCAACTGAATCAAGAAATCTGCAGAGAAACCCTTAGTAGCACTATTTGATTCATCCAATTTTTCGATAATTGAAAAATCAACAGCATACAATTTGTTGTGGTTTTTTGCCAAATCTCTTTTGAAGTCAATTGGCAATTTTTCAATCAATTCATCTTTACTCAATGATTTTTGATTGATATATAAAATTGAAGCCCCTGGTTTCGAGGTAGCCAAAATATCATAGTAATTCAAGATAGACAAATCTTCAATAACGACAACGTCTGCTGCATCAACTGGTTTGATAGTCTCAGTAGTTGAAATAATTTGTGATTGAAACAAACCACCTCCTCTAGAATTATCAAAAGTGTTTCTAATTGCAACATTCTTATTGCTATCTAATGACAATGACAAGGCCAACTTTTCAGCTGTATCAACGATAATTCCATTATCCTTACCCCAGAACAAATAGGCACCTTCAGGGGATGAATTTGCAGTGAGAATTTCATCTGGAGATTCAATGACTGGGAAAAGTTTTTCAAAATCTACCGCAACGAATTCATTCAACAATTTGGCCACTGTGATTGGAGTCCACTTGAAATCAGAAGAATATTTGAATTCCTCGATAGATAAAGTATGGTATTTTCCATGTAAGAATAAAGCGGCTGTAATATCAGCCATTAATCCATCATTGGATGAAAGAACAACTAATTTTTTAGCCGATTCTGGAATAACACTAGCAAATTTATCCTGATCAAATGGAACAGGGACTCTAACTTTAATTAAACCAATATCCAACTTGGATGCGATGTTACTCAATTGAGTGGTTTGGTGAGATCCATATACAACAAATACAGTTTTTGGATTTTCACTGCCAAAGTATTCGAATTGGGAGTAATTCTTTCCAGTAACATTGTTTATAGCTTCAAAAGCCCCAGAGACCGAGACATCATTAGGAGCTGAGTCCAATAAGTTTTGATACAATTGGAAAATTTGTTCAGTTGATAATAAGTTGTCAAATCTCTTGAAAGATTTTATAAATTCTGGTCCATCAAACAAGAAAACAGAAGGTTTACCACTGAAGAAGGCATAAAAATGGTTCAAAATAGACAAATGTTGAATTTCAAGACCATCATTTGAGTCAACGGCAGTGAAAACTGGGTAATTTAAAGAACGTGCGACATTCAAAGCATCACCATAGCTGGAAGTTAAAGAATCTTCATTAAAGTCAATCGCAGAAACGTTCAAGGCCAATGGCAATCTGCTTCCAGTTGGATGCCCAGTTAATGAATATCTCATGTAGTTTAATCCACTAGATCCAATAAATGCTGCAACAGGTTGACCGTTGGTACCATTCTTTTTAAAATATCCTAAAATAGCATTTGCAGCACCTGATCTAACTTCGAATTTATTGTAAAAAGGAACAATTCCAAATGCATTCAATCTTTGATACTGTAACCAAAGCTGGATATTTGAGTCTAATGCGTTTTCATCACCAACAGTTTCATAACTGAATATCTTTGATGCAACCGAGTAAACAGTTTGATTGACAATTGACGCACCAGAAGTATAAGTTGTGTTCTTAATTTGGCTAGGGTCCGTAGTCAAACCAAATGGATTAGCTTTAACTAATGAAAGTGAACTTGTGATATTCTCAAAATCACTAGATGCCTTTGAAGACACCTGTATAGCGTGTGGAGCCATGATATCCTTTTGAAGAAATATTAAGTTTGAGTTGTTGAGAATATGAAAAAGTGTAAAAGAAAAATTCACCAACTTATATCCAATCTCTACAGATTTTTTTTTAAAAAAAATAACAAAACATCACGTGAAAGCAGCCAATATTTTAGCGCGCCAAAGTAATCAACAGAAAAAGCTCTTCCTGTTGACTCTTCAAAGTCCATGTTCCGGCATTTGATTTTACGATCAACAAGGATTAATAAAGAGTTGATTCTTAAACTATTTCAATTATTCTTCTTTGAAAATTTGCTTTATTCTATTGATATTGATTTTATATATGACTCATAAGAACCTAAATAAAGAAATTGTTCCGTAAACTCCTTGGACCAGCACCACATTACAGTGGGGAGACAAAAGTTTCCAAATGAAATTCCCAGATGTAAACAAACCGTTTTTTTTCTGGTGCGCGCAGAGATTTTATTGGCTGTTGAGAATTAACAAATGATTTTTCAGGTCGGAATCAGTTTTCAACAATTCCCGTCAGAACTACTCCGAATAATTTAATAATTTGTTGTATGAGGTATACAGCAAAATAATACGTAGAGCTGTGTAAAATTATACTATATTAAGTCTATGACCTTGATTTGTATGTTGTCACCATTAATCAACAACTTTCGTTTTATCTTTGTTCAAAAATAATAGCTGAACATAAATCTAACCAGCTTGTAAAAAATTAATTGGTATCTACACGTTAAATATGTCAAAGTTGATTCTTAAAAATAGTTGATTTATGCACTACTTTTATTTACTGAAAAGTGATCGTGCGAACTAACAAAAAAATGGTTTGTTTACAACTGGGAATTTCATTTGGAAACTTTTGTCCCCCCACTGTATAAGTTAAATCCTATACCAAGGTCAATATGTACAAACAGTACAAGCGCATTCATATTGTTTACATGTGAATCATATGAAACGTGCAAGTGTTCACTTTCTGTTTTCACAATAAACTGCACATCGTTATGTGGTTTTTTCTTTTTAATATTATGATTCAAATCCAACCTTCATTTCTCACTGTAAATTATTTTATAAAGAAATTTTAACAAATTTTTAATGAAAATCATGTGAATCCTATTCTGAAAAAAAAAAAAAGATCTTAAAAAAATTGGACTTCAAATATCATTCGAAAACAAAACATTTGTAGAATATCCATATCATAAAAATCTTGAACAATACGTATTTGTATATAATTTTTTTTTATAGATCTACACTTGAGAACACAGTCACTGAGAGATTACTCAATTTGAAGTCCTCAATGGATCAGATTTTTTATTTTCTAGTAAAGCCTTCGGCTCTCCCACTTTTCAAAGCGTCTGATACTTCATTTTTTTGTATTTAGAAGAAAGCTTTCATTTTCACTCTCATATACATACATATGAACAATGGTAAGTTCATAAAGTATAACTGCAATTTAAGTTTAATAAATTATAGTATCAACCTGGTATATATCCGATAACCACAAGTAATTCTATAGTTCAAAAGAGCAAATCGTAAAAATTTGTGGATAGACATACAGCAAAAAATAATATAATTCCTGAATAGGGTACTATACTGACGGTTTCAAAAGCACAAGTTCGTATCTTTCATTTGCTATTCAGTGCCCTTTCAGGATTAACTTTGTGGTTTCAGAACACTGTAGTACTCATATATGAACAACTGAAATTTACTAAAACTCACTATCGAGAACCAACTAAACTTCAAAGGAATCAGTTAGTTGGGTTATTGTTTTATTTTCTCTTTCAAGATCAGTGTGATTTCGTCCAATATGGAATAAATGGTGAACAATGCATTGGTAGCAATCTTGTGGCTATTATAATCCGAATTTCTTTTACACTATCCAAAATATAAAATGCACAAAAGGATCAGATGCTAGTCTGAATTAGATTACTGAACTAAGGATATAGTTTAGTTGTGCCTTTGTGAATATATATAGTTAGCCAAAACATCATTATCAAGAGGGAGGAAGGAGGATCCATAAAAAATTACACAAAGAAAAAGGTTTCTTGATATCATACGTCATTGTTTGCATAAATTGAACAATAGCAAAGATTGCGCTCCATTCACAACCAATTATAAATTTGTCCTATGGTATCACGGCTCCTTTTTTCTTTTCTAATCTTTTCTCATCTATTGCTTGGAATTGTCAACGGGGGGGGGGGGGTATAATTCTTTTATTCCATAGTCAGTACTGCAGTGCCAACTCAATATTGTAAAAAGAGAAAAAAATATACTGCGAAAGCGGAGAAGAAAATTGAATAGTCCTACAATAGAATAGATAGCAACATTGATCTTGCTTCTAATTACGCCTTTAAAAGAAGAAACTTCACTGTGAACTTTGTGGTAGATAATCTAAAATTTATTGGATTCTAATGTTGCTTACAAAGGTTATCGAAACACTGTTCACCCGAATGTGCTATTTCACTGGTTAGTTATGGAGCATATAACATAAGCTTCACTTAGTTCTTTGAATGATAGACATGTAGCACTAAAAAAAAGACAAATACATCACTCACATTGGATTCTGCATGTAGAATGATAATTGAATTTCGAAGAGTTTGAGTGATGATAGTTTTCCATATATAATGCTACATATATTTTCCACTAAGAATGATCTTTATATTTCGATATGAAGTGGTAACAGAAGTTTCTAAATTTGTTTGTTGATCACTTCTGCTTTTGACACTATATTGTACTTGAACTTGATAGAAGATGAGCAAATAATGTGTCAAAAGTACACACAGAGGAAATTCCCAAAAATTACGATGTTTGCTATCACATTATCATTACCAATATCATCATGGATATAGAGAAGTTTTTTTTTCTTCGTCTTCATCATCTTAATGTAGAATCTAATGTAAGATTTATAGATTTTGTGGAAGTATATTTCCAAACAACCCTGGTCGGTCTTTTACCTTAAAGAATAATCAATCAAACAATGGCCTACCAATGAACACCGAAAGATTGAGAAATGATAACAATAGAAATAATTCTTGATAAATTAGACCTGAAATTGTAATCAATTTTATCGGATATATTATTTGGAGAGTATACGAAATTATCTCCGAGAATATATCAAATAAAAAAAAGGAAGATTAATATGCATCTACAAGTACAGAAATTGAGTCTAACAATTTCAATTTACCAGGAAACATAATGTAGAAAACAAGCGAACAAACTTGTGAATATTAAAAAAGAGTAAGATAAGAAATGGGGATAGTCCCCAGTGTGCTTAGCCATGACATTGTAAGAAACATCAAAGATTCTCTATCGAAGGAATCCCTGAGATATTAGACTCTATTATTCGAAGTTTTCAAACTGCTGGACATAAAAAAAAAAAAAGAAAACTGTAGTTTTACATTAAGTTGTGTATTACGAGATGAGGACTGTAAATTTAGAATTATACCAAATTGCCTTACGAGCATATCAAGTGAAACTGCCCATTAGCACGAATCTTGTAAGGCAACAATGAATTAGAAACAATAACTATACTTTTAGGACATTATACTTAATTCTGTGAATTCATTATATTGATTCTTAGATAATTTTCTTACAAAACTTAACATCCTGTCGTTGAGTAGTTTGTGTTTTCAAGTTGGATAGGTAATATATACAATAAAATTAACCTAAGATATAATTTTTTGGTGAGAAGGAATAATAGCTTTAGTATTTTGTATAATCATTTCCGGAAAGACCATGAAGTTAGCAACTGAAATATACGAAAAACTCACCACTAAAACAACCATAGTAACAGTGTTATATCTTGCACAGTGACATTGGATACTTTCCGTGTACTTACTGTGATAACTGGCGCATGCATTACTGACATTTCTAAGGCAAGGAGAAAAGAAAACCCTGTTGAAGACAGAGTGGGATTTAATAGCCAACTGGGTCAAGAAAGACAGTTTGTTCCATATTATAGAGTAAATTTACATGTATACACAAATCACTTTGTAAAGAAAACTAAAATGATCATTGGGGGTACAAAACAAAAATTCATACATTCATAGTAATGGTAAAAAGATCCATTGTATTTGGACTCTGACTTAAACAATAGGAGTTTTCTTAGGCTTGGCCAATATCATTGAACTTCATGTTGAAGTACTTGCACTTCTCAATTCCGAATCTAAATTTAAGTTCATGCATGAAAGATTATCTTGCACCCAAGGGTTATGAACAATCTAAATGCAACATTTTGCCACAAAGAATATGTATTTTTAATACGGTACAACCTCCATATTCCACATTCTGATTGGATCTCTTTTTATTAATAATGTTTTCAAAGTGTGGTGATAAGTGAAATTTCATTTTCGTTATTTTGTATTAATGTCTCAATCCAGTCTAAAGATGTATATTATTTGTTTCCATATTCATTTTGTTGCAGCATTGTCATCTTGCTCTGCAAAGTATGCAAGTCTGGATTTACACAAAGATGAAAAAAAATGATCGATGAGCGGTGAACAGAATAGAGCACCAAGATACAGTTATTACTCTGTTTTGGAAACATTAGCAGCTGGGATATGGAGTGTCTCGATATTGAATTATTGTTGATACTTTCCAAGTAAATAGGTCTTGGGAGAGGGGACCTTTTCAAGTAGGACTTTTCCTTTAAGAATCCTCCAGAAGATACATATTTATGGCAAGAAACCATGAAAGATTTTCAGTAAGTTCTAACAGTTAAATTATGCTTCATAATTAGTATATTACATAAATAATGAACTAGATTTTAGATTGCCTAATGGAGAACAGAAATTGCTAACTTTACTCTAAAATTCAAAATTGCCTCAGAGTTATTTAAACCAGATTCTCTAATATTCAAATGATAGTCACAAAGGAATATACTGCATTCTAATTGCAAATAATACAGCAAGTCTGTTAGAATAAAAATTTCTATAAATTTGCTCTCATTTGTCTCCATTTTGAATTTGAAGAAGAATCTTGTTAACTATTATAAACATTATTTATCCAACAATGTTGCTACTTAGATCAATTTTGTTAACATTGGTCTTTTTATTTAATTATGCTTTGTCCAAAGACATCACAGTTGATACTGTGGATAGGGGCTCTATCAGTTTAAGCGTTGGTGATATAAATATTCACACAGGCGCTTCATGGTCCATTATCAATAATGCTGTATCTGCTCTTGCTGGCTCACTTAATGTGGAATCCGATGCTGGGTTTTACATTACTCTGACATCCCCATTAATTGGTCTTGATGTTACTTTGCTTTCAACATTAGGGTCAATTGTGAATGATGGTATCATTGCTTTTAATTCTGTCAAATCATTAACATCCTCTACCTATAACTTGGTGGGTGCAAAATTTGAAAACAATGGTGAAATGTATCTTGGGGCTTCTGGGGTCTTATCTGGCACCATGTCTATCACCTCCCTCCTGTGGAAAAATTCTGGTTTACTAGTATTCTATCAGAACCAAAGAAATTCTGGTGATGTGAGATTGGGCACACCCTTGGGTTCAATCACAAATGATGGTCAGATTTGTTTGATCAATCAGGTGTATCGACAAACAAATGACATTAAAGGAAGTGGGTGTATTACAGCTCAGGAGGACTCAACAATATATATTCCCAGCGCTATTCAATCATTTGATACCCAACAAAGCATTTACTTAAAAGACAGTGAATCATCAATCATTGTTCAAGCTCTTTCCACGGCCCAAACATTCAACGTTTATGGATTTGGAAACGGTAACAAAATCGGTTTAACAGTGCCACTAGTTGGAAACCTTATTCCAAGCTATCCAGCGTACAAGTACGATGAATCTACGGGTATTTTGACTTTGAGAAACCTTTTATTAAAACAAAACTTCAATATTGGTTTGGGTTATAGTTCTTCTTTGTTTCAAATTGTCACTGATTCAGGCATTGGATTGCCCTCAACATTGCTCGGTAGTGTTCAATACAACGGGCCAGTTCCAGAAAGAAGTATTTCAGCTACATGTCAAATTGAATGTAAAGAACTTCCAGAAGCTCCAGGTGTCGAACCAACAGAGTATTTAACTACATTGACTTCAACATTATCTGATGGTTCAGTTACTACTGAAAGTGGTATCGTTGATGTAACTACTGATTCGCTGGGTTCATGGTACACAACAACTTCTTTGTTCCCACCTTTGTCTTCTTCAAGTTCCGAAGTCGTGTCTTCAAGTTCAGAAATTGTTTCTTCCACTGAGCGCGAATCTTCTTTGCAATCTTTCCTGGAATATTTTAATTCGCTGTCACTGTACGCGTTTGAAAGCACTTCTTCCATCCTTGAATCCAGCTCCCATCCAAGTTCTGAAGTTTCATCCACTCAAGATGACGCCAGTGAATCCAATTTTAGTACATCCAGTTTAATTTCCGAATCAAATGTTTTAGAAAGCTCTGACGCTTCAGCCACTTCAGATGTCTCATCTGCTTCTGATATTTCATCTGCTTCCGATGCTAGTGACTCTGATCCCTCATCTACTTCTGATGTCTCATCTGCTTCTGATATTTCATCTGCTTCTGATATCTCATCTACTTCTGAAATTGCATCTAGTTCTAATACTTCATCTGCTTCTGCTACATCTGGTGCTTCTGATGCTAGTGAATCCAATGCATCTGCCACTTCTGGTGCTTCATCTGCTTCTGATGCTAGTGAATCCAATGCATCTGCCACTTCTGGTGCTTCATCTGCTTCTGATGCTAGTGAATCCAATGCATCTGCCACTTCTGGTGCTTCATCTGCTTCTGATGCTAGTGAATCCAATGCATCTGCCACTTCTGGTGTTTCATCTGCTTCTGATGCTAGTGAATCCAATGCATCTGCCACTTCTGGTGCTTCATCTGCTTCTGATGCTAGTGAATCCAATGCATCTGCCACTTCTGGTGCTTCATCTGCTTCTGATGCTAGTGAATCCAGTGCATCTGCCACTTCTGGTGTTTCATCTGCTTCTGATGCTAGTGAATCCAATGCATCTGCCACTTCTGGTGCTTCATCTGCTTCTGATGCTATTGAATCCAATGCATCTGCTACCTCTGGTGCTTCATCTGCTTCTGATGCTAGTGAATCCAATGCATCTGCCACTTCTGGTGTTTCATCTGCTTCTGATGCTAGTGAATCCAATGCATCTGCCACTTCTGGTGCCTCATCTGCTTCTGATGCTAGTGAATCCGATGCTTCTGCCACTTCTGGTGTTCATCTGCTTCTGATGCTAATGAATCCAATGCATCTGCCACTTCAGGTGTTTCTTCTGCTTCTGACTCTAGTGAATCCAATGCATCTGCCACTTCTGGTGATTCCTAAGCTTCTGACGATAGTGAATCCCATGCTTCCGCCAACTCAGCTGCTTCAGATACGTATGAAGCTACTGAATCCAAAGTTTCTGCCACTTCAGGAGCTGGGGATGCTACTGATGCAGACGAATCTGGGACTTCGTCATATTCAAGTGCGTGGAATGTCTATGATGCAGG